TCGACATCCTACTGCACTACTCATCACCAACTACATCCCGCAGACAGATCGGACGAGCACACTCCGAAAATGGGGTGTACATTCTTGACTTCGATATTCCCGACTGCAGCGGCGACTCGAACGAGCTGATTGATCTCGTTCCGCTGCGCTTCGAACATATTCACCGCAGGGATTGGAAACACCCTGACGGCAGGCCGTGGGTGCCGCATCACCCTCACCCACGCGAGCTGGCGCTGCACGATCCTGACCCTGATGGCATCTGCAGAGACTGCCACACGCCCACCGCCTCAACCAGCGTGATTGTCGGCCGCGGTGTTGCCGCCCGGCACGTGCCACCAGAAGAAGGCATGTCAAACTTGGAGCTCGAGATCACAACACACGGCGTGTTCGGAACGGCGGAACATCCCCTCATCGGGCTGCCATCGCAACACCTTCAAGGCATGCTGCGCGGTACCAGTGTCGGGACCTTCAACGTGCGCGGTGTGGCGCGCCCCTACACAAGAGAAGAGTTTCTGAAGGCTTACCCCCACTGGCGCGACCCCACGAAGAATTTGACCGTGGCGGAAGAAGAAGATTTGGCGCGCCGCGAAGCAGAGGAGCTTCGTCGACAGATTCTTGCCGAGGCGCGCAGTACATTTGCATGTGCTGCATGGGGCGCCGCAGAGGAAGAAAGTGACTCCAATGAAGGGAGGTGGGGAAGCGCTGGCGACACTGACGGATGGGGCAACACTGGTGGAACCTGGGCCAACGGTAGTGGCGGTTGGGGCGCCGCATCTGGCGGCGAAGACAGCGGGTGGGGCACCTCCGGCGGAAACTGGGGAACTTCACGCGAAGAACAAAGGGGGGGAGAAGAACCAGAACCTCCTATTGTTCCCCTTGGTCATCCCCCGTGCCGCACTGCACCCGCGTTACCTCCACCAGACATCCAGCCGCACCGCGATTCTTGGGACACCATCGATTGGGGCAATGAGCCCTCGACCACGTGGCGCACCGTCTACGGACCTGCCCTCGAGCCGCGCAAACCAACCTTCGTCAATGGAACCGTCCCTGGGACTAACGTTCCCTTCAACATAATCCTCGACAGAGAATTTATGGCGCTGATGTTGACCATAGCCAACGACGACGAGGAAGCAGCAGAAGAAGCAGCAGCGAAACCTGCCCCAGTACCTGACAGAGACCCCGAAGCAGCCCGCGCGTGCTACATGCGCACCTCTGGATTCCGCGCCAGCGATGACCTTTGGCACCAGCGTCTCGGACATCCCTCGCGCGTAACACTGAAAAACTGCATCGAAGCTGGCATCTTCGCTCCTGGCGCACTCCTGCGCCCAGACGGCACCGAAGTAAGAGGCGCCACACATCCGCGAAATTGCACCGTCTGCCCTGAAGCCGCGCTGAGTCACCGGCCGTTCCCGTTGCTCGAACCAGGAACCAACCGCTACCCCAAGCTGTACAAGGAGTAAAGCGACTTCCTCAACGTGGGGCACTGTGGAGTCAATGACGAGCTGTATACGCTCACCTTCATCGACGCTGGAACACGCTACGTGTGGGTCGTGAACGTAGAAGCGCGAAGCAGAGCGTACGAAGTATTCCGCCTCTGGCTAGCGCACGCGCAACGGCAATCTGGGGAGAAGCTAAAGACCTGGCAATCTGACGGCGTAGCACAATTCAGGAGCAAGGAGCTCCAGGATTACCTGGCGCAAAAGGGGATCGAGCATCACATCTCCCTCCCCTACGCGCACCAGCAGCAAGGCGTAGCTGAGCGCACGATTCATACGCTCATGACGAAGGTGCGGGCGCTGATGAAGCAGTCGAAACTTCCGCCAATCTACTGGACCTACGCGATGCACCACGCCGTGCGGGTGCATAATCTACTAACAACCACCGCCATCACCGGCAACTTGTCCCCGTATCTGAAGTGGACGGGAACAAAGGGGGACACATTCATGCTCCGCGTGTGGGGGTGCATGGTGCAGTACCGCCCGCCAACGTCAACCATCGGAAAGTTCGCTAGCCGCGCACGTTGGGGAATTCATCTCGGCCTCAGCCGGGAGCACAAGGCATGGATCATCTTGGATCTACTCAGCCAGAAGACCACCCACGCACGTGATGTCATCTTCTACGAGCGCCTCTTCCTCGAGCAATTCCGCCGCGATGAGTAGACGAACGCGAATCACGTTTACGCGAATGACGGACACAGCTACGCAACACCTGAGGACGAAGCCGCCGCAGCGATCCAGGAGCAAGATACCAGCAGCGAGTTCACGAAAGAAGACCGCCACAGCAGCGACGGCGACGACGAGAATTCCTCTGGGGGAGGAATGGGCGAAACAAGAGAAAGCGGTAGAGACGTAGCGCCACCAGCACCACCTGAACCAGAGAGTGACGATGTCGACGTGTAGGAGGTTATCCCGCAGCATCGCCATGACAACACCGTCCCGGGCTGCAGCTTCTCGGGCTCCATACCGCCACCTCAACGGCGCCACGTGTCCTCGAACCGAAAAATCCGCGCCAAGCTTTCACTGGACCATACAGCAAGGAATGGCGCGAGGCGATGGATGCGGAAATTAAGGTGCTCGAGTCTCGCAACACCTGGGTACTCGTCGACCGCGCCGCAACCAAGGGAGCAAGGATCCTTTCCGGCAAATGGGTCTTCCGCGTGAAGACCGCAGCACACGGCACGATCGAACGGTTCAAAGCACGCTGGGTAGTGCGTGGCGAGATCGGCGGCACGGGATTGATTTCGATCAAACATTTGCGCCGGTCAGTCGTCACACCTACGTCAGAATTTTACTCGTCAGCACTGCTGCGAGGCACCTGCCGTTGCGCTTAATCGACGTGAAGAACGTGTTCCTGTACGCGTTAGTAGATGATGTCATCTACATGGAGCAGCAGCACACGTATGGAGAAGGAGACTCGCGCGTGTGCCAGCTGCGCAAATCCCTTTACGTGATCAAGCAGGCACCAAAGCTCTGGCAACAGTGCCTGCACAACATTCTGCTCGAAATAGGCTTCAAGCAGATGCCTCATGACCCTGGAATGTACCGCCGCGATTTCTGCAGAGATTACATTCTGCTCACCGTCTACGTCGACAACTTGCTTTACACCGGGTCGAGTAACGAACTACTCAAACAATTCGAGAGGAATCTGGCGGGGCGCGTCGACATTACCTGCAACTACAACATGAAGCAGTTTTTAGGACTCAACATCTCCTACGCGCCAGAAGCTATCCACCTCTCAACGGCTAATACGCAAAGGAGCTTGGCAAACGCTTCAAAATTGCGAAACAGGAGGTGGTTGCCTTGTCATCGGCCGAAGTCGAATTCATCGCCGCAACAGCAGCAGTTCGCGAAAGCCTCTATTTGCAGGAACTCCTGCAAGAGGCGAAAATTCCAACTTCGCCAACCTTCCGCCTGCAATGTGACAACCAGAGCGCAATCCGCATGCGAACAAGCCCGGATTCGTCAACCGCACCAAGCACATTGCGCTGCGGTATTTCTTCGTCAAGGACGAAGTAGACAAGGGGAAGGTGGACTTGACTTACTGCCGGACTGGTGACATGACAGTTGACTTTCTGACGAAGCGACTGCCACGCCAGCAGTACCAGCACTGCTCCGAACTCAGCGGAGTAGTCAAGCAGGTCAAGTCGAGCTACGACCAGGAGTGAAGGGGGGTGTTACGAATAGTGAAATACTGTTGAGCACTCATAACCGCAGCTAAGTGAAGCACGTAGTATCGAGAATGAACGCGAAGACTCAGAGTTTGACTCGAAGCGACGCAGACAGTTGGAATGGATCTGGACCGTCGGAGCAGACGGCATCAGGCAGTTGCAGGATCGAAGGGAATTGGCGAGAACAGTTTCGTAACTGTTCGAGTCGCACGGATTAGGTTTGAATTTGAATAAGGGAATGTACCCCTTAGAGTACATGGCTAGCTAGGTCGTTTCGTATTCCCCTGTACTCTTATTTATATGTTTGTATTTGGATGCTTTTATAATCTCAACATTTTACATTCACTCTATCTGAGATCAAGGGCCCACCACTACCAATCTAGCTGCGTGTGAACCTTCCCGAGGTGATCCAAGGGTCGATCAATCTCTGATCGTAGCAGGGCTCTCCTAGGAGTAACAAATGAAGGCTCCACCCCTATACTATAAGTGTAATATGTAACGTCCATGCAGGTATATGCCATTGTAAATTACTAATACAGTCTTACCCCGCATATAAGCCCTGGTCTATGTTAGGCGCATGCCTTGATCTGACGCATTGCACGTGAGGGCAATGTACGGTTGACTCATTAGTTGCACAATGTAAAATGTTCATACACAGCAGTCAAACGGGCTGGTGAGAAAGCTAAATAAGCTCCCGATGGTAACTCTATGGTACAGCCGCAAGTTCTAATTCGACTGTTAAGTCCTGGGATGTGTACGGTACAAGTAGTTTGGGATGCTAAGGACGCGTCACAAGTAGAACATCGATCCTGCCTAGAATCGGTGTTTAGGTGGTTACACATTTTCGTTTATTTTCGCTAACGTACAGTTTTCCCTTCTAAGTCAGGCGATCGATGTGCCCCTGTCACACATCGATCGTGCAATTTCGTCCACATCGGGCAATTTTGCCCCATGTTTTTACGATCGTGTCACTTGAAACTTCAAAGCAGTCGTGACACACCGATATGGCGATCGGTTTGACAGGTTCGGTGAACAACCCTGATCCTTCCTCGATATTTTACTTGTGACGCGTCCTAACAGGATCACTGGGTTGGATGTCATGGGCATTTTGGACCAACCCCTGTACGACATTTGGAGTCAACTCGTTTTTGTCACCCACTCGCTCTGGCTGGGCGGGCACGTTATTGTGCTGAACTGCATTCCAACAGAGCTCACCTCCTAGTGTGTGCTTAGGTATTTGTCCTCAGCCGTGACGCACCCGTTCCCCGCTCCGCACACGTTAGCCTGTCGCATTCCCGTCCCTCAAAAGTCGCCTGCTTCCGCCGCGCGCCGCATGCGGTTGTCGCTGGCGCGTTTCTCGCCGGCCCGCGTGCCGCGGGGCGTGGCGAGGGCGGCGCTGGGGGCGGCGTGGGTGGCGGGATGGGCGGGGCTGTGCGCGTGGGTGGTGTGGTTTGCGCACTCGCAGGCCGCCAATCCGCGGCAGGAGGCGATGCGAGCGTGGTGTCGCACGCGCGTGCGATACCTCCAGCAGGACATGCTATCGTCCGTCGCCCGCGCGCAGGTAGGCGATCAGCACCGGCGATGCCCCCCGTTCCGCGCGCAGGTGGTAGCGCCCCATTGCCCTGATGCGCGCGGGCCATCCGCGCAGGTCCCCCATCCGCGCAGGTCCCCCATCCGAGCAGGTCCTCCATCCGTGCAGGTCCTCCATCCGCGCAGGTCCTCCATCCGCGCACGCACGCGCATTTGCGCAGGTACTGATGCTGCATTGGGGGTTGAAAGTTACACGAAGGGTTACCACTGCCCGGCTTGTGAGTAAATTCCGTTTTTTACCCAGTGGTATAGGTTGGTATAAGAAGGGTAACCACCTCTCAGAGCTTGGTTCGAATCCCAGCTGGTCACATTCTCCGCCCGACCAACTGGTCGTAACGAGAATTTGGTGTGGTAACGTAGTGTGATACCCAGTAACCTTTTGCTGCTAGCCTGACCCTCCCCAGCAAAGTCGTTGCCTTGCCTCCTCTGAAGGTGCACATGATTCGTTGAATGGTGCACAGGTGGGCAGCAGGTGAACAGGTGGGCAGCAGATGAACAGGTGGGCAGCAGGTGAACAGGTGGGCAGCAGATGAACAGGTGGGCAGCAGGTGAACAGGTGGGCAGCAGGTGAACAGGTGGGCAGCAGATGAACAGGTGGGCAGCAGGTGAACAGGTGGGCAGCAGATGAACAGGTGGGCAGCAGGTGAACAGGTGGGCAGCAGGTGAACAGGTGGGCAGCAGGTGAACAGGTGGGCAGCAGATGAACAGGTGGGCAGCAGGTGAACAGGTGGGCAGCAGATGAACAGGTGGGCAGCAGGTGAACAGGTGGGCAGCAGGTGGGCAGCAGGTGGGCAGCAGGTGGGCAGCAGGTGGGCAGCAGGTGGGCAGCAGGTGGGCAGCAGGTGGGCAGCAGGTGGGCAGCAGATGGGCAGCAGGTGGGCAGCAGGTGGGCAGCAGGTGGGCAGCAGGTGGGTAGCAGGTGGGCAGCAGGTGGGCAGCAGGTGGGCAGCAGGTGGGCATCGGATGGGCATCAGGTGGGCAGCAGGTGGGCAGCAGGTGGGCAGCAGGTGGGCAGCAGATGGGCAGCAGGTGGGCAGCAGGTGGGCAGCAGTTGGGCAGCAGGTGAGCAGCAGGTGGGCAGCAGGTGGGCAGCAGGTGGGCAGCAGGTGGGCATCGGATGGGCATCAGGTGGGCAGCAGGTGGGCCAACTCCCTGATCCAACGAGGGTATTGGTACTAGGGGGGGGGGGATAGTTGTTGTAACCAAGTCCCGCTTCCCACGTCCCCCCTACACTTTTTGAGACGTCTCAAAAATAATCTTTTCACACGTGGCTCCAACGAGGTCATTGGCACTAGGGGGGGAGATTGTTGTTGTAACCAAGTCCCGCTTCCCACGTCCTCCCCCTTCTCTTTTCTCCCCTTAAATTCCATCTTCCCCCTCTTCCCATCGCTTTTTTCTCTATCTCTCCTCCTCTCATCTCCCTCCCTTCAAATCCTTCTCCCCCCTTTCCATGACCCCCTTTCCCGTCTCCCCTCTTCCCATCTTCCCATTTCCCATCTCCCCTGGACCTTCCACTGGGCATCCACGCTACAGGAGGCAGTAGGCCTGGTGAAGGAGTGGGGTCACTTTGGGCCCCGCAGTGACTTTTGAGTCGACTCAAAAGTCACCCACCCCGTTTCATCTCCCCTGGACCTTCCACTGGGCTCACGCTACAGGAGGCAGTCGGCGTGGTGAAGGAGTGGGCGCACTTTGGGCCGCGCAGGCGCAGCAGCAGCAACTCTCCTCATCTCCCCCTTTCCACCTCCCTGCCCCCCTCCTCCCCTCCCCGCGCATCTCACTTTGGCAGGAGGCAGTGGGCCAGGTGAAGGAGTGGGCGCACTTTGGCCCGCGCAGCAGCAGCATCGGTGGTAGCTCACACCCTCACCATTTGTTTTTTCCCTGGCCCCCTTTCTCCACCCGCTTTCCCGCTCGACTCCATTCCACAGGATGCAGTGGGCCTGGTGAAGGAGTGGGCGCACTTTGGCCCGCGCAGCAGCAGCATCGGTGGTAGCTCACACCCTCACCATTTGTTTTTTCCCTGGCCCCCTTTCTCCACCCGCTTTCCCGCTCGACTCCATTCCACAGGAGGCAGTGGGCCTGGTGAAGGAGTGGGCGCACTTTGGCCCGCGCAGCAGCAGCAGCCTGAGCTACTGGGGGCTGGCGGGGTGCGTGAACATTGGCTCGGGATGGCTGGGGAAGAAACTCGGCCTTCCTCCCTCCTCCCTTCCTCCCTCCTCCCCCCCCTTTCCCATCTTCCCCGCACCCCCCCACGTCCATCCCACTTTGGCAGGAGGCAGTGGGCCTGGTGAAGGAGTGGGCGCACTTTGGGCCGCGCAGCAGCAGCAACCTGAGCTACTGGGGGCTGGCGGGGTGCGTGAACAACAACTCCATCATGGCGTACACCTTACATGCTGACCGCATCGCCAACTACAGCAGCGGCACCGTCATCATGATCCTCTCCGATCAAGACAGGTCAGTCAAGTCAGGACCAAGTGGGCTGGCAGGCTGGCAGGTTGACCGTTGACCCCCCATTGCTCACTACAGCAGCGGCACCGTCGTCATGATCCTCTCCGATCAAGACAGGTCAGTCACATCTGGCGGGCTTTGAGGCACACACACACCCTAGACCCTAAAGTTCGGCGGTCCAATGCGATGGGCAACTGCACAGCAGCGGCCGGCACCGTCATCATGATCGTCTCAGACCAGGACAGGTCAGCTCTAGCTCTGGGGATGGCACCATTGAGGCCTCTCAACTCAAGACAGGTCTGCTCTGGCCGACTCTTTTGAGACGCCCTCAAACGGCTGGCAGGTTGAGTTGACCCCATTGCTGACTACAGCAGCGGCACCGTCATCATGATCCTCTCCGTCCGACCAAGGCAGGTCAGATTTGGGTTTCTTGCACGCACAGCCCGAAGCATGTGATGCACCTCGTGGAGTTATCAAAGTCCATATGCTGTTTGAAACAACAAAGTAGCCCCGTGGCGAGTCGGGACGATGCAGTTCCTTAAAAATGGAGCCAGTTTAGGCGAAAGCCGAGCCGAGCCAAGCTGGAACCCAGCATGGTTGGGTTGGCCTTTTGTGTGATGCACACCATTTGAACCTTTATTATGTTGTGCTACTCAAGCATTTCATTTCATCCATTTCATCCATGTCATCCATGCCTTTCATGTGAACCAAACAACATGAAAGCATGCCACAAAAGGTACGAGCAGTAGGAAGGAACTAGACATGACAGCCAACCTAGCCAAGAAGAGTCGGTTTTCTTTTGCCCAACTCAAACCTTTGTTCAAAGCCTCTCTAATCGAGTCTCTCAACTCGTAAGTCACTATTGACGCGAGCGACCTCTCTGGTTAGTAGCACGTACTTAAGCTAAGGCCTTTTTCATATCTGCGAATTTCACACTTGTTTTGTTACTGTTGATCCTTTGCTTAAGCGTCATCTTTACTACTGCGGCCCTTCGGACGTGAGTCAAGGTCACTGTTGACGCAACTGACCTCTCTGTTTTGTAGCACGTACTTGAATGTGATTCTGGTGCATACATTCGTCATGAGATGCAATTTCCAAGCATTCAAGCTGGCTTAGTTGGCACTTTACTTTACGACTTACAGTGGTTTACTTACGTGTACGTGAATGAACCCAGCATAAAGTGAGCCCAACTCAGAGGTACGTGAGCCCAACTCTCTTGCAATTTCCAAGCAGTAAAGCTGGCTTAGTTGGCTTTACGCTTACAGAGGTTTACGTGTACGTGACTCAACCAGAGAGTTGGAGCTCATTTCGAGATTTGAAATCTCAAACTCTGCTACGCCGTAACGCCCCTTACATTGTTGTTTACAAAATCCATGATAATCTGCAACCGATTTGGTGTAAGCCTTGGATTCTGGACGTGCCAAACCGAACCGTTCGGCCGAACCTGCCTGGTTTGTTAAAGAACCACGAACCGGGCGTAGCCAAAACTGGTTCGTCCATCAGCCAGTTCGGTCCATTCCTGAATTGGTTCAGTTTGCTGATGCCTGTTATCGAACCAGTTCAGTTCGGTTATCTGCTCATCCATACCATACCATACTGCAGGCTTTGTGTTGGTTCTGGAACACATATTGCCAACATGCCCGTCCTCACCTCACGCAGCATCCATATGCTCAACCCCATCCTTTAAGTCGACTCAGAAGTCAGCATACGTATGCTCCACCTCACCCTGGTCCTCACAGCGACCTTTTTGTCCCTCACCCTGGTCCTCACAGCGACCTTTTTGTCCCTCACCTCACCCTGGTCCTCACGGCGACCTCTTTGTCCCTCACCTCACCCTGGTCCTCACAGCGACCTTTTTGTCCCTCACCCTGATCCTCACAGCGACCTCTTTGTCCCTCACCTCACCCTGGTCCTCACATCGAGCTCATTTTTCTACATGCTTCTTTGCGCGCCCCTCTCGTCGTCCCTGCAGGCCATTAGTTGAGAAAATCGCAGGGTTTTCGATTCACTCAGTGCTGGGCCTGCCCGCCCCAAGGAAGGATCTGTACGGAGTGAACGTGTACGGCAGCATCAACCCCGACTTTCCCCTGCAGCCCTTCACTGACTTCGCACCGATCGTCCCTCCGGTCCTCCTTGACAGCCTGTTTAAAGGACGGACTATTGCAGGGCCTCCTCTCTCCACTGGATATGTGATGAGTGGTCCGTGCTCTCTCTCTCAACCGAGGGAATTGTACGCCGGCTATATGGAAATCACTTTCGAGAATTCTCATATGTGATGAGTGGTCCGTGCTCTCTCTCTCAACCGAGGGAATTGTACGCCGGCTGTATGGAAATCACTTTTGAGAATTCTCAAAGGTATGTGATGAGTGGTCCGTGCTCTCTCTCTCAACCGAGGGAATTGTACGCCGGCTATATGGAAATCACTTTTGCGAATTCTCATATGTGATGAGTGGTCCGTGCTCTCTCTCTCAACCGAGGGAATTGTACGCCGGCTATATGGAAATCACTTTTGAGAATTCTCAAAGGTATGTGATGAGTGGTCCGTGCTCTCTCTCTCAACCGAGGGAATTGTACGCCGGCTATATGGAAATCACTTTTGAGAATTCTCAAAGGTATGTGATGAGTGGTCCGTGCTCTCTCTCTCAACCGAGGGAATTGTACGCCGGCTATATGGAAATCACTTTTGAGAATTCTCAAAGGTATGTGATGAGTGGTCCGTGCTCTCTCTCTCAACCGAGGGAATTGTACGCCGGCTATATGGAAATCACTTTTGAGAATTCTCAAAGGTATGTGATGAGTGGTCCGTGCTCTCTCTCTCAACCGAGGGAATTGTACGCCGGCTATATGGAAATCACTTTTGAGAATTCTCAAAGGTATGTGATGAGTGGTCCGTGCTCTCTCTCTCAACCGAGGGAATTGTACGCCGGCTGTATGGAAATCACTTTTGAGAATTCTCAAAGGTATGTGATGAGTGGTCCGTGCTCTCTCTCTCAACCGAGGGAATTGTACGCCGGCTATATGGAAATCACTTTTGAGAATTCTCAAAGGTATGTGATGAGTGGTCCGTGCTCTCTCTTTGAACCGACTGCCTCCTTCTGAGCCGACTCAGACGCCTTTTGAGTTTACTCAAAAGCCTTTTGAGTTGACTCAAAAGTCAATTCCTCTCTCCACTGGATATGTCATGAGTGGTTCGTGCTCTATCAACCGACTGCCTCCTGTTGAGTCAACTCAAAAGCCTCAACAGCGTCTGCCTTATCTTGGTGGTTCAAATCAAGTGCCATCTACCCTTTTGGCCTGTATTACCTCATGAATGACTGTGTCACTGTAGTCTGTCTGTGGTTATTCTTGTAACCTCCTCTGCTTTCTATCACTATTGTCTTGTCGATGCCACTTGGTACTGAAGCTGCTAGTACATGGCACATTTTTAAGGCATGCTATTGAGTCTCAACTACCATATGCTTTGCACTAAGGCCGAACATGCCTTTGTTCTTTCTCAGCTAGCAATTCTTCTTGCCTGCTCCCAGCCACATGCACAAGGTGTGGTGAACCAAGTTTTGAGTCGACTCGAAACTCGACTGCTGCCAGCCACCTGTATGTACATACATGATGTGGAAAGCCCATTCATTCATTGCTTGCAACCGACTGTGTCAGAGCAAGCAAACTCCTTTGAGTTTGTTTCTGACAAATGGACGTCTCTTCGTCCGACCATTAAATGCACCTTTTTCCTTCCCCCGCATGCGCCCTTCTTCCTGCCTTTCCTTGCAGCCTTCGTTGTGCCCATCTTCCGCCATCCTGTGCCAGCCACTGCGACTTCACTTTTGAGTCGACTCAAAAGTCAACTCCCTCCCCTCCCTTCGTTTTTCTTGCAGCCTTCGTTGTGCCCATCTTCCGCCATCCTCTGCCTGCCAACGCGTCTTTACAGCAGATTCGGGACGCCATGAGCATTGCATGGGGCGGTGTGTTTCATCTGGAGTTCAGGACCCGTGAAATACTACAAATCCTTGAGAATGGTGAGTTTGTGGACTTTGTTTCATGCTCGGGGGCATAGAAAGCTCATTCTAGAACCCACTTAGTTCCTGCCCCTCTTCTTTGTTTGCCACTGTTCCAATTCTTTGTTTTGCAATTGTCTGCCGTCTGAATTTACGTGCTGGTAGCATACAGTTGTTGCCACTGCTCCCCGTATTCTGTTACTTGCATTGGAGCCACTTTTGAAAATTTTCATTGTTCTATCTTATCTTGTTCCATATGCTTGTTGTTGTAACCTCGCCTTGCTGTCATCCTTGCTTGTTCCCCCCTCATCTGAGTGCAGGAAGCAGCACATACTCCTTTGCCATGTACGACAACACGGACCCGGGCGAGCTCACGAGATATTGGGCCCCGCGAAATCACTGTTGAAAACCATTTCTGTTTTCCCGTTTGTGCTACCCACTCCTGTTTCTGCCTTGCTCTCCTGATGGCAGGCAGCAGCACAGCACATACCCATTTGCCATGTACGACAACACGGATTCCGGGCGAGCTGATCTTTGAGAATTCTCAAAAACCAGACTCATTACTGGTTGACGTGCATGTTCCTCCCTCTCTGCTTCTCTTCTTGTCGCAGGCAGCAGCACATATTCCTTTGCCATGTACGACAACACGGAACCGGGCGAGCTCAAGCAGATATTGGGCCCCGACAAGCCACTCCTGGAAAGCCGTTCGGTCTTCCCCTTTGTGCTGCCCGCGCCGGTTGCACCACCGGAGCATGTGGAGCCTTTCCCCGAGAACATGATGGGACGCACATTCGAAGCCCACTGCGGGTACGTGCTGCTAGGTGTGGGCCGTGGCATGTGTGGGTTGTGTCTTCCCCTACGTGCTGCCAGCGCCTGTGGCTGTGCCACCCGAGCATGTGGAGCCTTTCCCCGAGAGCATGCTTGGACGCACATTCGAAGCCCACTGCGGGTACGTATACATTGGGGGTTGCCAACATGTATCGTCTACAGCATTGCGCAATGCGGGTATGTATGTACACATAAGATGCTGCTGACTGGCCTTCAGTTCTGCTTAGCAGAGCACAACGCAAGACTCAAGTTGTGCTAAGTTTGACCAGCTGAATCTGTTTGCCCAAGACGCCGCACTACAAGGGAAGGCGCGGCCGCGGTGTTGAGACTGCATGACACCGATGCAACAACAAATCCGCAACGATACAATGGATGGAACAGGCACGAGAAAAAGGTGTAGCCATACGGGTCGGAACCTACTCGAACCAGCAGTTTCTGGAACCGAACTGATTTGATTCAGGCCAAATCAGTTAATAGCTCTTAGAGGTTCGATGAGGTTAGACCATTTCGGTCAAGCCAGAACCCATTAGTCTCAAATAACCCAAGTATTGGCTTATGTGCCTGCGTGGTGTGTTCTCCCACTGTAGCATGATTGTGATAATGTGAGTACCTTAGGGTATTTTTTAGAATAAAAAAATACCCTTCAGCATGATTGTGATAATGCGAGTACCTTGATTGTAAGGTGTCGCACGCTGGTTGTCATTTGAACTTGAGTGTTATTGTCAGTTGACGTGTGAATACGTTGAACTGAACCGAACCGTGTGAATACGTTGAACTGAACTGAACCGGGGGTAGAGCTTAAAGCCAACCATATTAGAACAAACCAGTTCAACCCCAACCAGTTTCGGTTCCTGTCGAACCAGTTCAGGGTTGGGCGCAAACGAGCTGAACTGGCTCGGTTCATTGCTGCTCGTCCCCATTGTAGTGCCCTCCCCCAAGTTGTTACAGTTTTGTCGTCCACGTTCTTGTTTGTCCGCATGGTGACTTTATGTGCTTCTGTACTTGTGTTTTTTCTCGTATCTCCTTCTCCTTTTCAGCTACTGTTGATTATTCCTATATGAAGTCTGCAGCTACAGGAACTACTGCCGAATTGCGAATGTCTCTACACATGAAGAACGTGAAAGTAGGAAGAAACGAGCCATGCATTTTTCAGATTTCTACCCCTTACCCTTTTGCAGGTTTCTGCTTCCCCCGCCTACTTGGGACCTCGTGTATGCTCCCATGCTTCTGGCCCTGCTGGTGCTACTAGTGGGAGTGCTACTGTCCATCATGATCGCAGTGTTGGCATGGAAGAGGAGACATATTGAAGAGCACATGAGGGAGATTCAGATATGCACGGCCATTTTGGAGCGAGCTGAGAGGTCCAAGAGTGAGGCGGTGGCCAGCACGTCGCATGAGCTGCGCACCCCAATCATTGGCATGATGGGTTAGTAAGGCATGGTGTGGTGTAGGGTGAGGGCATGCACACTATACTATACCATTAGTTCCTCTCCCCATTTCTTCTATTATGCTGAAGAAGATTATAGAAACCGACCCGCCTTCAGTCATATCTCTCATCAAACTGGAATGTGTGCTTTCTCTCTCGCAGGCATGATAGAGGAGCTGTTGGAGTCACCATTGGAGGAGTGGCAGCGGGCAGAGCTGGTGGATGCGAGGGCGTGTGCGGGCGAGATGGTGGAGCTTATCAACCGAGTGTTGGACCTCGCCAAGCTGCAGGCCGGCCGCCTGCAGCTCGAGACTCTCCCCTGCTGCCTGTGCCGCATCGTTCATGAGGCGGCCACGCTTGTCAAGCGCTCTGCACACTCGGCGGATTTGCAGGGTACCATATAATTGTGCGATCCAGTCTTTGAACTCATTGGATTTCATAAATTTATAGGCTTATATACTGTGTTTATTTGTTCACTTGTTGACTGCAGTACCATTCAATGTGGATGAGAACGTTCCAAGGACTTTATTGGGCGATCCAGTGCGGCTCTCGCAAGTCATCTCTGAGCTTGTTGGTGAGTTCCTCGTTACACAAGTGTACAGTAGTACTTCATTTGGCATTAGCTAAGCACGAGCAAGGTCCAGCCAGTGAGGAAATGCCACCCGCCCATCCAAGCCAAAGTAAGGGCAGGTCAAAGGCTGGCCTGTCACGGACTGGCCTTCTGCAGCCCATCACATTCTGATGGGCTGCAGGCTTTTTCCCAAGGCTGTGCCAGTTCTGCAGCCCATCAGAATGTGATGGGCTGCGGAAGGCTCTTGAACAGCTGAGTTCTGCCCGGCTTAGGCCTTCCTTAGGCTGTGCGTTGATGCATTTTGTGGATGCAATTCTTGTTCTCACGAAACGAAGAATGCACTGTTCGCCCTGTTTTGCAAAATCTTGAGCGTGTTTGTGGACACCTTTGAGATGTTTTACAAACACACCATTCGCAAATGTGTGATCAGACATTCCAGCGAGTTGCAGGCATTTGGCAGCGAGGTGAAGGCTTGCTAGGGGCTTCCGTACAGCCGAAACATGTTTGTCTGTGTTTTAACCACTGCTTAGTGAAGAGCTCCGACTTTACAGAACCCTGCGTGAACTATCTAGGTTTTACTACTACTGTTTTCTCCTTTGCTAAACCTTCCCCTCAGGAACTGCAGCTCGCTGGAATGTCTGATCACACGTTTTTTTACACCTTTGAGATGTTTTACAAACACACCATTCGCAAATGTGTGATCAGACATTCCAGCGAGTTGCAGGCATTTGGCAGCGAGGTGAAGGCTTGCTAGGGGCTTCCATACAGCCGAAACATGTTTGTCTGTGTTTTAACCACTGCTTAGTGAAGAGCTCCGACTTTACAGAACCCTGCGTGAACTATCTAGGTTTTACTACTACTGTTTTCTCCTTTGCTAAACCTTCTCCTCAGGAACTGCAGCTCGCTGGAATGTCTGATCACACGTATGTGGACACCTTTGAGATGTTTTACAAACACACCATTTGCAAATGGTGCATCGCAATTGTCTCAGGCGCTCATTTCTAGCATCAAACAGCAGGTGGTATATTGACGTCATGGCCAACTCAACTTGAGGTCCCAATGATCTACGTGAGATGGGTCTACACACTAGACAAGGACGGGGACCGCGAATGTTGTGGCCATGCAAGTTGTTGCATCTCGTAGTGACAATATGTATTAACGACTTAGATAAAGTTTCAGTCTGCCTCATAATTGCTGCCTCGAATCTCCATTCGTTCACTCTTCGGTCGCTGCCCAATGTCTGTGGGTCCATCGTCCCTTCCAGGCACCTCATTCCTCTTCCCATTGCGTACCCATTCCAGGTCACGGTCCATTTGTTTTTAAAGATTCCAATAATCACTTCTCAGATTTTCTATCAAGAGAGACACGAGATTTTCAGATTTTCTATCAAGAGAGACACGAGCAGCAACAAATGAACTCGCGATTTGACACTGTGGGCCTGGGCTGGAGATACTGTGATGTGAATCACACGACTGTCTCATTCTTAATTACTTGGCATTGACGTACTCTGCGTCCACCTATCTGTATCATATGACCTGGCACCCACTGCAGTGCGGAGCAGTTAAAGCCATTATTTACGAAGTCGCTTGCAGAGGCATGCAGTGTCATCAGCCAGTTATTCTCTTCCCTGATTGCCAGATTATCCCTCCCTCTGTGTGCCACCTCCCACACACCCCTACCTCCTGCAGGCAATGCCATGAGCCACACAGCATCAGGCCACGTGGCCATCCGCGTCTGGTGCATCCCTCCTCCAAATTCCGATCCGAGAAATGCTGCTTCATCTTCCCAAAGCACCCCTTCAGCTCCTACACCCGCTGCTCCCACGGGCGCCACACAATCTCAAGCCTCCTCCTCTGAGCCTCCCCCGGCGTCCTCGTCATGGCATCAGCTGGCCGGCTGTGTGCGGCGCTTCCCTCTGCCCACGCGCCTGGTCTGCCTCCCTCAGCGCCCCCCTGCCAGCCAAAGGGGGCCTGTGGGCAACGGGAGTGGACGATGGTGGGGGTGGGGGGAACTGCAAGGGAGAGGTGGTAGAGGGAAGGTGGGAGCACACGGAGAGCCAAGAGGTGGTGCTGTGGAGGCCAGGGAAATGGAAGGTGCTGTGGTGGCGTGTGGGCAGGCGTGTGGGCAGGCGTGTGGGCAGGCGTGCAGCAGAGATGGCATGAGCACTCTGGGGGAGGGGCAGGGCGCGGGTGGGCGGCTGGAGGAGGAGGTGAGGGAGTGGGTGGAGGGGGCGTGTGCGGTGAGGGAGGAGGGCGAGTGGATGGTGGTGGTGGCGTGTGAAGACACGGGCGGTGGTATTCCACCCGAGGAGCTGCGGTGGGTGCTGGACCCACACGGAGAGTCGTGCCACTCAATGGACGACACTGAGGAGTATGGAGATCTGAACGGCAAGGGGCAGCAAGGACTCATGGTCTGTGCCTTCTTTGTTGTCGCATGCCTTTTGAGGCGCCTCAAAAGGCAGGAAGGAACCATGGCAGATGCTTCTGCCATGAACGGCACCGAGTGATGCATCCCTGTTTTTGAGCCTCGGTGTTCCTTGGGTCAAGGCATCACCTGGGTTAGGAAAACTCTCAAGCAAGTATTCTCTTTCCCGCTGCTGCAAGTTGACTATCGCCTGCATCCTTTTATACCTTGACCCTTTACGTTTTCCTTGTTTCCTCGCTTCCTCATCCTTCAAACATCTCAGGAGAAAATCACATTGTTTTGGAGGTCAGAATCACAAAGCTCAGCGGGAAATTCATCACCGCAGCGGCAGCAGCGGGAGCGAAGCACGTGGGATCCGTTGCAGCGAGATGGCAAGGCAGCTACCGGCCCCCGCTGGACTCCCTACCCTGTTCGCTTCCTGCTCTCCACCTCCCTTGTGAGTGTCTCAATCTCCTCTGTAAGCTCCCTACCATGCTCGTGTGACTGTCGTCAATGTTTGCACGCTGACTTTTGAGGCGCCTCAAAAGTCGTCTCTCTGTGAGCTCCCTACCATGCTCGTGTGACTGTAGTCAAAGATGTTTCCATGATGTTCGATAGACAGAGCAATTGGCCTCAATGTTCCTTGCATAGTGGTGCCATTTTCTCCACTCAACCGACGTACCTTCCATTTTCCACTTTCCAATCTCCCTCTGCATCTCAGGTGGCAGAGATGCGGGGGGGCATGGCAGTGCTGTCAGACGCCGCCACAGGCACCACCATTCTGCTGGCGCTGCCCATGGGGGGAGGGGAGGACGCCAGCAGCAACACGGGAGTTGCGGAGGGGAGTAAGCAGGAAAGTGAGGAGGAGGGAGAAGGGGAGTTGGGGGGGCTGGTGAGGAGTGTGCGGAGCGAGAGAGCTGGTCGCATGGAGGCATGGAGGGGCCACCCAGTGCTGCAGCGCCTCTCCCTCACGCTCTTGCTGTGGTGCTACCAGCTTTGCCACCGCAGACACAAGCAGCAGCAGCAGCAGCAGCAGCGGCGGTGGCCCAGCCAACCTCGCCGCTGGTGCGGGCACGCACGTTCCCAGAAGCGGAGTTGGAGAGGGTTGCGGGGATGCGGAGCGGGTGGTGCGGGGGGCGGTGGCGGGGCGGGGGGTGGCGGTGGTGGATGACAACGCGGTGAACCGCATGGTGGCAAGGAGAACGCTGCAGGGCTACGGGGCGCACGTGCTGCTGCTGTGCTCCGGGGAGGACGCGCTGCAATCGCTCTCCTCTGCCACGCCCTCCCCGCCCATCCACCTGCTCCTCCTCGACCTCCACATGCCGCCCGGCATCGACGGGTCCGTCCCTTGCGACACCTTTCTTTTGCCTTGTCTACATTCTCATGACATCAGTCTGTACATGTTGTTCTTGCCATTGTTGGACTGTGTTTGGGATCCGTTTCTCTTGTCCTGAGCATGACCTTCCGCCTGCTTACTTCACATTTTATTGATGTGCTTTTCGGTGCACATTCGATACAACTTGTCTCCCCTTGTTCCTTTTGTCGCCATCCAATTGGCTGCCTGGGTACTTCAGATTCGAAACAGCTCGTCAAGTTCGGGCCATGGAAAACACGTGTCAGATGAAAGTGGAAACGAGTGCGGAAATACGAGATGTAGCCGAGTCGAGTGTAGATGATGCAAGAGTGGTAACGTGTGCATCCGGGCAGCGGCTTTGCATTATAGCGTTGACTGCAGACTTGGACGCAGGGATCAAGAGAGCATGCCTGGAGGCTGGAATGGATGGAGCAGTGAGAAAGCCGATAGTGGCTCAGGAGCTTGCTGCAGCACTCTCTGCTGCAGGGATCATACAAAGATCTGAGTGATAACAATTCATTTAATACGAGGCTCAAGCTCTACCTTAGGGGAAGCTACCGATTCCCTCGTGGCTTTTAATAATGTTTATTCTTTCTTTTCTTATCATTACTATTGTAGTCCTACCGTATCACTACCTTAGGGTGTGTTCCTACCCCTCGTATCAGGCAACCTCATATCAGACTTGCCTGGTAAAACTAGAGAAGGATGTTGGGTTTAGGGGAATTTTCAGTGTGAGCCTGATATGAGGTTCGCTTGATACCGTAAGAGGCGTAGGAACACACCCTTAGTTATTATTACATTTTCGGTATGCATGTACTGTTCTATTCTCGGTAATCTCGGAAAAACTGAATACTTTCGTCACTCAAGCATTTCGAACGAATGACTTCCGAGATTACCTCGCCGCCATGGATTCTGTCATCTTCGAGCCGCTCAATGTCCGCGTTACACAACACTGATCAGACCTCTGATTACACCATAAGATTCGTCTTTAACAAAGCTACCGGGAGACCTGTCATTGATGCTGACATTGGCTCAACCTGTTATACGACGATCGTCCCAGGGGTCTGTCAGGCAACATCTAGGTTACGACATCAAAGGCTACGATTCATTGACAATGGCGTTTTTCCTTTTACGAAAGTTACCAACACTATCATCACTATCACTTCTAAACATCGGGAACTCAGCACTATCAGCAGGAGCTCCTCAAGCCACCCTTACTACTTAACAATGAAGTGCTCAGACTTCGGCCATATCATCAGCCTGGCTGGGCTTCAGATTGTGTTTTTTGCACCTTTTCTTGGCCACGTTGTCGTCATTGCACCATGGCGCACCCGAAAGGCTCTCGCTCCAAGGCGACGTCTGACCCGCCTGCTTCTTCTGACACGCTTCCTCCTGCTCTGGACAAGTCGTTGGGAGGAAATGGTGAAGTCACTGAGTCGACAACTGTTGACAATGCTGCTGCTGGTGGTTCCGGCTTATCTGTGGAAGACAAGGCAAAGGACAACGCGACACAAGGAAAGCCGGCGGTTATCATTGATGAGGATGGATTCATTGATGAGGACTCTGACGACGACATGGAGATTAATCTGGAAGAAGAAGCTGCAACCAGGCTGCGTACCACCATTATCCTGCTTCTTCCTTTTATTCTTGCTCAAGAGGTTGCCTGTGTTATCGATGCTGTGAAAATGCTGATGAAGCGTGGGTGGAATGCAGAGCTCTCAGCCGACGTGCTGCTCACGGCAAAGTTCCAGATCCTGAACCCGATCTACATCGCGAAGGTCCGCTACTGCCGTCTTCAGATCTCCTTCGCCCTGGATGATGATGCGGAATGTGTGAGGAGCAAAGAGGTGGTTTATCAGCGCCCTAATGGCCCTACACTGGCTTTTAACTGACAACAAGGAGTTTCTGAGGGAGAAAGTGCTCTATCCTCATGCGATTGAAGTCGTCCTCAAGGATGTTTCGGCGACGATCGAGATTGACCTGCTGATCAAGCGTTTCGTGACTTACAACTTGGCAAACCGGAAGCGTCCGGCCTTCTTACGCGCATCCTGCTTCCACCGCGTGCTGCATCCGGCGGATACCGATGTTGTCAAGGGACTGGTGTACGCTCATCCTGGCGATCAGCATCGCTGGATTCACGCAGTGTCTGACCCGGCTGACCGTGCGAGAAGGATCTTGGTTCACTACCCCTCGTTGTCCTGCACTCTTTGTGGAGGTCAACATTATGATAAGTATCATAATGTTTTCGCCGTAGATAGACAGAACAATGTGGGGAAATGGAACTTGACCATAGGGAAGGCTCACAGGCTTAACGGTAATGACTTCTCGCTTTTACCCACAACTGCTTACCTTTCTTTCGGACTCACTTTTACTGACGGTGTGCTTGATCCGCGCAGCTGCATCATTGAGAACCGACCCGTTAGTCCTCCCCCTTCTTCGCGACCCTGCTCTGGCACTGATTTCAACGGGGACAAACCGGGAGGAGTGGCTGTGCACGCAAGCCAACTGCAAGAAAGCCCACGGCAAGAGTTTTGCGTCTGCAAAAGACCACATCGCATCTGCTACTCACCTCACTCATCTGGGGGAGCTGGGTTCTGCAACCAAAGCGTCACTGGAAAAGACAAGTCTGACGGTAATAAAGAAGGAGTACGGAATCTGACGATGCTGTTTGACATTGCGACCGGAGCGTGCCTAGTTGTCAGTATAGCCTGTTCAGTAGCTTTTCTCAGCCTGTGGATGAATAAAGGCTGCCAAGCGGTGGTCAAATGAGTAACAAGAACAACATTCTCACCTGCGCGTGTCTCAATGAGCAGACGGTATCGTTATTCTAGTAGACACCAGGCTAGGCTCCTCTCACACTTACTGGTCTTCACCACAGTTCTCTACGGTAGCAGCCACCTCTCCCTTAGCCAAGGCCGGTGGTGTCGCTGTCCTTAGCCGCAACCCCGCTCTTACCTTTCTTAACACCTGCTCACATCCAACAGGTAGAATCATTAGATCCGAGGTCAACGGCTCTGGTATTCAGTTTACCTTATTCGCGGTTTACCTTCCCCCGGATATAGGCATGAGGAATGCCTTCGTAGCCAATGATCTTGGCCCCATGATAGACCAGGTTGACCCAACCGCGCACCTGTTGCTGATAGGAGACTTGAACATGATAGAAGACCCGGCTTTAGACAGAACCTCAGGTTGCGGTCATGCGAAGGATAACGACAGACTTCTTACTAGATGTGGCTCTTTCCAGCTCTCAGACGCCTTTAGAACTCTTTACCCCCGCAGACTAGAATACACCACCTACTCGCACGCACAGAAAGCCAGCTCTAGAATAGACAGAGCACTGGTATCTCTCTCACTACTTCCTTTCTTGGACGACGTCTCGCATGTCTCACCTGCCGAGCGTGTCTCTGATCACCTCTTCGTGATTCAGGTAGCCATCAGGGTAGACGCCAAGGTTCACACAGGTCCTGGTATCTGGAGACTTGAACAGACCAGGGGTGCGACGGGTAATAGAACAGACACTGCAAGGTACAGCGGTAACAGACGGAGCCAGCTATGAGCTTCTCATCGCCAGGCTCAACGCAGGCCTCAAGGTTTACGCAAGGGAAGAGCGGAAGCGTGTCCGCGCGACTTTCGCTCACCTGCGGGGATCTGTGGAAAGGCTCCGGCAGGAGGTGCTGGGGAACCCCAATTGTGACCAGAGGAAGGCGCTGCTGGATGAAAAGGAAGGGCAACTCAAAGAGTATCAGGCGACGAGAAGAGATCGGCGTCACCTGATGGCTGACCTGGATGCGGAAATGTCGGGGGAGATTTCCGGGAAGCAGCTCTCGAGGCAGTTGAAGGCGAGGAGAAGCCGCACGCAGATTCTGGAACTGAATGTCGCGGGAGGTCCGGTCGCTGACTCAAAACGTATTCTCTCGGCGGCCTCAGACTTCTTCAGGGCGATTTTCGGTGCGGATCGAAGAACAGACTTCAGTGATTGGTCCCCAATACCGGAACGTTACCTCGGTAGTGCGGAAGCTGGGGGGCTGGAAGCGGATTGGACAGAGGAAGAAGTCAAAGCGGCTTTCAAAGACATGGCGAAAAACAAATCGCCGGGGCTGGACGGGTTACCGAAGGAGCTTTTTGAAAACAACTGGGATCTGCTGGGGGGAAGTTTCATGTCGCTGGTCAAGGACTTCACTGCGACTGCAAAGCTTCCCGCTGAAACGAAAGGGGCGGTGACAATTCTTCTGCACAAGAAGGGGGACAAGAATCAGCTAGGAAATTACCGTCCTATCACTCTGCTCAATTTCACCTACAAAATTCTGGCGAAAGTGCTGGCGGACAGATTGAAAAAGGTGCTGCACAACGTGATCTCACCTGAGCAATACGGTTTCATACCCGGACGCAAGCTCACTGACGCAGTTGCTCTGGTTGCCGATATCATTGATGCGGCGAAAAATGGAAACAAGGACTGGCATCTGCTGCTCGTTGACTTTCAAAAGGCGTTCGACTCGGTCTCAAGGAGTTTCATCTTCCAAGTCCTGAGGAAGATGGGCCTCCCAAACCGTTTCGTTGGCTGGGTTGAAGGGCTGCACGCACAGACGACGACGCGGATGTTAATCAACGGATGGCTGGGAGGAGGGATTGACGTGGAATCGGGTGTGAGGCAAGGTTGCCCGCTAGCACCTTACCTCTTCCTGTGTGCGGTCGAGCCGTTGGTGCAAGAAGTGGAGAGGAAGCAGTTGGGGTTGTGCGACACTGCATCAGGGAAACGCTTGTCGTACCTGGGGTATGCTGACGACACCACCCTGATCCTGGAGGGAAAGCAGCAGATCAAGGAGGCCGAGGAGGTGTTAGAGGAGTTTGAGAAGAAATCAGGGCTGGCAACCAACAAAGAGAAATCGGTGGTGCTGCCGTTGGGAGCGAACCTGGGTATGCCGTCAGAGGGTTCCTTCAAATGGGCCGGGCCGAAGGATGCAGAACGCCTCCTGGGAGTGTGGGTCACGCCGGACGGCAGTTGCCTGCCAACATGGGAAAAGACGCTTGGGGGAGTAACAAAGAAGCTGACGGGTTGGCGGCAAAAATACCTCACAGAAAAGGCGCGGACGGCGGTGTCAAATTGCTACATCTCGCCAATGGTCGCTTTTCAAGCGCAGGTGTATCCTCCCCCAAAGGAAATATGGGCCGAGACGGAGAGGCTTCTGCACAATTTTGTCTCTGGGAATAAAGCTACCCCAGCGAAAGACCTTGTGTTGTGGAGCAAGGAGCTGCTCTACACGCCACGGAAAGGGGGGGGTCTTGGAGTTCAAGATCCCAACGTCCTGTTGGCGTGTTTATCGGCCAGAAGAGTGGGGCTGCTGATGACGGAAGCCGATGAGCTCAAACGGGAGCTGATGCTGAAGGCAGCAGATCTTCCGCTTGGGCTTGACACCTTCACATCGCACGACAAGCTCCTGAAGAATTGGGAAGGGAGGAGTCAGCGCTGGAAACAAACATGTGAAGCTTTCATGAAGTCGCCCCTCAGTGAACGGACGGTGCCACTTACAAGAGAGGCGGTGGGGCAAGAGAGGCTGGTTTTCAACAGGAAAATTCTAGTCGGGGTGGTTGCGCCGGTGGGAGGACAGAAACACGCGAAGGCGTTGTGGGAAACCCGGCTAGGTGATCTGGTGAAGCAGTTACCTGATGGAAGCTGGGCGAAAAAATCCATGGAGGAGCTGACAGAGGAGCTGGGGGACAAAGGTCCGGCTAGGCTGGCGCTGAAAGCTCTCGAGATGGCCCCAACAGAATGGAAGGAGACTCTGCTGACCCCTGGCGAGTGCTCGGCTGGCTCGGTGCCTACAGCAGCGCAAAAGCTTCCGCAAGTCCCCTTGTTCGAGGACGGGAAGGTGATCCCCCTTGCAAAGATGAAGAGTTTCTGGAAGGGGGAAAAGCTGCAGTCGCACAGAAGGCTGAAGTGGGCGGAACGATGGCGGGGGCGAATTGACTGGAACAGAGCGACGGGCATCAGAGAGTCCCTCGTCACACCAAGCAGACCAAGAGACATGCTTACCCGAATCCATAATTTCAATCTTCAAGTTGGAGAAAGGTTGGCGTTTCTCAGCAGCAAGCCTGCATGTCCGCACTGCTCCGAGGAAGAGACACTGGAGCACTGCCTTTTCACCTGCCCTAAAATCCAGTCGGTGGTATTGGCTCTGAAGCGGGCACTGTGGTTGATCAATCCACAGCGCACAGTGTCTGATCTGGGGGACCTGTTGTTCCAGTAGGCGGGATCCAGCTCAGCCTTCCCAGAAGCGACATTGATTGCCATCTCGTTACATCAGCTTTGGTTGGAGCGATGTGACGCGGTTTTCCGGGGGAAGAAGTTCAGAACGCGCCGAGTGCTGAGGCGGATTATTTTCGCGTTCAGGCTGCATGTGAGGGTTTACATCAAGGCGAGGGACGTGACGTGTCGAAAAAGGAAGAGAGCTGGTCATAAGGACAAAATACAACGGTGGATGGCGGAAGAGCAAAAGCTGCTGGACCGGATTAAGACAGCTGGAGATAAGAAGCTGACGTGGGTCAGGTCCTTTGAGACAATTTGGACCAACCCACGCATGATTCATCACCCTCCTTAGAAGCCCATCTGGGGCAGAAGGCCCTGCCCCTCACGCGCAGTTACGACTGTTTTTGTTAGCATGCACTTGTCTCATCGGTGTATGCTTTCAATTACAATAACAAACAAGAGGCGACAGGGTCGTCCTAGGGTTGCGAAGCTCTTTCTGTAATGGTAAGTACAATTTAGTGAGTTGTACATCCTCAGAAAATGTACACAATAGCATGACGCTCAATAGGCAATTCCTAGGCAAAGAGTCGAAATTCTGCACTCGCGGGATTCGAACCCTCGACTTTTCGATCGTAGACTCCAACGACTCGGCCAATGCCTTTGACTTAGGTTTCCAACTAATTTTTATTGTGTAAGTTCGCTGCGACGAATCTGACACATTCCTAGGGTTTGATCGACCCTTTTTCTCCCTTCCTCTCGTTAACTGAGCTCCCCGCTAGTCAGGTTCTACCAACTAATTCAAGTCTCTACTAAGGTGAAAACAATCCTAACCTATCAGGTAGTTTTAAGTTAGATGATACAAGCTAGGCTAACATGTGTCGATCTCTTCTCAAAGTCGTTTATAGGGAATGTTCTATGGTTTGGTTTTTTTCCTTCGTTTTCCTTGTCCTACTTGGAGCAATCCACCCTCCCTCTCCTACTTCCTCTCGTTCTGCCAACGAGCTACGGGAGTTTCCACTAGGTAAGAACTTACAGCTTAAAGTCGTTCGACTTAATTCTAACTTAGGTCGACTTAGATTCAACCTAGGTGGACTTCGATCTTGGTTTAACATATGTTGATTTAGGCCGGCTGGCCATTTCGTCCTATTTAACTGTTGATTTAGGCCGGCTGGCCATTTCGGCCTATTTAACTAAATCAATTTGTTTAGTACAAGCCATTGGCTGTAATGTACCTATCTTAGCCTCATTCCATCCGTTTGTTTCCTTTCCATTTCAAATTTTCGTTTTCTTTCTCATTTCTCCATGAAGTTTTCTATCTCTCTTTCTTACTGTTTTTTCTTTCTCTCAGCAGCCTCTTCAGTTCGTTGAACTTTTCTTCCTTCCATCTTGTAATTATTTCGTCTTTCATTCTTACGTGCTCTTCAGCTTTCTTTAGTTTAACGTCTATCCGTTCATTTTCTTTTAGCTTCCTGCTGTAGTGTATCTTTTCTTTCCATACATGTTTTCTTCACTTCGTTTGTTGATTCCTTCTTGTTCCCTTCTCTTTACTGTCAGTTTTTTTTCCTTGTATAGTCGTTCGATTTCAGCGTTATCCGGTCTTATATTGTATTCTTGCGTCTCTCCTTCCTACCTGTTGCATGTTCTCCTTTCTCTCTGTAATTTCCTTTCTCTTTTCTTCCCATATTACTTCTTTCCATCTTACGTGCCCTCCAGATTTTCCCTGTTTCATTTCTTAACCTTTCTTATCCTTGCTTTCTTTTTGTCTCAACTATTTCTTTCCCTTCTACGCATTCATTTCATTTCCCTACATTGTCTAATCGTTTTGTTATGTCTTTCTGTTGCGTTCTTTGCTGATTGTTTTACCACTCCCCTCTCATTCTCATCTTGTTCCTTCTCTTCTCTTGCGTATTCTTCTTCTTGTCACTTGTTTCCTTTTGTTTGGTAAGTAGTATTACTGTTTTATTCTGTTGATGTCTTCACCACCCATTCTGCACTCGTAACGTTTTTATGTCTATTCCTTGCTTTGATCTATTACTTGCTTCCGTTCGTATATTCGCCGTCTCCTTTCTTTCATCGTCCTTGTCCTAAGCCTTCCTCTTATTTGATTGTTTATTGGACAAGAATAAAATCTTTCCCTCTCTCCCCCCCTCTTCCACCCACTACCCCTCCCTCTCCCCCCCTTTTTTTTATGTTTAGAGGCTTTGCTGTTTGCTACAGGCTGCCAAGATTACTTATGAAGTATAACGATAATAGTTATGATTTGTGGAGCTGCATTGTATTGATAATTCTCGTTTGCATTGGTTTTATTGTTTCTATTGTTTCTGCATTGCCCTTGTGTGTGTGAAAGGATTGTGTCTGAGATTTTGTGTGAGCATATCCGTATGTGCGTCGTGTATGTGTCTTCGTGTGTGCACACTCATCCATATGTATTTATCATTGCATTAACAATGCGCATCTGTGGATTTTAAAAAGATGGTCAAACCATCATTTCCGAGAAGGTTCTTTGCCCACTCAGTGAGTGTGTTCATTTGAACTGGATTTGATGGATCTTGATCATTTTTTTGGTTTTCACAGATTGTGTTGTTTCATGTAACAGTTGGATGATTCAGGAACTATGCTATTGAGCTCCCCCCCATGCTAGGCAGGGGATGCGGTAGCATAGGGTCTGGGTCAATTAACTTTGCGCATTTCGATCATGGTATACATTCATTTCACTACACTGGACGTATACCCAGATATATGTCAGAATGAAGAATGGATGATGCATTGATGTTGGTTGGGGTACATATAGCTAACCCTAAGTTTTGTACCCCCTAAGACAAACCTCACTATAGGCTACAACATTTGACACACCCCCATAGCCTAAATGAGGGGTGTCTAGCAGAACCACACGAGTACGGTCACAAGACCAGTCCAAGAAACGAAGCTCAGGGTGGATCACAACGTCACCACACAGTCTGAGCACAAACAACAGTGGCCACAAGGCCAGTCCAAGAAGTAACAGAGGTATATAGAAAGCAAAGTAAACAGTACACTCAAGTCTAAGCAACACGAGAACCAGTGTCAACAAGGCCTAACTGCACACAGCACCTCTGGTGGTCACAAGGCGGAAGCGCCTTGGTGAAGATGTCTGCAGTGTTGGCCTCGGACTCCACAAACTCAAAGCGAGCCTGTCCACGCCTCTGCAACTCTCGCAGAAGAAAGTACCTGACGTGAATGTGCTTCACTCTGCTCTCCAGTCGTGGCTCTCGACAAAGGAGAATAGACGCCTTGTTGTCAGTGAACAAGGTCGGTGCAGAGCTCGGCCGCTCACCAAGGTCGGTGAGCAAGAAGGTCAACCAACGCAGCTCCTGTGCCGCCATGGCACCAGCGTAGATCTCAGCCTCAGCTGTAGAGGTCGAGACCGAAGAGGAGCGCGTGGACCGCCAGGAAACAGCTCCAGAACCCAGGCTGAAACAGTACCCCTGAGTAGACCTGTGAGTCTCAGCGTCGTCAGCGTAAGAGGAGTCACAGTGACCAGTAAGTACGACAGACTGCTGCCCTCCAAGAACTAGCCCCACGCCTGACGTCGTCGCTAGGTACTTCGCCACCCTCACAGCTGCTGTCCAGTGAACAGGACGGTGTCTCCCTGGCGCAACAAAGCGCGCAAGAACGCTGAGAGGGAAGGCGAGGTCCGGGCGAGTACAAGTCATCAGGTACATGAGGCAACCCACAAGCTCTGCGTAGGGACCACTAGGCTCGAACGGCTCGTCAGGAAAGGGTCCAGTGAGTCTGTGGTCAACAGCAAGAGGTGTGCGCTGTACTGTGGAGTGCTGAAGCCCGAACCGCTGAAGGACCTGCTGCACCATGTGCGACTGTGAAAGTGTAATGGTGCGAGCAGCTCTGTCCCTGGTGATCTGCAGGCCAAGGTAGTGGCGCAGCTCACCAAGATCAGTGCAGGTGTGTCTCTTCTGCAGTTCGGACTTCACGTGTGCCAAAGCAACCCTGTCAGGGGTGGCGAAAACAAGGTCGTCAACGTAGACCAGAACAAAGAAAGGTGTGGGGCCACGACGAACGAACAGCGACGGGTCAGCAGAAGACGGCTGGAACCCAAGGTCAGACAGGGTAGAACGCAGGGTGTCGTGCCACTCACGAGGAGCCTGACGAAGACCGTAAACCGGTCGCCTCAGCCTCCACTGGGTCCCAGGAGGGAAAGAGCCAGTGAAGGCAGAGGGACGACGCAACCAGACCTCCTCGTGAAGACTGCCCTGAAGGAAAGCAGTAGAGAAGTCGAGAGAGTGTAACTCGTAGTCTCTCTGTGCTGCTACGTGTAGTAACACCCGAAGAGTGGTCATCTTCGGGGTGGGCGCGAAGGTCTGAAAGAAGTCAACTCCCTCGCGCTGACTGAAACCTCTAGCCACGTAGCGCGCCTTGAAGACCGGAGGAGATCCCGGTGGCCGCTTCACCCTGTAGATCCACATGCCGTCGACTACGTTCGCCCCCGGAGGGGGAACCTCATCGACGTAGGTGCCTGTGGATCTGTAGGAGGCCATCTCTGCGTCCATGGCAGCTCTCCACTGAGAGGCCCAAGGCCCTGACACTGCCTCAGCGTAAGTGCGAGGAGTCGGAATGTCAAGGGCGTCGGGGTCACCCTCAGGGGCGAGGAGCATGGCACAGAGATGAGGGGAAGCGGCCGCCAGGAACTCTAGCTCAAACTGCCTGTCCTCTAGGGCGTCACAGCCAAGGGCAGACACACCCCCGACGGCCAGAGGACTGGAAGGAGGAGCAGCCACAAGAGCGGTGGCGAAGTCAAGGCGGCGGGTAGAGGCAAACTCAGTGACTGCGGCAGTAAGAGCGGACACAGAGGACACAGAGGCACGAGGGTGAGTAACAAGCGAGGCGAGAACACGAGAGAGAAGAGGACGGTACGTGCGGTAGTAGTCAGTGACAGGAGTAGGGAGCGACGCAGTGAGAGCCGACTCAGGAGGAGACGGAAGCACAGACGGAGACGGACGAGGTGGACTAGAACGAAGTAAGGCAGTACGAAGGTCAGTGAAGGGAACAGGAGACGAGGGACGAGCACGAGGGGAGCGACGAGAGGCCCAAGTCTGAGAAGGAGGAGGGGACAACGAAGACTGAGAACGAGGGAAAACAGCGGGAGAGGGGTCAGGAGGAGGAAGCGGAGGACCAGAGACGGGAGGAGAGGGGGAGGAGGAAGGAGAGGGAGAGGGGAGACCAAGGGTCCGAAGACCCGAGACAGGAGGAGGAGACGGCAACTGCTGCTGCTGTGGCTGCTGCGGCTGCTGCTGCTGCGGCTGCTGCTCCTGCTGCTGTCGCTCCTGCTCCTCGAGCCGCTGCAACTCTCTCTCCTCTCTCTCCAACTCCAGCTGCTCCTCACGAGCACGGCGAACACGAGCCTGGAACCTGGTCGGGTAGGGGTGGGGGGAAGGAGTAGTGTCCGGGGCAGCGGCAGCCCCAGAGTCGACCTCCGAAGCACCAAGTACACCACCCCCAGAGGCAGCACCAACACCAGCTCCAGACCCAGGCTCTCTAGAAACCGAAGGGACACCCTCACCCCCAGACGCAGCACCCCCAGACTCCGCACCAGCACCCCCAGACTCCGCACGACCAGTACCAGCCCCCGGAAGACAAGAGTCCTCTGCAACCCGCGGCTCAGCTCCAACTCCAGCACCCCCAGAACCAGAGACCTGTACAGGGACAGTCGCAGGACCAACCTCCCGAGAGGGAGCACCTGCAGGAGGCGGCGAGGAAGACTGTGGGGAGGGAGGCTGTACAGGGGGGGCTACCGAAGGGGGAGGGCTAGCCTGAGACACACCAGACGGGGCTGGACCAGGGGGGGGAGGCTGTACCGGGGGAGCAGGCGGGGGAGCGGCGGTCAGGAAGAGAGGGGGGGGAGGGACCGGGAGACCTCGACTGGGGTACCTGACGTAGTAGGGGGTGGACTCCTCGAAACGGACGTCACGGGAGTCAAAGAACCGGTGAGAGGGAGGGTGGTAAAAGGTGAAGTCAGAGGAGTCCTCAGGGAAACCAAGGAAGACACAAGGAACGGCGCGAGGCGAGAGCTTGTCCGCGGAGGTGTCGCGGACAAGAGCCAAGCACCCCCAGACACGAAACCTCGACGCGACACCAGGGGACCCTGTCCAAAGACTGGTCGGTGAAGCCTCCGGCCGAGAGACGCGTGGCCAGAGGTTCAGCTGGTGCGCGGCGTACCTGACCGCGTATGGCCACAGGAAATGGGGGGCACGGGCGTGAGTCAAGGAGGTGCGGGCAATCTCCATGACCAGGCCTATGCGACGCTCAGCAACCCCATTCTGCTGTGGGGACTCCGGAAGCGTCCAGGACTGACGAATGCCCTGTTCGCGACAGAATCCAGCGAGAATGCCGGAGCGAAACTCGCCCCCGCGGTCGGAGTGGAGACAGCTGACACGACGACCACGAGTGTCCTGGGTGGTAAGCAACCACCTGATCAGCGTAGAAGTCACCTCAGACTTCCTCGCCAGGGGGAACACGGTGGTGTAGCGGGAGTAGTCGTCAACGACCACCAAAAAGAAACGCTCACGCTCAGGGCCAGGGCGAGGAGAGGGGCCCCAGACGTCCAAGTGCAGCGTCTCAAAAGGCTCGGTGGCCGGACGAAGGGAGGAGGAGTGAGGGGTGGCACGCAGCCTACCCTCGACGCAAGGACCGCACGGTGGTGCAAGGGACGGCGGCAGCGACGGCAAGACACGCGGGAGACCTAAGACCAGACGCTGACTAGACATAGCACGCAGACGTGGAAGAGAAGGGTGTCCCATCCGGTGGTGCCACAGAACGGTGGGGTGGGCAAGCGACCGACAGGAGCAAGACGCAGCGACTGGACTGGACGCGACAACCTGAGGGGACGGAACCACCTGGTGAGACGCAGGGAGGAGACTAGGGGGAGGGACAGGAACTGGGAGGAGTGGCTGCTGCGACGGCGGCCGCTGTGGCTGCGGCTGCGGCTGCTGCCGCTGCTGCTGCTGCGGCTGCTGCTGCTGCTGCTGCGGCGGCTGCTGCTGCTGCTGCAGTCGCTGCTGAGCGCGCGGGCCAGTGTGAAGAGTGTAGAGACCGGAGCCCGGCTCAGCAGCAAAAGTGGCGAGGGGCTGGTAAGAGTCCCCGTCAACACACACCGCAGTCTCTCCAGAAGGCTCAAACCACACACCCACGTGCTGACTCACGAGGGGTCGCACGCCCACCAAGTTCCGGGAGAACGAGGGGACGTGAAACCCAGTGAGAGACCCAGAAGGAGCAGCCGGACACGGCAAGGTGGTAGTGTGACGCGCGGTGACTGGTCCCGAAGTGGGATCAGCCAGCGCCACAGAAACAGGCGCAGGAAGAGGCGTAAGTGTCGTGCTGTCACGAAAGAAGCAGTGAGAAGCTCCAGAGTCCAGCGTGAACGACAGCGAACCGTCCTCTGAGGTAGCCGCTGGACTAGAGTCTACACAAGAACCTACACTAGCAACAGGCAACTGAGCAAGGCTAGCACCTAAGCTAACAACACCAGAGTAAGCAGAGTCAGAAACACTAGAGTCAACAACAGCATACATAGCATGGGGAGTACCAATCAGATCAACTAACTGCTCAGCAGACATGCCCCACAGAGCGGAGCCGTAGCGCTGAACAAGAGGCAGCCAGTCAGGGGCAGGAGCACCAACCCCGTAGACCAAACGAACCGTGTCAGTGAGCTGAGCAAAGCACTGACCAGGGGGGTGAAACCGGCCACAAGGGTGGCCACGACGAGGGCCTGTCAGAACCTGGTAGGTGCAGGGAGTGTAAGCAGCACCACGCTGGGTCTGACGCAGCCCCGACCCTGGAGCCAGCTGCTGCCGCTGCTGCTGCTGAGGCTGCTGGGAGGAGAGGGGCTGCTGGTGCTGCAGAAGCTGCTGCTGACGCTGAGCCTGGTACCACGCCGCTGCTCCACCAACCGGGGCAGGAAGTACAGGAGGCGACTGACGAACTCGGGCGTCGCCACCACTAGCAGGCGCAGTGGAGTCACCAGTCACTGCACGAGGCGCCTCTCCAGGCCCTGAACCTCCACCGCCGCCAGGCGCAACGCCACCTCCACTACCTCCGCCTCCACCTCCACTACCACCACCAGAACCGCCTTTCTTGCCACTCCTACCGCGGGACCGCGACGCAGTCGTAACAGCAGCTGCAGTCGCGTCAGTAGCGGCAGTGGCAAGTGAGGCAGTAAAGGTGGGTAACTGCGGGACTGTGCACCCGTGGAAGAGTGGGGGGGGCACAGCACCAGAGGCAGCGGCTACCGAGCGAAGGTTGCTCTCGACGTCCTTGAGTGTAGACTCAAGGACATCGACGGTGAGCTCACTAGGGTGCTTCAGCAGAAGCGCGTCGCGAACGGAGGCAAGGCGGTCAAGGAGGCTAGTGGCGATGAAATAGATAGTAATCGCCATAGGGGGAGGAAGCAGTGCAAGCTGTGCCTCAGTGCAAGCAGCGCGGTAACTAGCGTCGAGCGAGCGGAGGTGAGCGATCAAGTCAGCAGAGCGCTCAAACGAGGCGAGATCAGGAAACAGGAACGGGAGGAAAAGACGGCCAAGAGAGACAGTAGCGGGAGTAGAGTAGCGGGCCTTAATCGCAGTGAGGTACGCAGCAGCGGTGCGAACCTGAGTGAAGTGGACCTCCTCTGACTCAGGGAGGAGGCTGCTGAGTGCGATGCAGGCCGCAGCGTCACGCGACGTCCAAGCCGTCCTGTCAGCGCGCTGACGGGCAAAGCGAGCCGTAGCAGCATCGTCAGGGGCAGGACCTAAAGCGGCAGGCTCGGGGGGCTCGGGGAGGTCACCAGTAGCGTGCGACCAGAGGGTCTCGCCCCCCTGGACTTGACTCTCTAACAGACGGCGAGCGCGAAGAAGCCAGACGGAAAAGTCAAGAGGTCTACCGTCAGCGTCGAAACGAAGAACTCGCGGAGTCGCCATAGCGAGAACTAACGCGAACGAGCAGGCGAGTAACAGCAGGAGGTAAGAGGCAAATTAGGGTTCAGGTGGGGGGGGGGGGACTTAGTCGCAGCGGAAGAACGGGCTAGGGCGACGGGCCAGGGCGTAGGGTCGACGGGACGGGGGAAAGGGCGGGCGCGATGCGACGGGGCAGGGCGACGCGACGGGGCAGGGCGACGCGACGGAGCAGAGGCGACGGGACGGGGAAGGGCGACGCGACGGGGCAGGGCGACGCGACGGGGCAGGGCGACGGGACGGGGAAGGGCGACGCGACGGGGCAGGGCGACGCGACGGGGCAGGGCGACGGGACGGGGCAGGGCGACGTGACGGGGGGAAAGGGCGCGACGCGACGGGGGGAAAGGGCGCGACGCGACGGGGGGAAAGAGCGCGACGCGACGGGGGGAAAAGGGCGCGACTCGACTGGGGGGAAAGGGCGCGACGCGACGGGGGGAAAGGGACGCGACGAGGGGGAAAGGGCGGGCAGGACGCGACGCTAGGAGTGGCGCTAGGCGCGGCACTACGCGCGGTAACAACGGAACCGGGACGAATGAGAGCTAGGATCAGGCTCGGGAGGCTCGAACGGAGAACGGAGGAACGGGATCCCACAGGATCCTAACCTAACTGATACCATGTCAGAATGAAGAATGGATGATGCATTGATGTTGGTTGGGGTACATATAGCTAACCCTAAGTTTTGTACCCCCTAAGACAAACCTCACTATAGGCTACAACATTTGACAATATATATTATATTCACCACAGGAGCGCTTATGCACTTCTGTTTAATATTTAATTCATCATATCCATCATTATATTTCATCTATGCATAACATCATTCCGCATAGCATATGCATTATGGAATAAAAATTCACTCGTCACCGGTAATATCATTTTGGCAATCCATACAGTTAGGGCAAACTAGGAAACGAGAAAGAATTTAGTATGGCATGTGCTAAAATGCCATGGCAAATACAGGAGTCAAACACTTAGCTCTCATTCGCTAGGTTTTTTTTTCATTGTTTTTTTAGATGATGAAAAAAATTTGTACATAACGATTGTAATAGGTTGCTTCGCAACCCAAAAAAGAAAAAAAATACATTTTCTATAATGTTGGGCGGTGGGTGGGGGGTGGTGAAGGTAGGGCTTGAGCCCCATCATATTGAAAGTTGCTAACACTCACAACTTTGTACAACCCCTGCAGCAGAGAGTGCTGCAGCAAGTTCCTGAGCCACTATCGGCTTCCTCACTGCTCCATCCATCCCCGCCTCTAAGCATGCTCTCTTGATCCCTGCATCCAAGTCTGCAGTCAATGCTATAATGCAAAGCTGCTGAAGGGGTGCATTCGTTGCCAACCCTGCTTCGTCTACACTTGTATTGGCTAATTCACAAATTTCCGCAGTCGCTTTAACCTTCTTCTGCTGTGCGTCTTCCATGGCTCGCAGTTGACGAGCCGTTTCAAATCTGATGAACCCAACGGCCCAATAGTGGCAACAAAAGGAGTAAATGAAGATGTAAACACAAACGTGCGCAGAAAAGCACAGCCACAACATATGCAGTACGCAATTGTCCGGGTGTGCTCAGGACACGAGAAAATCGTTAACAAAGACCAACAATGGCAGGACCAACAAATACAATTTGATATAACCAGAATGCAAACAGGTTGCAGCACAGAGAAGAGGTGAGAGGCGGAGCAAGGGACGGACCCGTCCATGCCGGGCGGCATGTGGAGGTCGAGGAGCAGCAGGTGGATGGGCGGGGAGGGCGTGGCAGAGGAGAGCGCCTCTTGAGGCAAGGAGAGGTGAGCAGAGGAGAGCGCTTGCAGCGCGTCCTCTCCGGAGCACAGCAGCAGCACGTGCGCCCCGTAGCCCTGCAGCGTTCTCCTTGCCACCATGCGGTTCACCGCGTTGTCATCCACCACCGCCACCCCCCGCCCCGCCACCACCCCCCGCACCACCCGCTCCGCCTCCCTCGCACCATCCACTCCCGCCCCGGCCTCCTCCACCTCCGATTGCGGAAACGTGTGCGCATGCACCAGCGCTCGTGCCCCTGCTGCCTGCCGCTGCTGTGGTGCTGCTGGTTGCGCAGTGGCACCCTTGGCTGGCCCTTCCATGCCTTCCTGCGATCCGCTCCGCCGCTCCAAACGCTCCTCACTAGCCCCTTCTGACTCGCCGCATTCCTCCCTGCTCCGCTCCTCATCTTCCGTGCTGCTGGAGTCCTTCTGTTCCCCCATGGGCAGCGCCAGCAGAATGGTGGTGCCTGTGGCGGCGTCTGACAGCACTGCCATGCCCCCCCGCATCTCCGCCACCTGCAATGCCATGCGGGAGACAAGGGAGATGCAGGGAGGGAATAAAGGAAATTATACGCGTGAATAGAGATAAGTCAGAAATGATGGAAGGCTGAACACAACAAGCATGTGAAAAAGCAGAAGAGACGCATGAGTACTACAAGGGGTACACATTCTTTCAAACGTTTTGCGGCGGGTGCCATTGGCCGAACAGTTGGTCCTCATCGAATGCGAATCCGAATTTTGAGATGTCTCAAAATTCGAACAGTTTGTCCTCATCGAATGCGAATCCGAATTTTGAGATGTCTCAAAATTCTAACAGTTGGTCCTCATCGAGGCGAATCCGAATTTTGAGATGTCTCAAAATTTGAACAGTTGGTCCTCGTCGAATGCGAATCCGAATCAAATACGAACATGCCACGCTCCATGCTCCAATTTGGGGTACCTTTAACGAGCTTAGTGTCTAGTGTCTGAAGTAGTGCCAAAGCGGTCATCAAGTGTGAAGGAAAGAGGATGGCGGAATATCTGTGTGGTCGAGGTTGCTGATGGATTGAGAGAAACAACATCAAGCAGAGAATTTCTTCTGTATGGTTCCTTTATGGTTGAGCATTGCAGCAACCTGGGACAGAATTCTTGACTCACGAATTCCTCGGCTCAAAATGAGGTGAGTTTGTTACCACCGTTCAAGGTGAATACTTGTTGCCTCAACCATTTTCTCCATGTATCGAGCACCTTGTGCATACTTGTTTACAGACCTACGGATGTGCAAGGGAGCTCACAAGGGAGGTGGAGAGCAGGAAGCTCACAAGGGAGGTGGAGAGCAGGAAGCGAACAGGGTAGGGCGTCCAGCGGGGGCCAGCAGCTGCCTTGCGATCGCGCTGCAACGGATCCCACGTGCTGCGCTCCCTTTGTCGCCACGATGACAACCTCCCCAGGCCCTTCTTTGAGTCTGTCCTCCCCAGCCCCTTCCATGACTCTGCCCTCCCCAGCGACCGTATTCTCTCCTGCCAAATCAGAACCAGGGATTTGCAAACGAATGGCTTTTGAGTCGATCAAAACTCCCCAGGCCCTTTTAAGACTCTGCCCTCCCAAGTGACCGTATTCTCTCCTGCCACGCCACAACCAAGGAAGGGAAGAATTTGCAAATCAAATGCAAGCGGCAATTTGTCCGTGAGAGCTATTTTGGCCCTTAATGACTCTGCCCTCCCCAGGCCTTTCCATGACTCTGCCCTCCCCAGCGACCATATTCTCTCCTGCCAAATCAGAACCAGGGAATTGCAAACAAATGGCTTTTGAGTCGGCTCAAAACTCCCCATACCTTTCCATGACTCTGCCCTCCCAAGTGACCGTATTCTCTCCTGCCACGCCACAACCAAGGAAGGGAAGGATTCGCAAACCACAAGCGAGCGGCAGTTTGCCCGTGAGAGCTATTCTGGCCCTTTATGAGTCTGCCCTCCCCAGTGACCGTATCCTCTCCTGTGTCAGTTCGCCGTTGCCTTCTGAACCCGTATATCGCCCCAGAGTGTGAGCCATCCTGAACTAGTAACTCCTCATACTGAGTCCGCACGTGTATAAAGAAGTGTTTTGAGACGTCTCAAAACAGCTCATACCGCCCTAGTAGGTGACCCATCCTGAACCAGTAACTCCTCATACTGAGTCCGCACCTTGATTGAAACAACATCGTCCACACAGTTGGACAAGCAGTCTTTGACATGTTGTTCCTGCCCCACCCTTTCCAATACCAAGCAACCAATACTTGACCGCAACATTACCCAATTCGAGAACCAAGGTGCTCGCACAAGTGGCAAGCAAAAATGCCAGTCTGTGAAAGAGAAACTAGAGTGGCTTCAGGTGATGCAGGCCGAGAATATCAAAGTGTTTGGTGAACCGGATTCGCATGCCCGTGAGTGTAAGTCAGTTGGAGCGGACCGGAGAAGACCGGTGCAAGACAGTGAACGGAGGGACAAAGAATTGCCTAATCACATCCCTTATTTCACATCCCGAACTCAGTTTGCCAACAAAACAACCATTTGGCTTGCACAACAGTGCGAGCTGAAGCGACAAACCACACTCACCATGACTTTATGTTGCCCGCTGCCATGCGTGCCATGTGGGTCCAGCAACCCCCACAGCTCCTCGGGTGGAATACCACCGCCCGTGTCTTCACACGCCACCACCACCATCCACTCGCCCTCCTCCCTCACCGCACACGCCCCTTCCACCCACTCCCTCACCTCCTCCTCCAACCGTCCACTCTCCCCTTGCCTGTCATCTGCACTGCCTACACCGTCTCTGCAGCACGCCTGCCCACCGCCGTTGCCCACGGGCCCCCTTTGGCTGGCTGGGGGCCGCTGAGGGTGGCAGAGCAGGCGGGTGGGAGGAGGGAAGCGCCGCACACAGCCGGCCAGCTGATGCCGAGCTGAGGTCGCTGGGGGCGCCTCAGAGGAGGCTTGCTTGGCGCCTGAGGCAGCAGCGGGTGGAGGTGGCGTGGTGGTGACGTGTGGAGGAGGGATGCACCAGAGGTGGATGGTTATGTGGCCTGTTGCCGTATTGTTCATGGCACTCGCTGCAGGAGGGAAGGGTGAGGTGGGGTGGGGGTGGGGTGGGGAAGGGGTGTGAGAAGGGGGGAGTCACAGAAGGGGATAAATCTGGAATGCATGGAGGAAATTGCAGCTGCTATCAGCAGGCTTCTATGGCATCACTTCCTTTCAATCCCACTTAGGCATGAGTAACACCCGAATTCAAATCTGGTTCGTATCGAACTGATTCGACCTGAGGGGCAATTCTTAAACATAACCGAATTGGTTTGGGTCGAACTAGTCACAGTTGAAGGTTTGCCGTTCAACAATCGAATCAATTCGGTTCGATTCATCTCCGCACTTAATTAAAGTCAAAAAGTGCTCGACCATGCCTTTATTATGTATGTATTTCTTCGGGAGAAGGCTAGGGTTTGAATCATACCATGACTTGAGAGTATACATGCTCTCACACAGTCAGTGCTCGGACTGTGCTGTTGCCATACAATCTGGTGCTTGTTCCTGGAAAAACCGTGCTCACTCACTGCAGAAGTCGATGGAATAGCAAGAGGAGCTGGAGCCATCCTCTTCACGATATCCATTTTCTTTGCGAAGTGCCATGTTCTTTGCAAGTGCCATGTTCTTTGCTAAGTGCCATGTTCTTTGCTAAGTGCCATGTTCTTTGCTAAGTGCCATGTTCTTTGCTAAGCGCCATGTTCGTTGCTAAACGCACCACTCTAGTTGGGCGAAGCGGGTTATTTAGGAAGCTGGTGCGAGTATTGAAGCAGCTGATCAAGACTCCCCAGGGGGGCGTGATGAATAAAATTGAGAACGTGGATACTTCAGATGACACCAGAAAAGGCAGTGCGGGCAGCAAATAAAGAGCCATTGCTGACAAGGTTTGGGGCCTGTGGTGAAGTCTTGACGAATCGGGGAACCGAGTTCCAAGGAGAATCTGAGCTTCTGGCTTCGTGCTATATTGAGCGACTGGTGCAGACGGTGAAGAAAGGTTCGCGCGCTTATGACGAAAATAACAGGAAGGTGACGTTGGCCTAGAGGAGAGTGAGGGGGGCCCAAAGCAGAGCATTATGGGAAGGTGAGAAAGTATTTGACACTCTTGTCCTTTGCACACTGTTTTCTCAGATCCGAGCTGAGTTGAGTCAGGTCACCTCAACTGGTAGTCGAGCTAGAAAATCCGACTCGACTATGTCGAGTCGAGACATAGTCGAGTCGGATTTTCCAAACTGCCAACTCATGACTCGCTTTTGGAGTCGAGTCAGGCCTGACCTGAGATCGAGTCACTCGACTCGCGAGTCAGTCTTGTCTCGACTTAACGTTTCAATGTTTTGAAGGGACCCCCCATACAGAACTCAGTTATGCTCAGTAAATCTGTGATGTGCCCGAAGCTTTTGCATTGTCGAAATTCCTCCCCCCTCCCGCCCCCCCCTGGTGACATTGTATGCACAAAAAAAGAGTGATGGGGGAATTGAGAGGCATGGGAAAATTGCATAACGGTGGGAATTGGATAATGGGGGGGAACTGAGCGACAGGGGGGTATTGCATGACAGAAGGGGAATTGAGCGAGGGGAGGGGAATTACATGACGGGGCAAAATGCATGACAGGGCCGAAACTGGCAACAAGAAACACACAAAAGAAGTTGGTGACTCTCGAAACAGCCTAGCTCGAAACGAGCCAGCCACCTCGCCAACTCGTGGCTGGCTCGGCTCAACTATCTTCAGTCAAGTCGGGTGATGCATCGACCTTTCCCCTCAAATCAGCTCGACAAGACTCTAGTCGAGTCAAGAAAATAAAACAACCCGCTCAACACGTCCTTTGGTTGGCATGGCACCAATGACCTGGTACTCGCCCCTCCCTCCCCCAATGCCAACAACTCAAGGTGCTGCTTCGTCAATGTCTCAAACTAGAAGTAGCCAAGATTCAAGGCTGGGTTCAGGAAGGTGCAGATGAAGTACTCGTCGTCAGATGGCGAAGTAGTGTTCATTCAAGATTTGAGGCTGCGCCCAGGAAGGTGCAAATGACGTACTCGTCAAATAGCGAAACTTTCATTCGCATACGACGATACGAGAAGCGCCGCGACGATGACAGCACACAGACGCTTAGCCAGACTGCTGTGACACGCCTCTCGACCACGAACCCCTCCTTCCTCATACACTCCCTAGCTCCTCGAACCCTGGCAACACCTTATCTCCTCCTCTAACGACCATCTCCAAACTCTTCCCATCCCACACCCTCATCCGTGAGGACCGAAAGCAGAATTCCTTGTGAGGTCGAGACCACGTCGAGACCATGGATCCGAGCTACACTGATGAAGGCTGAGCGGTATGATCCCCGTGAGCCGAAACTGGTTTGTGCTGTAAGGTTCTGCTTTAGTGAAAGGGTTTTACGAGTTCTACGGAGCAATTTTCCAGGAAGGTTTTTTCTAAGTTTCGATCCTGTTGCTTTAAGCGTTTTCCAAACTTCAGAGTTGCAGCTCTTCCGCTATGAGTGAAAACCCACACCCTCATCCGTGAGGACCGAAAGCAGAATTCCTTGTGAGGTCGAGACCACATCGGTTCAGAAGGTATATGCCTAATGTCTTTCTCAGCCATGCTCTTCTGTTGCTTTAGGTTATTTTGGTCCTAAACATGTCTTTCTTAAGTCTCTACAATCGACTTTGCCTCCACATGTCTACAACATCCGTAACATTGACGTGAGATAGGGTTGAGCACAGAACCAAACTAATCCAGTACGTTTTTTATGCGCCCTAATCAGAACCGGTTTAGGGTCGGACCGGCGTGTGAGCGTACATACCCTTGTTTGGTTCAACCATATCTTTCATTGTACACACATTTGTTAGGGTCTTTCTTTCGAGACGTCTCAAAACAACTCTTTTATCACGTTCTTTGGTTCAACCATATCTTTCATTGTACGCACATTTGTTAGGGTCTTTCTTCCTTTCTTTCTTTCTATCTTTTTGGGAGAGGGAGGAACAGTGGATAAACTGCGGTATAAACTGTGGATCTCGCTTAGAAAGCTACTCACTTTCCAGGTGGGGTTAAAATTAACCCTACTACGTGTGTGCTGCAGGTAACTTAGCTAAGCCCGTGATTTTTGCCCTAAAACATGCCTTACCCTAGAGAAGAAATGAAACCCAGAGGGTTTCACCTAACCACTGCGAGAATGCTCTAAAAAGCACGGGAGAGGAGGGAAGTAGGCGGAATAGTGTGGGAGAGAGGTACCTCTCAGTTTTTATTTATACCTATTATGGCATCCGCACATCAAACCGAGTTGGATCAGTCTAACCAATCCAAGTGTAACCCGAACCGGTTTGACCCAAACAACGGGATTAAAAGAGGAGGAAAAATTTGGTATGAAGGAGCAAAACATATATTTAGGTATCGTGTGTGAGCGGTAACTTATAAGCCCAATAAGAAGCACCAAACAACTCAGCATGTAAAAATAGAAAGCTCATTGATTGAAGCAGCCCTTACGTTTGTGCAGCAAACAACTCACCGACAATTTCTGCCATGACTTGCAAGAGCCGAGTTGGATCGCCGAGTAGAGTTTCCGGAACATTGTCATCCACATGGAATGTGACTGCATTTAACAAAAAACAAGTGAACCAACGAGCAAACATAAGTCAAACCACGATAGACACAAAGAACTGAACGGCAGGGAGAAGGGAGATTCTTATGCAAGCGTACCTGGTATATTTTTGCCTGGCGCAAATGCAGTTGCCTCACGAACGATGCGGCGCAGGCAGCAGGGGAGAGTCTCGAGCTGCAGCCGGCCGGCCTGCAGCTTGGCGAGGTCCAACACTCGGTTGATAAGCTCCACTGTCTCGCCCGCACACACCCTCGCATCCACCAGGTCTGCCCGCTGCCACTCCTCCAACGATGACTCCAACAATTCCTCTATCATGCCTATGGGGGATAAGGAGTATGCATTCCAAAAGAGGACAATAGCAACTGGTGCAATGCAAGCATGTATTCTCAAAACTAGGCATGAACAAACAGAGAACTCGAACACTACGTTGGCAGATACGCGTATAATATGCAAGTGTTAATGCGCTAATCGATAGATGCCTCATTTGGAAAAGCACAAAAATTCGCTGGTTCGGGCAGGGAAAACCTGTGTTAGGGGGGAAAGGGCCCGAGAGACAGAAAATATCCAAAGATACAGAAATCCTACTAAAAGCTTAAGATACGCATGTCGAGATAAGCTTGATAGAATGCAAGTCGAGAAGTGCGGTGCGGGAATGAATGAAGCTTGCAACATTCGAATGGGGTGGTAGGTTCGGTTTGGGAATGGATGGGGAGCTTGGATGGGTGGAGTGTGGTTGGGGGTGGGGTAGGGGTTGGAGTTGATCTTTTTTGGTCTTCGATGTTCGATGCTGTTCAAGTTTTTGCTCAACCCCACTCTAAACTGCCATGCCATTCCCTCATCCATCACGCCACGCCCTCACCCACCATACCAAGCTCTCACTCACCCATCATACCATGCTCTTTCTCACCCATCATGCCAATGATTGGGGTGCGCAGCTCATGAGAGACGTTGGCCACCGCCTCACTCTTGGACCGCTCAGCTCGCTCCAAGATGGCCGTGCATATCTGAATCTCCTTCACATCCGCCTCTATATTTCTCCTTTTCCAAGCCAGCACTGCGATCATGATGGACAGCAGCACTGCCACTAGTAGCACCAGCAGGCCCAGCAGCATGGGAGCATACACGAGGTCCCAAGTAGGCGGGGGAACCTGGAACCTACACATTGAAAAGCAGAAATGCATGGCAACCATGCATTGCAAATACAGTGTTTTCCACAAAATTGCATCATCCGTTGCCACGAGAGGATCTTTGGGCAAGTTGAGGAGCGAGGTCAGGTCTAGGCAAACGAGCAGAAACGTAGAGAAAAACCAATAACTCGTTCATAAATCCATCCCTTATTCGTTGCATGGGACTCCCTTGTAACAAAATCTTAGACGAGCAATGATAACTTGGCGAGAGGATGCTTAATCCTCTTAGAGATGCGAGTTCCGTTCCAGTGAGATGCGAGATGATCACCAAGTGTTCCTGTGATGAACAACATCTAGTTCCGCACAGTCAATCTAAACAACGGAGTAAGTTGCAGTCTAAATTCTCGTTGGGGTTCACATTCTGGCTTTCTGGCTCTCAACGAGCTGTACATTAGCCAACAAGCGGCTGCTCATGTCTAAAGCGACATTCCCAATGCTCTGAGTTGGGTACATTCCGAACTTGGATTTGCCACTCAGGCAGCCAGATCTCAAATGTTTTGGCACTGGCATTTTGGTGCTGGACGCTCGATCTTTGCTGATCCCTACTCGTGCTTGCAACCCGCAATGCGTACATACCCGCAATGCATACATACCCGCAGTGTGCTTCGAATGTGCGTCCCATCATGTTCTCGGGGAAAGGCTCCACATGCTCGGGTGGCGCAACCGTAGTCGTGGGCAGGACAAAGGGGAAGGCAGAACCGCTTTCCAATCGTGGCGCGTCTGGGCCGTATATCTGCTTCAGTACGCCTGGTTCTGTGTTGTCGTACATGGCAAATGAGTATGTGCTGGTGCCTGCAGAGACGAGAGGGAAGAAGCGATCAAATGTAAGATTCAGACTCACAGGCATGCTGGGTTTGAGTAGGGGGCAAGAAAAGAGTTTCCACACAAAGGAAAGGGATCACACAGGATCATAGTAGCAATACACTTAAAATCATAGATTCACATTGTGCCTCTAAATTCACACTTTAGGCACATGAAACGGGAATTTGACAGAGGAGGACTCGGGGCACACAAAGAGATCATGCTGAACTCACAGGTGGTGGCATGAGCAACGATTTGGATTGATCCGACCCGATCCACCCACCTTTGTTCGACGCGAGCCCGGTACGGGTTGGGTCGAGGTGACTTTTGAGTCGACTCAAAAGTCACCTCACAAAGACGACATGCTGAACCTGAACTCTAGGCATGAGCAACGGTTCGGATCGATCCGACCCGATCCACCTTTGCTTGATGTGAGCCGGGTTCGGGTGGGGTCGAGTCGACTCGTTTTTAGGTCTGCAACTGGTCCGGCCGACCCGACCAGGACTCATCAAGGTCGAGGTTCGGCTGTGACATGAGGGCAGGATAGGTCGACCCGACCCAGGTTTTCCGGCCCACCATGTTGACTCACCATCCATCTGCGCGAATCGGCCTTTTCGACCATCGATCTGGACGGATCGGCGCGTTTCGACCGCAGCTATGCCCTGATCGGCAATTTTCGACTGTTGATCCACGAGGATCGGTGTTTTTCGCTCGCTGATGCGCACAATCGGCATTGTTTTCCCGCCGAACAAGGTCGAATTTTTCCCTTTCTGATCCTCACGACGGGGTTTAGCCACCCAAACCTTGGTATCCGCCCACAGCTTTGATCCTCTCCTGCAGTCGCCCACTCGATCATCTTAGAATGTTGACACCTAAGGATGTCGAATGTTTAGCAGGAGTCTTACAATTTTTGGTTTCGTGGATGCTGCCTGATGAGCCTTGTTTGAAAAAGATCCAACTTACCTTACCTCCTAATCCCCCACACCCTGCCACCCTTCTCCCCCCCTCTTACCAGTCTACTCTTGTAGGTACGTACACGGTGCGGTGACAATATAGCATTGAATCGTGGCTCGACTCGACCCGACCTGAGCCGAATAACCCGCCCGAACCGACACGGCTGGCTCGGGGCCGTCGCGTCTCTCGCACTGACCTGATCCGGACCCGACCTGGGCCGACCCATTGCTCATGCCTAACGAACTCACCATTTTCAAGCATGCGCAGTAATTCCCGCGCCCTCCATTCCAGATGAACCACGCCGGCCCACGCAATGCCGATGCTGTTTTTGATTTCTTGCAGAGATGCACTGGCTGGCACAGGATGGCGGAAGATGGGAACCACAAACACTGCAAGGGAAGCAGGGAGGGGAGGGTAGGGTGTACTGAATGTTTGGATGAAGGGCCTCTTCCATTCTTTCACAAGCGTTTCCCAAAGATGACTTTTTGGGTCGACTCAAAAGTCACCTTGTTTGGATGAAGGGCGTTTGAGACGTCTCAAAACACACCAGACGCGGTAACCGGTGGAATGCATGGTCAGTTTGATAGAAAACAAGGGTATTCTCGCCATGGGGGTGCAAAGCACATGGTCGATGAGACCCAGTAGCACCCTTTTGAACCGTGCCTATGTTTAACCTTGCATTGTAGTCCCGATACCAAGTGGAGGCTTCACCGTGACCAGTCAAGTCAACCACCAACGCAACGTGAGAGGGATGAACATCAGATCAGAACACACAAGATGAAAGGTAATCTCCTGTTGCAAACCAGGCTTTCGGAAACACGAGATCAAGAGGGGATGAGACTTGAAACACCAATAGAGGTAGGGCACGGAGGAAGGCCACAGGAGCACACGGAGGAAGGAAACAGGAGCACACGGAGGAAGGAAACAGGAGCACACGGAGGAAGGAAACAGGAGCACACGAACCAATGGCCACGTATCCGGGTCCAGCGGAGAGCGGCGCGCCGGCAATGGTCTGCCCTCTTAGCAGGTTGGTGTGGACGAAGAGGGGATGAGACACAAACAGGTTGGTTGAGACACAAACAGAGGTAGGTAGGGCACAGAGTAAAGAGAAGCGCACGAACCTATAGCCACGTATCCGGGCCCAGCGGAGAGCGGCGCGCCGGCAATGGTCTGCCCCCTTAGCAGGTTGGTGAGGAGATCCGGAGGGATGAGAGGGAAGAAGTCGGTGAAGGGCTGCACGGGAAAGGTGGGGTTGATGCTGCCATACACGTTCACTCCGTACAGATCCTTCCTTGGGGCGGGCAGGCCCAGCACTGACTGGATTGGATGGCCTATCATTCTCTCCACAAGGGGCCTGGAGTGCAGGGTGGGGGGGAGGAGAGGAGCAGGGGAAAGGTAAGGTGGGGTTGACGCTGCAGCACTCTGTATGGACGGATCCTTCCTTTGGGGGATCAGCCCCAGCACTGACCGGATTGAGTGCCCTATAATGCCCTCGATCGGGGCCCTGTAGGAGAGGAGAGAAGCAGTGCAATGTAATGAACCCACTGCCCACTGCCCACTGCCCACTGCCCACTGCCCACTGCCCACTGCCCAACGCACGCTATGAGCCCACTGCCACAACCAGGGAGGGGCGAGCTGCATTGGAAGGGGCTTGAGCAAACGGCTGGAGATGAGTCAGGATCGATCAACCTGTTGCTTTTGCCTAGGGGGGGTAGGGGAGGGAGGGGAGGGGTCAAGTCAGCTCAACGTGCCCTCGAGGCGGGAATCATAACCTCAGGAAATGCATCCTTTGAAACGCCTCGCATCAGTGGTGTGAGTACGATGCGATGCTGCAGGCAGGGCAGCATGTGCCAAGCACTGCTGAAAATTGGACAGTAAAGCCTGGCTCGTGAACTCACCCTTACAATCTAGGATGGGAACTTGGCTTGGCTGTTAACATAACCTGGCTTGGTGGGTGAGGACCAAGATGATGCCATGGTGAGTCAGTAAAGCCAGGCCTGACCTGTCTTAGTCAGTGAGGACCACGATGATAGAGCCCGACGCCCCGACGCCTGTACTGAACTTGCCGATTGCATCTGCCTGCCAGGCTTTCCAGGTGTCCCAAGACCAGCCAGACTTGGCTGACCTGTCGATCATGGTGATAGTGCCCGTGCTGAAGTTGCCTATGAATAAATTGGATCGCCACCAGGCATGGGTTGGTTGGGACTTGTTGGACTGGACCCCGTGGATCTGATCTGATCTGATCCGAATACGACCTGTCTTGGTCGCTGCGGTCACCATAATGGTGAGACTGTGGTCCGTGCATCAGAAAAGCCAGACCTGACCTGTCTTGGTCGGTGCTGACCTTGATGATGGTGCCCGTGCTGAAGTTGCCTACTTCATCCGTCTGCCAGACTTTAGGTTTAGGGTTTAGGGTGCCTCAGAAGCCAGCCAGACCTGACCTGACTGACCTGTCTCGGTCGCTGACGACCATGATGACAGTGCCAGTGCTGAAGTTGCCTATTTCATCCGCGTGGAGGTTATAGTCCGCCATGGACTTAATGTTCACGCACCCCGCCAGCCCCCAGTAGCTCAAGTTGCTGCTGCTGCGCGGCCCAAAGTGTCCCAGGGCGCTTATCAGCCCGATTGCCTCCTGCACAGTGAGGCGGGTCGGGAGATAGGGAGGAAGGGGTGAAAGGGGGGTGTGGGTATGTTGCTGCTGCTGCGCGGCCCAAAGTGCCCCATGGCGCTTATCAGCCCGATTGCCTCCTGCATAACGATTCGGGAGATAGGGAGGAGGGGTTGAAAAGAGGGGTTGCCGGGATGTTGCTGCTGCTGCGCGGCCCAAAGTGCCCGCGAGCGCTCATCAGCTCAGTTCCATCCTGAGGTCGTTTTTGAGGCGCCTCAAAAACGACCTCAGAGCAGAGTACGGCGGGAGACAGAAGGAGGGGTGAAAGAGGGGGTTGTAGAGGGGAACGGGGGGGAGAGGGGGGGGAGAGGGGGGGGGAGAGGGGGGAGGGGGGGGGGGGGGGGGGGGGGGGGGGGAGTGCAGGGATGTTGCTGCTGCTGCGCGGCCCAAAGTGCCTGCAATTCAGTTACCAGCCTGTTTGACTCCTGCAGCGTGAGATGGGAGGTGGGAGATGCGAGGATTGGAAGGGGCAGAGGAAGTGGGTATGGGAAAAAATATGGAATCGGTTGCAGGAGGGGGGCGTGGCGAGCAGTGCGTGGGTCGGATGGGGACGGAGGGGTGAAAAATAAAAGGTAAGCAAAGTACAGCGCACGAGGATGGGGTAAGAGCAATGCGGTGCATGCGGATGGGGTAAGAGCAATGCGGTGCATGGGGATGGGGTAAGAGCAATGCAGTGAATGCATGCGGACGGGGTAAGAGCAATGCGGTGCATGCGAATGGGTTAAGAGCAATGCAGTGCATGCGGATGGGGTAAGAGCAATGCGGTGCATGCGGATGGGGTAAGAGCAATGCGGTGCATGCGGATGGGGTAAGAGCAATGCGGTGCATGCGGATGGGGTAAGAGCAATGCGGTGCATGGGGATGGGGTAAGAGCAATGCCGTGAATGCATGCGGACGGGGTAAGAGCAATGCGGTGCATGCGGATGGGGTAAGAGCAATGCGGTGCATGCGGATGGGGTAAGAGCAATGCGGTGCATGCGGATGGGGTAAGAGCAATGTGGTGCATGCGGATGGAGTAAGAGCAATGCGGTGCATGCGGATGGAGTACGAGTAACAATGCAGAGGTTCTCTTCTTGAATGGGGTTTGGGACACTGAGAGGTTTTGCAACTGAGATGCTCGGAGACTGAGAGGCCAGGTTGGCAGATTGAGTTTGAAGACTGGGCGTGGAAGTCTACGATAAAGTGCGAGCGCACGCCGCCACTGCGAGTGAAAAGCGAGAAACGGGAGGGAGGGAAAGTAACAGCACGCGAAAGCGCATGGAGGGAAGGGGACTGGATTACTACTATGATCAGTGCAGGGAGACGGAAGGGGAGAGAGGGAGAAGGGGGATTACACGAGCGACAATTGTGGTTGGGCGGGTGGGAGGCACGAGCCTAGTAACGAGGGAGAGACGCACACAGGTGTCACGCATTCCTGTATAACGTCCCGCTAGGCCACTGGGCCAGAACGCGGGTCAATCAGACGCGTGGCGAATGCCTCTAAACGCGTGTGTAAGTAGGTGCCTTTCGCATGCCTCGTTTCTAGTCGACTCGACTCCAAGTGTGAAAGTCCACAAACGTTACACAATTTATCCAACCAATTTCAGCACTGTGCACTGTCCTCGTTTCTGAGACACTCGATCGGGTCGTTTTGATGTACTCGGCTGGTCACTGAAAAAAACGTCACCACCTTTGAGGTGTAGAAGGCACGAGAAGGGGCGAGTGGAAGGTGGGAAGGGGGCGAGTGGAAGGCACGAGACGGGGCGGTCCGAATGCAAGGGCTAGGGCTACTGAATTCCGTGAGCGAGTGTTGCTATGATGGGCGAGCGGTGTCGTCGCGAGAGGCGTTCCCGAGGTCGGATCACCATGTCTCTACGCGATTCTGAAAAAAAATGCCAGAATGTGGTTCGTTTAAGGTTTGCCAACGGGTCAGATGGGCTCGTAGCAACTTTTCCTCTGCCGGGTCGACATGAGCTCACATGATGCGCGCGAGCGAATGGAAGAGAAATGCGGCCGCGAGGGGAGGATGTAACAGGACGGAAGTTACCATGCGAGAAGCATGGGAATTCCCGAACAGGACGTTGCCTAGCTAGCCATGAACAGCACCACCTGCTAGCCTAGAACACGCTCCTGTATCCCTGTCAGGAAGTTTAGTACAGCAAGGCATGGCATTGAGGCGCAATGCCAAGATGCCATGCTAGATGAAGTAGCGACGCGGTTTTCCTCCCAAGTCGCCATCCTTTCTTCCTAGCATAAATATCCATCTCTGAATCTTGTATCATCATCTCATCATCCTATTCTATAATCTTGAATCTCTTCTCAACTCTCTCGTAGACGAATCTGGAGCTAGGCTCCCGTCTAGCTTTCTCCCTTCCGCTGCAACGTTCTTCTATTTCTTCTTCTCGCTACGGCGCCGCTCTCTTCCTAGTCGCCATGGCCGGCCAGGCCAGCCGCGCCGTGCGCGGCAGCGCCGCCGTAACCTTGTGTCAGGGGATCTGCCGGGCTTTATTGCGTACCTGCGCGCGGGAGACGGACGATAGGATGTCCTGCTGGAGGTATCGCACGCGCGTGCGACACCACGCTCGCATCGCCTCCTCCCGTGGATTGGCGGCCTGCGAGTGCGCGAACCACACCACCCACGCGCACAGCCCCGCCCATCCCGCCACCCACGCTGCTCCCAGCGCCGCCCTCGCCACGCTTGGCGGCAGGCGGGAAAGGGAGAAACGCGCCAGCGACGCCTGCATGCGGCGCGCGGCGGAAACAGGCGACTTCTGAGGGACGGGAATGCGACAGTATAACGTGTGCGGAGCGGGGAACGGGTGCGTCACAGCTGAGGACATATACCTACTAAGGTGAGCTTCTATATTTGATTGAGAATGCAGCCTAGCACAGTTTGAGGAACCCCTGTTGTGTTGGGTTGGGGGTTTGATAACGTGAAGGGCTTGCCGTTGGGTTGGGGGTTTGCTAACGATTTCGTCAATTCGCACCAAGCAAAAAGGGCTTGTAAGAAACAAATGTAACTCACCGTTGACTTTTTGACTTCAGTCTCTCCAGTCAAAGTTCGGATTCTGTGGTTATTATTGGTTCAAATCACTGCAGCTTTCTCGACGTGCTTGTAAGTGGGATGCAACTTTACGGCACAAAATCCCGCGGGTGCAAGGTTTCCATCAGGTCCAAGGCAAATTTGCATGCAGGAGGTGAGCATCAGGTGTATCGTGTTCAGAGGGGATGATTCAAAAGGTATGGAAGGCTCTGAGGGCGTGTCCCACGAGTTCATTTTGGGAAACTTAATTGTTACGTAACTTTGACACAGCAGCGTAGTGTACACTACGACGAAAAAATAACGCAGCGCATCAGCACTACGCCGAAAGCCTCATCGCAATTCGGTCGTCAGAACCGATTTGCCAGTGTCGACAGGAGGGGTCGTCGGAGCCGGGTCTGACGAGGCGGGCGACTGACGCGCGTGCGGGCCCGCCAGCCTGGCCCAGGGCTGGGCCGAGCGCACGACCGCCGCCCCGCAGCCCCGCTCCGAACGTGAACAGGGACCCACGTTACCGGGTGGGGTCGGCGAACTGGCGACGCCTCGCGCGAGGGAAAGTTACCCTCGCGCGAAGGCAGCCCACACGTGCCACCTGCCCGCGAGGTCCTAGTAACCCATCGCGGCCTGCCCGGACGGGCAGGCGAGGGCCGTGCGAAAATTCGGGGCCCCCTCGGGACACTCGACAATTTCGCGACCCGTTGCGGTGCCGCCACGTGTTCGCCCGTAGCTTCGCATCGGGCGCATGCGAAATTTCACACGCTGCGAAATCAAAAACCTCTCGCATCGGGTTCCGCTACGAAATCGACACGTGTCGGCCGTAGCGTCGCTCCGCGCGCATGCGAGGTGTGCGTCCCCTCGCCGACCTGGGCCAATGGACGCGAAGTCGACGCCCTGCCAAGGCGGAGACGGGCCACCCGTGCCACTTGCGCATGCGCCCTCCGAGCCCTGCCGAGACAGGCCCCACACCCTTGGGCGATGCTGAACGGGCCTGGGGTGGGGCACCACCTCCATTTCTTGCTGGAAGGTGGCTTCGCTCCTCATTTTCCGCATCCCGTTTCGATTTTCAGACCTTGACACCTCTGCGCCTCCCCTCTCTCCTACCTTAGCCGTCCGCGTCTTTTGTTAGTCGATAGATATGGAGCCGAGCCCCGACGCCGATAAGTCGGCGCCGACTTCGGCTGACTTTCCCCTTCGTGTGCGAATGGGTCGCGGTCTCAGCTTCACCTTCGAGTGGAACGACTTCGCCGTCCTTCGCGACCATAGGATAGAGTTCAACGAGAGATGCTTGGGACTCGGCATCAGGTGGGAGTCGGGTAGTCGCGGTGGTTGAAAAGTGTCGATGGCGGCGCCGACTATCTCTAGCTCCGTTGGAAGTCGCATTGTCGCTGTTTGTCATCAGACTTACGTCCGAGTACGAGACAATAGGCATGGTCCCCGTCCAGGGACGTCGGTCGGCAAAGCAAGCGTCGACCACGTACTGTCCGCTTTTGACGTACGGTAGACGTCGACCTGGTAGCGTTTGCTCAGCAGCCATGTTATCATCCCCTATGCTCACTCGTGCGCTCAGGTTCGCTTGGTTTCGCATTGGGCGGGACGACCAGCGGTTGTGGGTAATCGGAGTCGGCCCGCTTCGATCGGCCATGAAGGCCGCCGACCATTCTTGCTTTGCGACGGTTTTCGACGCCGACATCGCCGCTATCCCATTGCGATCGACGTGAGCTGGTCCCCCGTTGTCCAGTTGTCGTTTTGTGTAGTCGGTCGCATCATCGCCTAATGATGTGGTCGACGCCGTCTTGCATGTGCAGCGGCGGCCCGCTTCCAGGGTCACACTGCAGCGTCATAGCCATCCTCTACCCAGGAGATCTGCTGAAGGCTGAGGGACAGGTCTGCAGGACCTCGATCCGGCACATCGACCCGCATACCGGGAAACTGAAGCACCGCGACGAGGCCGTCCGCGTGCTGAAGTAAGTTGTGAATAGTCGTCGCTTTCTTGCTTGTTAGTCGCCGACAGAGGGTATCACATGCTGACCTTTTTCTTTTTACTACGATGCTCCAGGCTATTCCGCACGGCTGTCCTGGCCGAGCTGGGGCGTCCCGGTAGGAAGTGGGACGGGGCGCCGCCATCACAAGCAGTGGTCGAGGACAGGCTTGCCGACTGCGACGACCCTATCCGCGACGTGAGTTGCGCGTTAAAGCTCCGCTCTTAACGTTCTGCGCGTATCTGTATGCACCGCTCATATTGTTCCGCGCTTGCCGTTGTTGTATGCAGAAAGTGCCAGGCACAGTGTCGGACGGGCATGTCGGCACCGGCATGCTTGCCGCGACGTCGTTCGGGTGGGTGGCCAAGCAGATCGACCTGCTGACGGGCGACAAGGCTCGAAGTGCGGTGAGCATCGAGAACATCAAGGCAAAGGGTTTGAAGTCGCTCCGTGATAGCATGGTCGAGTACATCTGCAAACGCGTCGCCGAAAAAAGATCTGCGGCGCCGACTTCAGGAGCCGTTGGACCCGCCGACAGTGCGATTGATGACGACGGCGCGGAAAGTCAGACGGCGCCCCAAGCAGCAGCTGCCGCCCAGCACCAGCTGGACTTGCTGGTGTCCGGAGGAGGCGACGCCGTGGCAGGTGCAGGAGGAGGAGGAGGCGACGCCGCGGCAGGTGCAGGAAGGAAGGTTCAAGATTCGGAGTCGTCGGATTCGGACTCAGAGTCGGAGTCGGAGGGGGAGGAGGAGGACGAGGCGGCGAAAGAGAAGAAGGTCGAGGAGGATCACGAAGAGGAGGAGGAGGAGGAGGAGGAGGAGGACGAGGACGAGAACGATGAGGTGGTGGAGGTTGAGGAAGGGAATGGGAAGGATGAGGCGGAGAACGACGAGGAGGGGGTGGAGGCCGAGGTGCAGTACGAGCTGCAGTACGAAGACGGTACGGTTGTGGCGTTGGGGTCGGCGGATGAAAAGAATGAGGAAGCGGAGGATGGCGATGCGGGTAATGCTACGAGGTCGGCAGAAGATGGGGGGAAGGAGACGGATGAGGTCGGCGCGGAGGCAACGACGGAACAGGGCCAGGAGGAGGCGGCATGCGAAGGTGCGAAGGTGTCGGTCGACGCCGGCGAAGGTGCGAACATCACGGGCATGCAGGAGACGGAGGAAGCATCTGGTCGGCAGGGCCCTGAACAGGTCGACGTCGAGGAACTGCTGCGGGAGAACTTCCTGTTGAGGGCGGAGAACGCTCGGCTGAAGGCGTTACTCGATGAGGAGCAGGCTCGGCTGGACGGGTTTTTTGGTGGGTTACGTGGACTCGTCGACCACCTGAAGGAGTTGGCCGAACAGATCGACGACACCGACAAGTTTGCGGCGCAGCAGCTGCGAAACGCGACGGCGGACATGTCGAAGACCATAACGGGCAACATCACCGGCAGCTTCGACGAAGCGTGGAAGACGATGAAGACATTCGCGGAACAGGCGTCGGCGTGGTTGGAGGACTTCGACAATCCGGAGGGTCGTGTGGCATGTGCACGCGCTGAAGCTGTCGACGCCTTGGCCGAGCACGTGGATGGGGTGGTGGGCGAAGCGAGGCGGGGTTTGGAGCTGTACATCACGACGCAACTATCCGCCGCGCAGGTCAACATCGCCACCGCTGTGACCTCCAGGCTCCCCGTGCAGCCGCCGCCACCGCCTCAGCCCACGCCGCCCGCCCTCCCGGAAGAGCTCTTGAAGTCGTTCAAGGCCGACATCATGAAGACGGTGACGGAGGCCACCCAGCAGTCGTTCGTTGCTTCCGGGATGAAGATGTTGACCGAGATGATCGGCACTGTGGCGCCTGGTCGACGCGGGTCGTCGCCGTCGGCCAATGACGCAGATCAAGCGCAAAGGAGGGCGGCCGACAAGCAGGGCGAGAAGAGGACGGGCGACGGAGACGACAAGGAGAGCGTGAAGCGGAGCAAGGGATCGGACGGGAGCCGCGGCACGAAGCCTCCTGCTCAGAGCGTGGTCGAACAGCTGAAGTCGAAGGCGGGGTGGAAGGTGATAAGGACGTCGAACAGCAAGGGAAGCGGAAGCGGGGGGGCAGAGGGTGGCCCTGCCGACGGGGTTGCCGCTAACGTCGCTGCACCGCCTGGCCCGCCTTTGGTCGCCGAGCAGACCAAACCGCAGGCGACCTCCGGGAAAGGCGAGACCGACAAGGAGGCCCCTACTGCTCAGGCGGCGAAGGACGGCGGCGCCGGAACCACCAAGGGACCGTCCGTCGCGGTGGCGGCCAAGGGCAAGGCGAAGGCCGCCTCTGCCAAGTCGATTCCCCGTAAGTCCCCAGCGGCTACCCCCGCGCCGGCCGGCAAGTCAGGCGCCAACAACGATGGGCCGGCCATTGCGGCCCCTCCAGCTCCAGCAGCACCAACTGCCGACAAGGGCGACGCGACGGCTGCTGCGGCTAAGCCCGAAGGTCCGTCACCTGCTAAGGTGCCCGCCGGCAGTAACGCGCTTAGGGAGATGCTCCGCCGCATGGATGCGGATCGCAGGGAAATGCAGCAGCCTCCAGTGGTCGACGCCGCCCTTGCCGAAACAGCACGTCGCTCAGTCACATCGCAGGTTGTCGGCAAATCGACCGTTGACCCACCTGCCGTGCCTCAAGTCGCCGCCCCACCGCCCGCGGAACCCAAATCCGCGTTTCTTCGCGCCCCTTTAGGCGCACGCAAAGCGGGAGCTCGACAAGTGACTCAGCCGGAACCCGGCAAAAGCGCGACGCCGACGTCGGTAAACGCGACTTCACCCACACCAGGTGCAGCTGTGGTCGCTCGACAAGTGACTCAGCCGTAACCCGGCAAAAGCGCGATGCCGACGTCGGTAAACGCGACTTCACCCACACCAGGTGCAGCTCTGGTCGCTCGACAAGTGACTCAGCCGGAACCCGGCAAAAGCGCGACGCCGACGTCGGTAAACGTTACTTCACCCACACCAGGTGCAGCTGTGGTCGATGCTGCGGCGGAGAAGGGTGTGAGCGCGGCGCTAGCCACCGGCGGCCGAGCCAACAGGCGTGCCAACCTCGCTGCCGTTCTGGCTCAATTTGAAGCAGCAAAACGGCCCGAGCATGCCCCGGCACTGGCCATCGTGGACACGGCACATGAGGAGCCGTCGGGGACCCACGGTGAAGGTTCGGCGGAGCCGACGGCTGCAACGGCTGCTGTCGCCGAGGGAAATGCGGGACGGAAGGGTAAGGACGACAACGAGAAAGGGAAGGCGGTCTTGCAGAGGAGCACGCGGGCGATGTCGGCGGGGAATGAGATGTCGGAAGAGAAAGGGAAGAAGCCGGCACGGAATCAGGACAAGACGGGCGGCAAACATAAGCCGGCGAATAGGAAGGCGAAGGCGGAAGAGGAGGAGGAGGAGGAGGAGGAGGAGGAGGAGGAGGAGGAGGAGGAGGAGGAGGAGGGGGAGGAGGAGGAGGAAGGGCATGGACGCCGGGGTCATGGCATCCGCCGAGACAGGTCTGGCGACGGGCTTGGGTGGGTGGGCTAGATCAAGATTAAGGGCCAGAATCGGTACATCGGCAAGTCGCGCGATAAGATGGATCTGGCATACGAGCACGCGATTGCGTACTTGCTCTACGACGGCTACGTGAGCAAGGTGCTGACGAAGGAGCTCACCGTCTTGAAGCCGGGGCAGTTGGATGAATGGAAGGCGGTATGGGAGGAGCTCAGGTTCCTGTCGACCGGGATGTGGACGGTGATGTGGGCCAGAGGCTTGTGCCATCCGAGAGCAAGGTAAGTCGGTTACCGACGTGCCGAGTTCTGTCGACCAAGTCGGTGTCAAGATCGCTGATGTCAACAAAGCCGTGCTGTTTTAATGTTTTTGCGCGGCAGGTTCGACGATATACTCGGCAGGTACCGTGGGTACGCGAGCTCGGGTGATGCGCTTCATGACGTGCTCTGGCCGGCGATTTGGTTCCCCATCATCGAAGACACGGAGGCAGGCAAGGCGCAGACCACCGCTCTCTTGTCGGCGATGGTAAATCGCGTGTCGATGTGCGCGGCGTATGGGAAGGTTGCGGCGAGCGTGGCGTTTGGGAAGGTCGACGCGAGCGTGGAGGGGAAGGCGGGTGAGAACGCGGAGATGGAAGGCACGGAGGGTAAGGCGGACGAGAAGACGGAGATGGGGGCCCAGGCGTTAGCGGCATCTGCATGCGCCCTCTGGTGCTACATGTCGACGGGTGCGTCGGTGCTCGGTGCTGTGGGCGAAGGGAAGGCGGCCGCGATGGTGGCAGGTGCAGGGGAGCAGAGGGCCGAGCGCTTCAAGAAGGTCATGCACTTGGTTTTCGACTTTGCAAAAAGTCGGAAGGCTCCCGCGGGGGAGGTTGCACATAACGTCGCGCCAGAGCTGCAGCGCTATGGAGTGGCCAGGGCCTTCGAGGCGGGAATTGAGGAAGTCGAGGCCGACATGATCGCAAGAGCGACGGTCGAGACCTTGGCGTTCTGGGGAATGTGCCCCGTCGCCGGGCCCAAGCTCAAAGCGGAGGGCATCGATGTGCCGTGTGACGCGAAGATGGAGTACAATCTGGAGCACAGGGGGAGGAAGGGTGAGAAGGTCAAGCAGGGCAAGGGCAGCAAGAGGAAGAAGACGAAGGCGGAGAAGCAGGCGAAGGACAGTACGGATGCGTAGTCGGCGGACGGATGTGTCCTAGGTTGCTAGGGTGTGTACTATGTCGGTATGGCCGGCGCAGATTTGATAAATGTTTTCTTTCGTAACAAGAATCGTATTTGATACAGTTCTGTTTGCTCCACTTTGGGTTGAACAAATCGGTGTCCACATAGAAACATGCTGACCGAATATCACCAGATGGGCCATGTCGGCGCATATGTCGACATGATATGCACATGCTAGTCGGCGAGGACCGTTGACATGATAGAAACATGGTTCTCGGCGGTGAGCTTTGTCGGCAAAAGGTCGACATCGAGTTTTGCGACACCTATCGTTCTGGGCGACAGGCTAGCGTCTCTTCGTCGGTAGATGTAGGATTGTGGTCGGTGGGGGGACTAGCGTCGGGCATGTCGACGTCGGCCATGTCTGCCATGATTGCGCTATCGTCGTCCGTGTGCGATGCGGAGGTTGTTAAACCAGAGACGGAACTGTGTCACGGGAGCGAAATAACGGTCTTCTTCGAATTCTCGCTCAATCGCGTCTAACTCGGCTTCGACCTCAAGACGTTCCAGCTCCGCTTTGATGTCGTCGTCTACTGAGTCGGCGGGGGGTGGGATGGATTGGGGCTGTTGGGCTCTACGACGACCTCTGGCCATGCGTCGCCGACTTGCTAGGTCGGCCAAGATGTCGATAGTTTGCCGATGTCGACGTCGACAAGTACTGACCTCTCGTTTTCCTAAACACCGACCTAATTGTTAGCGACCACGTAGAAGCAACCTGTGCCGACGGGATCGATTAGTCGGCAGCCGACAAGCTTACAAACGCGAAGAAAGACAGGCAGCGGAGAGCAGGAAGGAAAGCAGGAACTGACAAGGGAATGAGCACAATCGGAGGGTCACGAAGGAGTACGGTCCTGGGACGCCGCGCTGCACCCTTGGGGCGTAAGCCTGGGCCATTTCACGAGGGAATGGGCGTGTGTGACGTGGCGTGGGCCCGACATTGGCGCCTCAGAGCGGAAATAACGGCATGCCGACTTCCACCTCCCAGGGGCCCTGGATTACTGCGGGGCCGCGTGGCAACCCTACCACGCTCGCCTGGTGATCGGCGCCGACTACCCGTCGGCGCGCTTATTTGTGTGGTTAGGTTCATTGAACGTGGACACTGTTGTGTCTGTGCCGCGTTGCTCGGTTGTGGACCGTTGGATGACTTGGTCGACACCGACCAAGGTTGACGGTCCGATCTGCGCCGCGTGGATCGAGCACCGACAATTTTGGCGGGAGCGTCGACTTCCCGCGCGAAACACTCGCCGCCGGAGCGACGCGTGGCCACGACGTGAGCGTCGTGGCAGTCTTGTCATCGTGGGGGACCTCCTGGCTCGTCCCTATTGGGCCGCGTGGCAGCAGTCGCAGCTCGACGTGGCGAGCTTTCCTATTTTGTCCGCTGAGATTTCCTTCTCAGGAATCTCCCAGCGAAACGGAGGTCGTCCGATTGTCGACAATCCCGAGGGCTCCCGAGGCCCCTTGCCGCTCGGAAGTCGTCGGGAGGTCGTCAATCCCGAGGGGGCCCTTTGTCCTATCGAAACCGTGAATCTGGGCGGCAGTTTTCGTCCGCTGAGGTATATTATCCCAAAAGAAGTTGCACCATATGGACTCAGCACCCCGCTCACTAACAACTCGTATCCCGAATCACGTTCGACATTTTTCGCGAACGGTAACCCGGCCGGTTGGGAATAAACTGTGCCAAAATTGGCCGTTCGTTTCTTCTGGGCGATTTTGAGATTGCTCGTTAGGGTTACACGGACCTATTTGAGGTGTGGTACGTACCTTGGGAGCTGTTTCTGAACGCTTTAATTCGAACCTGTTGACGCATTCAGCGCGTCAATGTCGCGCGTCATTGAAGACGCATGTCTACATCTGTCCAATATTAGGGGTTAAAAAAGCAGAACAGGGTCACCAAAGCCGACATGAACGGTAAAAAAACTCGTGGGACTCCCCTGATGATGTCTCTGCATTTTGAAGAGGAAACTAATAGAGAAATTATGTCAATAGTAACTTTTCTAGGGCCCTATAACGCGTGCGGTAACCATTACAATGAAGTTTGACGCGTTTGGTAACCCGTCTCATGCGTTTGGTAACTATACACTGCCAAACGATCACGCGAATGGTAACTAGAAGAATCCATCGCCCGAAATGACCTTGTTTCGAAAATTTTGCGTTTTTTTTTTACGAATCCTGACGCATCGCGTTCTGCCTACCACGCACATTTTCCGAATTAAGATAATAATCACGTATGTACGTTTGGTTGTACCATTTAGAAACAATCAACACATTCCGAACCGCACGTTCTGAACTTCCTGTTTGTATTTTTCGTTTGTGTCTTTGTGCCAAAAATATAGAGCCCTTTCGGATGGCATGCGGTTCTGAAAAAATCAACCTTGCGACAAGGCTAAAACCGGTAAAAATATAATGCGAATATATTTCTGATAGTGCACGCCTAAATTATAATAAACTGAACCCGCCTAAAAGCATGGTCGCAAGAAGTTAAGGGTTTATGCTCTCAGAATCGCTTGAAATCCGAAAGTGTTTTATGATTTTTGCCCACGTTGTAAGGTAGAATTGGATAGAATGAATGTTCAAAAAAGCGCTGAAAAAAATCATTGCAATGTGTTAAAATATTTACAGCTCAGCTACTCGTAAATAAATTACTTGTTTTTCAGAATGTGCATCTGAAATTGGTTTTTAATGATTCGTCGATTCCGTTTGGCGCAAACTGGAAAAACCATATTCAGGGTCATTTTGGGTGAGGGTTTCTTCTAGTTACCATTCGCGTGATCGCTTGGCAGTGTATAGTTACCAAACACGTAAGATGGGTACCAAACGCGTTAAACGGGTTACCAAACGTGTGAGACGATTTACCGTACACGTTTTAGGGCCCCATAAAAGCTACCGTTGACATATTTTCCCAAACTTATATTTGCCATATCCTTATTGCAAACACTGCTGTGTATGAACATCGTCTACTTGAAAACAAAAGAAAACGAATCAACCTTACATACATTGCCCCCATGAACTGCTTTATGACTTTTACGTTAGGTACATGAAGTCAATACAAATCATCAGCATGGTACTTTTCTATACCGAGGCTGACAAAGCAGCCACCCCCAAAACGGAAAGGCAATGCGAATAACATAGGTCAGGGCTTATACACAAGGTAAGTCTATACTAGTAGTTTATAATGGCATATATTTGGCTTGGCTGCATTATGGAGGATGCATATTACCGTCATACCCCGGATATACCCCCATGGGGGGCAATAATAAAAAAATGTTTTTTTTCAGGGGGGTGGGCTTATAATCGAGTAAATTTATAAGCGCCGGCGTTTATAGAATGACATATATACTTTTTAAAGTTTTTAACACCCAACTGTAGATCTCGTGCTTGCTTTTTCAATCGAGTCGAAGTTACATGGGGTCGTCTGTGTTTTTTCTCGCGCGCGCAGGGAGATACACTCAATCTGACTTACATTCAGGTCCTGACAGCTCCTGCTGACTGGATCCGCATCCAGTGCAGGCTCCGAATGTGAAGGGAAGCGAAACTGCAACACATTCCCCTGCTAAAGTCAAAATCGTTACAGTGTTTTGCACACATTTTGAAATTTAAAGTTTACGTGCGCTTATAATAAAACAAGTTTTTTTCAGGGGGTGCGCTTATAATCTAGCACCGAATATAAGCGCCACACGCCAATTAAAAGCGCCAGGCGCTTATCCGCGGGTGGCGCTTATATCCGGGGTATGACGGTACACTTACAATATAGGGGTGAAGCAGGCCCCCAGAAGTCAGAGAAATTTCTCTGATTTGCATGAAAAACTCGGATTTTCCAGACTTTTTTTATGGGCAACTCTGAAAGTTCAGATTTTTTTATGTCCTCAACTCTGAAAGTTCATAATTTTTTATGGCCTCAACTATGAAATTTCAGAGTTTTTTTTTATAGTGTACTCTGATTGAACAGACTAGAAACGCGTACCGACTCTGATTCAATGTACCGTAATCACCCGGGTATAAGACCCCCCCCAGTTGTAGACCCCCGGGTCTATAATACGGACGTGGGTCTTATATTTGGGTATGTTTTTCTTATACCCCCCTTTTTGGCTGAAAACATTATAAGAACATGTGATTTTATAATATAATAGAGTCGTTTTGTGAAGGAGAACATAATGTTTCCTCTTCGGATGAAGTCACGTGGGCATCGCACCGTCAATGTTGTGCATTCTTTTGTTTTTTTCCGCCATTACGAGGCTCATGAATCAATGCTTGATCAGTTGCGAGGGGCGATGCCACCTGGCAAATGCCTGACTGTGCGATTTTCATGGCCTTGCTTTGAGATTCGTTTGACTTGATTGGCTATGTGGTTGTCCAATCAGAGAGCAATATCTGGATTTCACATTCACAAACAGTCGTCACAAAAACATCCTCGACGTACCGCTTTTTCGGAATCTAAAAACGAATCAAACACCAACATGAGCTTTGCATTCAAATACAAGTGAAAAAAACATGTTCATTTGTTAAGACCCGGGTCTTATATTACTATGACAATATGAGAAGACCCCCCACCATTTTTTCCCGTAGTTTTCATAAGACCCTAGGGTCTTATATCCGGGTGATTACGGTACCTGTTTTGGCGCCGTAACCCGGGATTAGCGGTGGCACTAGACTGTTACCCCGTCAATCACGGTTGATAAGTGACAGCACATCAGTTTCCACACCGACGCCGCCCTGCGGCGCGGTTTCCCCCTCGTAAGCACCAGCGCACACCAGCTTTGGGTGTTGATGGGTCCTTTTGGCAGCTTTTGCTAGCCACACTGGACTCCAACGGCACCCACGTTGCTGCATTTGGCAGCCACAAAACACTGCAGACAGCAGTGGACGGCAGTAGCGGCTTGTGGTTTGGCGTGCATGGTAGGCAACCACAGCCCACTGGAACGATGGCCCGCGAAGGGGTAAAGAGCCATCGTCGGAGAGCTGGGGTTTCATCCCCGCCTCAGGCTTCAGCACCCTTGTCTGCACCCAGTCCCAGTGCTTTTTGTCTACCGCCACCACCACCCTGGAAAAATGACCTATAGACAGCAAAACCACAATCAGACTACCGTACCGTAATTACAATTGGTAACTCTGAATAATCAGAGTTTTTTATACCTACACTCAGAAATCTCAGACTTTTTTTTATAACAGACTCTGATAGTTCAGACAACAATTCTGTACCAAGTCTGAACCCTCAGACAGCCCCAAGAACGAATCTGAGGGCCTGGGGTGAAGCCTTCAATGGCTACTTTCTCCTAGGAGAGCCCAATGGCAGAGAACACGGCAGCAAGTTCCTGTGCCGTGATAGGTTTCCTCACCGCTCCATCCATCCCCGCCTCCAAGCATGCTCTCTTGATCCCTGCATCCAAATCTGCAGTCAATGCTATAATGCAAATCCGTTGCCTGGACGCACATGTTACACTGCCTGCATCACCTACACTTTGATCTGCTTCATTCATCTTCTGTGCATCTTCCATGGCACGCAGTCGACGAGCCGTTTCAAATCTGATGCACCCAGGCAGCAAAAGGAAGAAAGAAGCGTGCGCAGAAAAGGACAAACAGAAAAACGCCATGAGCGACAGGCGAGGCAGGACAAGTCAAGAGCAAACCAGAGAGGCAAGAGAAAACAACCTGGAAATTATATCACCAAGATGCAAAGAGGCAATAGCACGAAGGAGGTGTGAAGGAGAGGCGAAGCAGCATAAAGTGAGAGGGAAAGTAGAGGTGAATTAAGCCACTCACCCGTCGATGCCAGGCGGCATGTGGAGGTCGAGGAGCAGCAGGTGGATGGGCGGCGAGGGCGTGGCAGAGGAGAGCGCCTGTTGAGGCGCCTTAGGAGCAGAGGAGAGCGCTTGCAGCGCGTCCTCCCCGGAGCACAGCAGCAGCACGTGCGCCCCGTAGCCCTGCAGCGTTCTCCTTGCCACCATGCGGTTCACCGCGTTGTCATCCACCACCGCCACCCCCCGCCCCGCCACCGCCCCCCGCACCACCCGCTCCGCCTCCCCCACGCCCTCCCCGCCCCTCATGCCCTTCTCCATCTCCACTTGCGGACACGTGTGCGCCCGCACCAGTGCACGCACCCCTACTGCTGGGCTCTGCAATGGTGGCAAAGCTGGTTGCGCCGTGGCAGCAGCAGCATGAGGCATGGCCACAGCTCCACCAGCTGACCCATCCGTGTCCCCCCGCGATCCACTCTCTCGCTTCACAGGCTCCTCACCAGCCCCTTCTGACTTGCCAAATTCCACCCGATTCTCGTTCTCCTCCCCAGTTCCCCTGCTGCTGCCGGCGAGCTCCCCTCCCCCCAAGGGCAGCGCCAGCAGAATGGTGGTGCCTGTGGAGGCGTCTGACAGCACTGCCATGCCCCCCCGCATCTCCGCCACCTGTGGGGAGAAGGAGCGGGATTGAAGGAAGGGATCAGGAAAGAAACCAGGTAGCACCTTCTTTCCCCCCTATCTCCGCCACCTGGGGAAGAAGGGGGAAGGGGAGAAAGGAGGGAAAGAGGGGGCATGAGAGGTTGTAAAGGGAGGGGATTAGTGTGAGGTTGAAACGAAAGTATGTGCGTGAGCGCTGGAGAGGAGATGCACAAGTACAACAAAGATAGGAACTCCTATCTTCCTATCACAAAGATAGGGAGAACAGAAAGCAATTACACCTTCTTTCAAACATTTTGCGAGTCGTGACGAAATTCCTATTCGGCCAAGTAGTTGGTTCGTATAGATATGCGACCACCTAGGCAACCTCTTGAGGAGGAATTTTGAATTGAATAAGGCATTTGGTGAAGCCAAAATTTCAAGACAGAAATTCCTTGTTTCGGCCATAAGTTCTATCTATTGAATATCATGCAAATACTAGGGTATTTGTTTACAGACTTAATAACATGCTATAGAGCTGAAAGAGGAGGTTGAGGCGCTCACAAGGGAGGTGGAGAGCAGGAAGCGAACAGGGTAGGGCGTCCAGCGGGGGCCAGCAGCTGCCTTGCGATCATGGTGCATAGGATCCCATGTGCTGCGCTCCCTTTGTCGCCCCAAGCCCTTCCATGAGTCTGCCCTCCCCAGCGACCGTATCCTTTCCTGCTCAGTCTCCAAGTCGGAACCAAGGAGTCGTATATCAAATTGAAGCGGACATATGCAGGTCTCGCAAGCCCGTGAGAGCTGGACATCTGCAGCGGACCAGAGCGGACCAGAGCGGACCAGAGCGGACCAGAGCAGACCAGAGCAGACCAGTGCGTGATGGTGACCGGATGGATAACCGACTGCCTCACTCACACCCCTTGTTTCAGCACGCACTCAGGTTGGTAGCAACAATTCGATGAGTAAAATAACGCAAGCCTGAAGCAAGAAACCAGACACTGACCATGACTTTATGATGCCCGTTGCCATGCATGTCGTGTGGTGAGTGGCAAGCGAGGCCATGTGGGTCCAGCAACCCCCACAGCTCCTCGGGTGGTATACCACCGCCAGTGTCTTCACACGCCACCACCACCATCCACTCGCCCTCCTCCCTCACAGCACACGCCCCCTCCACCCACTCCCTCACCTCCTCCTCCAACTGCCCATCTCCACCCTCCCTTTTCACTAAACTGCCGTCTCTGCTGCACGCCCGCCCACCCCCGTTGCCTATGGGCCCACCGCTGCTGGCTGGGTGGCGCTGGGGGAGGCAGAGAAGGCAAGTGGTCGGAGGAAAACGCCGCACACAGCCGGCCAGCTGATGCCATGCTGCTGACCCCGGGAGAGGCTCAGGGGAGGCTTGAGATTGCGTGGCGCCCGTGGGAGCAGCAGGTGGAGGAGGAGGCGTGGTGGTGGAATGTGGAGGAGGGATGCACCAGAGGCGGATGGCTATGCGGCCGGCTGCCGTGTTGTCCATGGCACTCCCTGGAAGGAAGGGTGGGGTGGGGACGGAGAGGGGGTGGAGGAGGGGTGTGGGGGGTGGCCAAGGAAGGGAGGGGGAATTGGGGAGGGGAGACACAGGAGGAGAATACAAGCAATGCATGGAAGAATAAGGTATTTCTAGTTGAAGATAGTAAAGCGAGAAGAAGCCTAAATGATGAATCGAGAAATATGTTAGGATGTCGAGAATATGTATGGAGGAACCAAACCGCAGCCGGCTGAGCTGGTTTGAGCAGGACTAGATCCATTCTCCTCGAACCATGAGGAGAACACTCGCAGTTCAGTTCGAGGCCTATCAAGTAATACACTCTGTAGTGAGAATCTGCACACAGTTAAATCAACCACCTCCTTTATTCTCCAGTCCCCCAGTTACCATGGGGTGAGAATGAAGTTTCCCCAGTTTATTGCTGGGTACGTCAGGACCCTAATGGTTTAAATAGCACTACCAGACCTACCAGACCTACCAGACCTACCAGACCTACCAGACCTACCAGACCTACCAGACCCTGCTCCATTAGTTCTGATCTGTGGAATGCCAAAGGATGATCCCTCAACAGTCCTCTCTCTCCAATTTCTACTTTCCCTTTAAGCCAGATAAGTTCTAAATGAGGACCTTTTGAGGACCTACATGCCATTTTGCCACTAAATGATGATAAAAAGAAGCATCCATTGACAAAACAAAGAGAGACCTTAAAATTGTGCGCATGAAAAAAAACTTCTAAACCGGTCTGAGAAAGCGCCAAATAACGCTGTTGAAACAAATCGCTAGTTGCTTGACGCATCCCCTTACACTTTTGTAAGACTTACCGACAAGTTCAGCCGTGACTTGCAAAAGCCGAGTTGGATCGCCGAGAAGAGTTTCTGGAACGCTCTCATCCACATGGACTGTATTGAGCCAACAAGAGAAAGAAACTTTGAAAGGAACACAATGAAATGTAATCACGACAAAACACTAGCCTCGAAAGGAAATGAGTAGAACAACTTGATTGCACATCCATACCTTGCAAATTCTTTCCTGGTGCTATCGGTTCAGCAACTGCAGTTGCCTCGCGCACGATGCGTCTCAAGCAGCAGGGGAGAGTTTCAAGCTGCAGCCGGCCGGCCTGCAGCTTGGCAAGGTCCAACACTCGGTTGATAAGCTCCACCGTCTCGCCCGCACACGCCCTCGCCACCCTCAGGTCCTCATACTGCCACTCCTCCAATGGCGAATCCAACAGTTCCTCTATCATGCCTGTGGGAGGGATATTGCATCCCGTTCGGGCGCAATAAACGAGAAATAATCAGGGTGAAATTCGATCGTCTCCTTCAACAAACTTGCAGAAATCGAGAGTGGAACCAGTAGTATGCGTGCCCTCACTAGCCATGCCATGGTCTTGTGATCCCATTTGCCATGCCATGCTCCCACCCGCCACCACACCATGCCATGCTCTCAGTCACCCACCATGTGCCATGCTCTCACTCACCCATCATGCCAATAATTGGGGTGCGCAGCTCATGCGAGGTGCTGGCCACCGCCTCACTCTTGGACCGCTCAGCTCGCTCCAAGATGGCGGTGCATATCTGAATCTCCTTCACATCCGCCTCTATATTTCTCCTTTTCCACGCCAGTACTGCAATCATGATGGACAGCAGCACTGCCACTAGTAGCACCAGCAGGCCCAGCAGCATGGGAGCATAAACGAGGTCCCACTTGGGGTAGGCGCCTTCAAACCTGCACGTTGGGTTGGCATTCATGTGAAGGAGACAGACTTCATGTAATGAGACATTAGCAGCACCAGCAGGCCCAGCAGCATGGGAGCGTACACGAGGTCCCACTTGGGGTAGGCGCCTTCAAACCTGCACGTTGGGTTGGCATTCATGTGAAGGAGACAGACTTCATGTAATGAGACATTAGCAGCACCAGCAGGCCCAGCAGCATGGGAGCGTACACGAGGTCCCAAGTAGGTGGTGGGAGCACCTTCCCTTAGAAATCTACACAGTTGAAAAGCACAAGGGAAGGGAAGGTGTGGGCATCGGAAGGCGGTTCAAAAGGACACGGTCACTGTTGCTCCCGGCCTTCGCTTTGTTCATGCCCGTCGAGTTGATTGCAAGGGGTAATCAATTAGTGCAAGGAATTTTTTTCTGGCAAGAGGTGGCGTTATAAGCACATGAGAAGTCTCCGGTGCGCTGCCTCGCTGAACTCTTACTTACTGAATGGAAATGCTTTGGAGCTTACCCTGCTGCACAGATCGATCCACTGACAACGAAATGCAAGACTGCAAGCACAAGCCTGCAGGCAAACTGCTTTATTCACGTGAATTCGTTGGCAAATTTCGAGCCGTTGAGATCATCAAAACTTGGCCTCGGCCCGAGCTCAAACGGGCCTGCCTGCCCCCGGCCGCCTAAGGCTCAACTCGAACCTCACACACACACGGCCCGAAGTGACCCTTGCAAGCTTTGGCCTATGACCTTGACCAGCAGCCGAATAATGGCCAGGTTTGGTCCATTATGCATGCACTCCATGTCGGCCAGGCTTATGCCTACTAGAAGTTACGTCTAGAGAGGGTGTTTTTGAGACGTCTCAAAAACACCCTCTCTACACGTGCCAGGCTTATGCCTACTAGAAGCTACGTCTGCTTGCACTATGCTTTCCTCTAAGTGTACATACCTGCAGTGTGCCTTGTATGTGCGGCCAAGCATGTCCTCGGGAAAAGGCTCCACATGGTCAGGTGGCACAAGCACAGGCGCTGGCAGCACATAACACAGCCCACTCATGCCACGCCCAGCCCAGCACATACCTGCAGTGCGCCTCGTATGTGCGGCCAAGCATGTCCTCGGGAAAAGGCTCCACATGGTCAGGTGGCACAAGCACAGGCGTGGGCAGCACGGCGGGGAAGGCAGAAGCTCTCTCCAACCGCGGCTCATCTGGGCCGTATATCTGCTTCAACTCGCCTGCTTCTGTGTTGTCATACATGGCGAATGAGTATGTGGTGCTGCCTGGAGAGAGGAGGGGAGAGGAGGGGAGAGGAGGGGAGAGGAGGGGAGAGGAGAGGCGTGGAGAGAAGAGGAGAGGAGAGGAGAGGAGAGAGAGGTGATGGAGGAACATGCGCGTCAATGCCTTTTGAGTATGTGCCGCCCCATACATAAACAAGAGGGAGAAAAGAACAAGTCTATTTGAGGTTGAAATCAAGGGCCAAGACAGAGTGAAAAAAAGGAAGCCACACAACGAGCCGTGATTGTTACTTTACCCAAGGAGGGGTTTCGGGGGACGAAGAGGACATGGAGATGAAAGAGCGGGAACTCACCATTTTCAAGCATGCGCAATAGTTCTCGGGCTCTCCATTCAAGATGCACCACGCCGCCCCATGCGATTCTCACGCTGCTTCGGATCTCTTGCAACGATGCATTGGCTGGAACAGAATGGCTGAAGATTGGAATGACAAATACTGCACGGGAAAGACGGGGAGGGGAGGGGAGGGGAGGGGAGGGGAGGGGAGGGGAGGGGAGGGGAGGGGAGGGGAGGGGAGGGGAGGGGAGGGGGGGGGGGGGGGGGGGGGGGGGGGAGGGGGGGGTGGAGGGGAGGGGAGGGAAGGGGAGGGGAGGGGAGGGGAGGGGAGGGGAGGGGAGGATTTACGCAACCAATGTCAAAATGAGGGTGGTTTGACACAGAAGCCTGCACGGCTTGGTTCATTCATGAAAAACGGGCCCAGCGGGAAATGAACTAATGGTCCAGCTGCAAGGATGGCGTGGCATAAGGAGGACCCATAACGGGTTCAGGTTCAGCTGCAAGGGTAGCATGGCATAAGGAGGACATCTGAGCTTCCTCGCTCGAATTACTCTCTGGCGTCGATGGGTTGGTTTGGTGAGTTTGAGATCCGAAGATTTGGAGGGGAAGGTTTTGTAGGAATTGGGATCCTGAAGTCTGGTTCGACAGATTTTTTCACGCGAACGATTTCGCCTTGACCAGGACCAGGTAGCTACCACGTACTTTTAAAAGCTTAGCGCAGCGCATGACACAGAGTTAAATGGTGCTGCGAAAAAGAGTACGTGGATGAACAGAAAAAGCGTGCACGTGGTTGCAAGCAAACCACGAGTTTGCAAACAAAAACAGCATGAGTTGGACCATATTCTCCTAATTGCGAACCACGGATCTGCAAACACTGATCCAGGCAAGGATGGCATGAAACTTGGAAACCCAACAAAAGGCGGGGCATAGAGGGCGGGGCATAGAGGGCGGGGCATAGAGGGCGGTGCACGGACCACTTGCCACGTATCCGGGCCCAGCAGAGCAAGGAGCACCCGCGTATGCCTTCCCTTTGAGCAGGTTGTCAAGCTGGGCGGGAGGGACGACCGGAGAGAAGTCGGTGAAGGGCTGCAGGGGAAAGTCGGGGTTGATGCTGCCATACACGTTCACTCCGTACAGATCCTTCCTTGGGGCGGGCAGGCCCAGCACTGAGCGGATCTGAAACCCCGTGATGTTCTCCACTAGAGGCCTGCAGGGAGGGAAGGGAGGGAGGGGATGAGAGGACCAGTGCAAGCAATGAGCCTCATGCTGCTACAAACAACCACGGTGAGGCGAGCTACACAGGCGTTGCCTATTGGATAAGCCTGGGCTTCAGGGCTTAGGAGGGTGCCTGTCTCAAAAGCCAGCCAGACCTGACTGACCTGTCATAGTCACGGACGATCATAATAGCGGCGCCCGTGCTGTACTTGCCCATTGCAAAAGCCTGCCGGAGTTCAGGGATTAGGGTTTTGGACGTCTGTCTCAAGAGCCAGCCGGAGCTGACTGACCTGTCCCGGTCACTGACGAACACGATGACGGCGTCTGTGCTGTAGTTGGCAATGGCGTCCACCGGTGGCTTGCATTAGAGCCCTAGAGTATGAAGCATGCCGTGTGGACCTGACTGACCTGTCTCGGTCACTGACGAACACGATGACGGCGTCTGTGCTGTAGTTGGCAATGGCGTCCACCGGTGGCTTGCATTAGAGCCCTAGAGTATGAAGCTTGCCGTGTGGACCTGACTGACCTGTCTCGGTCACTGACGAACACGATGACGGCGTCTGTGCTGTAGTTGGCAATGGCGTCCACCGGTGGCTTGCATTAGAGCCCTAGAGTATGAAGCTTGCCGTGTGGACCTGACTGACCTGTCTCGGTCACTGACGAACACGATGACGGCGTCTGTGCTGTAGTTGGCAATGGCGTCCACCGGTGGCTTGCATTAGAGCCCTAGAGTATGAAGCTTGCCGTGTGGACCTGACTGACCTGTCTCGGTCACTGACGAACACGATGACGGCGTCTGTGCTGTAGTTGGCAATGGCGTCCACCGGTGGCTTGCATTAGAGCCCTAGAGTATGAAGCTTGCCGTGTGGACCTGACTGACCTGTCTCGGTCACTGACGAACACGATGACGGCGTCTGCGCTGTAGTTGGCAATGGCGTCCACCGGTGGCTTGCATTAGAGCCCTAGAGTATGAAGCTTGCCGTGTGGACCTGACTGACCTGCCTCGGTCACTGACGAACACGATGACGGCGTCTGTGCTGTAGTTGGCAATGGCGTCCACCGGTGGCTTGCATTAGAGCCCTAGAGTATGAAGCTTGCCGTGTGGACCTGACTGACCTGTCTCGGTCACTGACGAACACGATGACGGCGTCTGTGCTGTAGTTGGCAATGGCGTCCACCGGTGGCTTGCATTAGAGCCCTAGAGTATGAAGCTTGCCGTGTGGACCTGACTGACCTGTCTCGGTCACTGACGAACACGATGACGGCGTCTGTGCTGTAGTTGGCAATGGCGTCCACCGGTGGCTTGCATTAGAGCCCTAGAGTATGAAGCTTGCCGTGTGGACCTGACTGACCTGTCTCGGTCACTGACGAACACGATGACGGCGTCTGTGCTGTAGTTGGCAATGGCGTCCACCGGTGGCTTGCATTAGAGCCCTAGAGTATGAAGCTTGCCGTGTGGACCTGACTGACCTGTCTCGGTCACTGACGAACACGATGACGGCGTCTGTGCTGTAGTTGGCAATGGCGTCCACCGGTGGCTTGCATTAGAGCCCTAGAGTATGAAGCTTGCCGTGTGGACCTGACTGACCTGCCTCGGTCACTGACGAACACGATGACGGCGTCTGTGCTGTAGTTGGCAATGGCGTCCACCGGTGGCTTGCATTAGAGCCCTAGAGTATGAAGCTTGCCGTGTGGACCTGACTGACCTGTCTCGGTCACTGACGAACACGATGACGGCGTCTGTGCTGTAGTTGGCAATGGCGTCCACCGGTGGCTTGCATTAGAGCCCTAGAGTATGAAACTTGCCGTGTGGACCTGACTGACCTGTCCTGGTCACTAACGAACATGACGATGGTGCCCGTGCTGTAGTTGCCCATTGCACAAGCCTGCTGGGCTTTTGGGTTTAGGGTGTCTCGAGAGCCACCCAGACCTGACTGACCTGTCCCGGTCACTGACGAACATGATGACGGTGCCTGTGCTGTAGTTGGCAATGGCGTCCGCCCGGAGGTTATAGTCCAGCAATGACGCATTGTTGACGCACCCCGCCAGCCCCCAGTAGCTCAGGTTGCTACTGCTGCGCGGCCCAAAGTGCCCAAATGCGCCCACCAGGCCAATTGACTCCTGCAGAATGAGACGGCACGGAGGAGGGGGAAGTGAGGGTTGTAGAGGTGAAGGGAGGGGGAGAGGTGGGTGGGGGGGGGGGGGGGTGTAGGGAGGTTGCTGCCACTGCGCGGCCCAAAGTGCCCGAACGCGCTTACCAGGCCGATTGACTCCTGCCGCGTGTGATGGGACGCGGGAAATAGGGGGTAGAGGGGAGGAAGGGCAGGAGGAGAGGAGGGGGGAGGGGGGAACGTGGGGAAAGGGGGAGGTGGTGTGTTGGGTTTAACTATGGGGAATGGAAGATGGAAGGGACAGTCAGGAAAGTGGGTATGGTATGGAGTAAGAAAGGGAAGTTCGTTTGAGTGGGAGGCACGGTTGGAGAAGCATAGGCCCCATAACTAACCGTAACTCGGAGGCTGAGCGGCTGGAAGTCTAAGGCAATTAAAGAGTGACATGCTGGGAGAGTGCGAGGTCGGGAGAGGTTGTGTGAGTGACAAGTTGCGAGACTGCGGTGGGAGAGTCAGCAGTAAAAACAAAACAAGCTTGTCAAAACTAAGGGACTGGAATTCCGCGTCATAGGGCTAGGGCTGTGGCTAGGAAAGTGTGTGGGGTACGAAGGGCTGCTAGAGCTGTAAGTAGGTGACTCGCGCGCCGCGACTCGCTGTGGTGATAGACGAGCAATGTCGTCCTGGGAGGGGAATCCCGCCGGCAAGGCCTTGCCTGCGCGCGGGCGATGCACGATAGAATGTCCTGGTGAAGGTATCGCACGCGCGTGCGACACCACGCTCGCATCGCCTCCTGTCGCGGATTGGCGGCCTGCGAGTGCGCGATCCACACCACCCACGCGCACAGCCCCGCCCATCCCGCCACCCACGCCACCCCCAGCAGCGCCCTCTCCACGTCTGGCGGCACGCGGGAAGGCGAAAAACGCGCCAGCGCCGACCGCATGCGCGCTGCGACAGCAGGCGAATTTGAGCGACAGCGATGCGACAGGCCGCGCGAAAGCTAATGTGCGCGGAGCAACAGGAAAACGGGTCCGCCACAGCTGAGGAAAACTAAACACGCCACATGAGGTGGTGAGCACCGGATCAGGGCATGCAGGTAGGAAGCTATCGGAAGAATCAGCAGCTCGCTGGTGGGTGGGATCCATTGTCCTAGCTAGCAGCATGCGGTACAAACCTCGCCGATTGAGTGGCATAGCGAGAAAGGACATGCGATGCAAGCTTGCCATCCAGTATGTAGGTTTGGACTTAGGGCAGGTCCAACTCGTTTCGTTTCGGGGAATAACACCATTGTAACAAAATGTTGACTGTCCGGAAGACAAACAGCCAAATCGAACCTAAACACGTCCAGCGTCAAGCGATCCCAGGCGGGCACAGCACCTGCCCAAACGAACCGGTGTACCATCAACACGGACACAGCATCCCTCCCGTATGAACAGAAGTTGGTGGGGGAAAAAATAATGCGTGCTATCGGCAGACTTCGTCAGGGGTTTTTGTGGGAAGACACCTAGGAATCGGAACTCTTGCGAGACAGATTACTCTCTGACGAAAATAATCCAGTTCGCAATCACGAGTATACTCTGTTACTGAGAAGCGTGAGCGAGAGAGTTTGATTTGCTCTTGCTTCCCAGTTCGCAAAATTTTCGGATTTTTTTCGAGTTTGAAATGTGTTGTGGTATGAAACTTGTAATGAATGTGAATTCATTACTGTAGAGGCTGCTCCTAGCGAGGACAGCCCGAACTGTTCGCGTCAGTTTGGGCTCGGTCTACACTTTCGTACCGAACCAGCGCCGAGTCGCCCCGCACCAATCGCGACACTTCCAAGCCTCGCACGTCCCGAGGCCCTCGCCTAGCACGGTTTAGACCCTATAAATGCTCGCTTCTTTATCATTCTCGTCATTCGGTACTTTCATCCTTTTTATAAAGTCTTCCGCGCACTCTTCTTAGTACAACTCATAACACTTGGTATCAGAGCCTAAGTTCCTAGGTTCCCCGTTTTTTAGAGTGTATTACCCCTCGGGGGGGGGACAGGGAAGGATGCCGTGGTGACAGGAGTAGCGCAGTAGCCGGCCAGGAGAACGGGTAGTTGCTCCTAGCGGCCATGAATTTCTCTGGCGCTCCTGCGGCACCGACGGATCCTTGCCCTCGACGGTCGGGATTGACCGTGGCCTCCCTCCCCCCGGGTGGCGGACAGCTTTTGCTGTCGTCGCATTTAATGCGTAAGTCACTTGCATGGCGTTTTTCGTCAATTTCGGAGTTAACACTGTGTGGCAGCTGACGTCGAAGGGAACGTCGTCACTGCACGTCCGAGATCGACGGAGACGATCGTCGTGCGAGTTGCGTCAGCACTGTCAAACATTATATGTTTATATGGTTGTAGGCTGTAGTGGGTTACGCCTTAGGGGGTACACTGGATTAGGGTTTCCTATTTGTATCCAGCCTTCTGTTAGTACAGTCATTCCAGTCTGTTATTTTGACATGGTTTCAGAGCAGGTCCTGGTGGCAGGTACATCCCTCGTTCTCTACGAACTTGGTGGCAGGTAGTGCGCTCCAGGACGGGGGTGTTCACCAGTTCACCCCCGCCTACGAGCGCGTGACACACTGCACGTGTGCTCGGACGGGTCGCCACCTGGCTACCTTCACTCGGGAGCCGGGGTCGGACCTTTACACACTGACCACTGAGTCCCCTCAGATAGCTGCGTCCGCGTCTGCGTCTGCGTCAGGTCAGCTGTCCGCCCCCTGCTCGTGTCGCTCTCTGGCGCATGAGACTGTCCTTTGGCACCACCGCCTTGGTCACCCGTCTGTGCAGCGCCTTCGGGCCATGCACAAACGGGACCTTGTTGCTGGTCTTCCCAGGGTGCTCCCTCCTCTTCCCGACTCGCCTGCTCCTCCCTGTATTCCCTGTGTCGAGGGACGGCAGCGCGCCGCTCCTCACTCCTCCTCCTTTCCCCCGACGACTGCTCCCTTGCAGACGCTCCACATGGACGTGTGGGGCCCAGCCCGCGTCCGTGGTCAGGGTCAGGAGAGGTACTTCCTGATTGTTGTTGACGACTTCTCGCGCTACACCACGGTCTTCCCCTTGCGCGCCAAGGGTGAGGTCCCTGATGTCTTGATCCCTTGGATCCGCAGATCTCGTCTCCAGCTCCGTGAGCGTTTCCGCTCCGACTTCCCTGTCCTGCGTCTGCACTCTGACAGAGGTGGGGAGTTTACCTCTGGCCTCTTGGAGGCCTTCTGTCAGCAGGAGGGCATTGAGCAGTCGTACACGCTTCCGGCCTCTCCACAGCAGAATGGGGTTGCTGAGCGCCGCATTGGTCTGGTCATGGAGGTCGCTCGTACCTCCTTGAGCCATGCGGCTGCCCCCCATTTTCTGTGGCCGTTTGCAGTCCGATACGCTGCGCATCAGCTCAACCTCTGGCCCCGTGTCTCCTTGCCCGAGACTTCTCCGACACTGCGTTGGACGGGAGAGGCTGGCGATGCGTCGCGTTTTCGGGTCTGGGGATCTCGAGCTTTTGTCCGCGACACGTCCGCGGACAAGCTCTCCCGTCGCGCTGTCCCCTGCGTCTTCCTTGGCTTTGTCCCGGACGCCCCTGGCTGGCAGTTCTACCACCCCACCTCGCGTCGTGTCCTGGCCTCTCAGGACGTCACTTTTGACGAGTCCGTCCCCTACTACCGCCTCTTCCCCTACCGCACTGCCCCGCTCCCCCCCCCGCCTCTCTTCCTCGCTCCAGGTGCTGAGGTACCAGACCCCCTCCCCCCTCAGGGTGCCGCTCCCTCAGGTGTGTCCCAGGTAGACCCAGGTGAGCCTGTCGAGGTAGCTGTTGACTCTCGTCCTGCTAGGGGTGCTGAGCCTGGGGGTGCTGCGTCTGGGGGTGCTGAGCCTGGGGGTGCTGCGTCTGGGGGTGCTGAGCCTGGGAGTGCTGAGTCTGGGGGTGCTGAGCCAGGAGGTGCGGAGCCTGGAGGTGCGGAGCCTGGAGGTGCTGAGCCTGGGGGTGCTGAGTCTGGGGGTGCTGAGCCTGGGGGTGCTGAGCCTGAGCGTGCTACACCTGGAGGAGCCCTCTCCTCCCAGCAGCTGCAGGAGAGGTACCTCGAGTACTGCCGCCTCCGGAGAGGTGCTACTGGAGCTCGTCCCAGTACTTCCCCTCCTACCCAGGAGCTCCCCCCCATTCAGCAGATCCGCGAGTGGTACACACGGCGCTGCAGTCTTCGGAGTGGTGCTCCTGGTGCTGCGGACCCTGGGGGTGGCGCTGCTGCTGGTGCTGAGGACCCGGACGTTGGAGCTGCTGCTGGAGCTGAGGACCCGGGCGGTGGCGCTGCTGCTGGTGCTGAGGACCCGGACGGTGGAGCTGCTGCTGGTGCTGAGGACTCGGACGGTGGAGCTGCTGCTGGAGCTGAGGACCCGAGCGGTGGCGCTGCTACTGCTGCTGAGGACCCGGGCGTTGGAGCTGCTACTGGTGCTGAGGACCCGGCCGGTGGAGCTGCTGCTGGTGCTGTGGACCCGGCCGCTGGAGTCTCCTCTGCTTCTGGAGACGCTGCGCGGCCGCGACCGTACTTCGTACCGCTCCTTCAGCAGGTTCTTGGGCAGGCTCCTCCTCCTTGTCCTCCTCCCTCCGTAGAGTGTCCTCCGCCTATCCAGCCGCAGTCACAGTTACCGTCTACCTCGCCTCTCCCTGCTCCCTCTCCTTACACTGGTCCCACAGGAGGTCTTACGGAGCGTCGTGAGCCTGTTCGTCCTGCTCGCACTGGTAGTCGTGTCCGTCGTGAGCGTCCTCCTCCTGTCCCAGGCACTCACTACATGACTCTGCGTCCCTCTACTGCTCCTCAGCGTGTCCCTCTACCGTCTCCTCCTGCGTCCTCTTTGCCTGACGTTCCGGACCCTGAGTCTGACCGGTATCGTGCTGAGCACCCTACTGTCACGCGTCTCCTTGCTACTGTTGTCACTGACCCTACCTTTGAGTCCTCGGCTGCGTCTGCTCTGGTCGCTGAGTTGGTTGACTTTGCTGCTGCCTGTCGTCTAGACTACGCTGCTAGCCTTGTTGCTGAGTCTGGGTCTGAGTCTGTCTGTCCTCCGTCCATCGGGGGTGAGTGTGCTCTTGGCACGGACGTCCTTGAGGACAGACAGGAGGAGTTCCAGTGTCTTGCTGCTGCTTTGCCCCGTCTCGTGTCCTTGCTAGTTGCCCCTGAGGGAGACCCGGATGCACCAGACATCCCGACCCCGCGCACTTACGCTGAGGCGATGGCGGGTCCCTACTCCTCTCAGTGGCAGACAGCCATGGACGCCGAGATGGCTTCCTGGAAGTCCACACGCACCTACGTCGACGAGGTTCCCCCACCTGGGGCGAACATCGTCAGTGGCATGTGGATTTTCAGGGTGAAGCGGCCGCCGGGTTCTCCGCCTGTCTTCAAGGCGCATTACGTGGCTCGAGGCTTCAGTCAGCGTGAGGGAGTTGACTTCTTCCAGACCTTCTCCCCCACTCCGAAGATGACTACTCTTCGGGTGCTGCTGCACATAGCCGCTCACCGCGACTACGAGCTTCACTCACTTGACTTCAGCACTGCTTTCTTGCAGGGCAGCCTGCACGAGGAGATCTGGCTGCGCCGCCCACCTGGCTTCACTGGGTCGTTTCCTCCTGGTACCCAGTGGAGGCTTCAGCGGCCGGTCTACGGTCTCCGCCAGGCTCCGCGTGAGTGGCACGACACACTGAGGACTACACTTGCGGCTCTTGGGTTCGCGCCTTCTACAGCTGACCCGTCGCTGTTCCTGCGCACCGACACTTCACTGCCGCCTTTCTACATCCTCGTGTACGTCGACGACTTGGTCTTTGCCACTGCTGACACTGCAGGACTCGCCTACGTGAAGTCGGAGCTGCAGAGGAGACACACGTGCACAGACCTGGGTGAGCTGACAAGCTATCTTGGCTTGCGGATCACCCGGGACAGAGCACGGCGCACCATCACCCTGACTCAGTCACACATGGTGCAGCAGGTTCTCCAGCGCTTCCGCTTCACGTACTCCTCGCCTCAGTCCACTCCTCTGCCTACCGGTCACTCGCTCTCAGCTCTGCCTTCGGATGAGTCCATAGAGCCGAGTGGCCCGTATCCAGAGCTTGTGGGCTGCCTCATGTACCTGATGACCTGCACTCGACCTGACCTTGCATACCCTCTTAGTATCCTTGCACGCTATGTCGCTCCTGGCCGTCACAGGAAGGAGCACATGGATGCTGCTAAGAGGGTGTTGCGCTACTTGTGCAGTACGTCGGGCATGGGGCTTGTGCTTGGAGGGCGAGACCGAGTTGTTCTCACAGGGCACTCAGACGCTTCTTGGGCAGACGACCAGGCCACTCAGCGGTCGTCTCAGGGTTACACCTTCAGCCTTGGCTCTGGTTCAGTTTCTTGGCGCTCTACACGCTCTTCTTCTGTTCTCGGCTCCAGTTGCGAGGCTGAGATCTACGCTACAGCCATGGCTGCCCAGGAGCTACGCTGGCTGACCTACCTGCTGACCGGCCTCGGAGAGCCGCCTCGTTCTCCTCCAGTACTGTACGTCGACAACAAGGCTGCCATTGCCTTGTGTGAGGAGCACAGACTGGAGCACAGAACGAAGCACATCGCCCTGCGGTACTTCCTTGCTCGTGAGCTGCAGCAGCGCGGTCAGCTTTGTATTCGCTACGTGGCCACTGAGGCCAACACTGCTGATGTGTTCACCAAGGCGCTTCAGCCTCGTGACCATCAGCGCTTCTGCACTCTACTAGGCCTTGTGCCTACTGGACCTCACTTGCTTACCTCTTGACTTTGCTTGTACTGTGATCATTATATATATATACCTGCATGTTTACTCTTGCTAGGTTGTGATCACTGTATCTCTTGCTCTGTTATAAACCTGCATGTGAACTGGTCTTGTGACCACTAGCTTGTGCTCGGAATTTGTGTGGAATCCTCGAGATCCACCCTGAGCTTGCTTTGCCTTGCTTTGCCCTGACTGGTCGTGTGACCCCCAGGTCTCCCCACTTCGCCTATGGGGGTGTGTCAAACATTATATGTTTATATGGTTGTAGGCTGTAGTGGGTTACGCCTTGTACATTCATTCCAGTCTGTTATTTTAGACAAGCACGTGGTCGACAACTGCGCGCGACAATCTCGGAGATAACGTGTGCGGCACGTGGCGTGGGACGATTTCGTCATGTTGCGCACGATAATTTCGAAGGTCTTCGGCACGTGGTGATCGTCGTCACTGTGCGCGAAGATTTCGGGTATCTTCACGGCAGAAACGACAGCTGGCCGGGCAGGCCAGGCGCATGGTGATTTGCGTCGGAAAATGCAACGGCGAGGAGAGACGGCGTGACGACTGCCCGAAGAAAGCGGGGGTCTACCGTCGTCATGCCCGGGTGTGGCCGGTGTGGCTGCAGGAGGGTGCGTCGTTGGCGTTTTCGGCAGGAGCGGCACAGTGTGGGACGGAAGTTGTTTTTTAAGCCACCGAAAAGATCGGAGAAAGCCGCCTATGACTAGACTGTCTATCGCTAGGGTCACTGCTGCACCTGCACCACGATCGGCGAAATTTTCGGAGCAACAAGCAGCAGCCGACACTGTACTTCAGGCGGCACAGTACCCCCTGATCAAGGGTAGTTGCGCCGCAGACAGGGCAGTACACCAGCGGGACAACGTTTCGGCGCAGTGTTTAGACCCGCGATTTTCGGGGGTTCTACCGGTTACAATACACGGAGTTGCGTCGAGATCGGGTTTAGCGAGAGAAACGGGCTTCGAGCTTCAGGAGGCGAGAATTACGACCCACGGGGAAACGCTCAAGCTGATGCCTAAACGTTTTGTGGCTAAGCGGTGGTAGCCGGATGGGTACCACTACCGGCCGAGGTTTCCGAACGTTTCACATACCTCACGCCCAGAAGGCCTCGAAGGCAATTAGTAAGTCCTATTGGCCACTGGATCCAAAGGTGGGGCCCTGTGTTTAGCCCTGTGCTGGCTAAAAAGCGCGGGTATTGCGCCAGTTCGACAGCTGGGCGTACAAGAAATTTTCAAGGAGACGGCACTGTTTCGGCCCCGACAAAACCGGACCATCGGCAGCAGTTACCCCGCCGAAAAAGTCGGAGCTGAAACAGTTGGTGCAGCTGTCGGAGTTTCTCCTAATTCAACGGTCTACCCGTCAGCAGTGTAGCGGCGAAGAAGGGGTTTCCGAAGCTGTGGAATTTTTAATGCGATAGACGCGGTGGGCAACGAAGCGGCCGGCCCGACTGTTTGATCCGATAAACATGATCCGGCTACGATAGCGTTCGCGCCTTCACCGAATGTCAGAAAAATCGCGGGCAACACGGAGTTATACCTCATCCGACAAAAGCGGACGCTGGGTGAACGGCGGCAAGCGAAATTGTCAGGAGGTGAAGACAAACAAAACAAATGGAGGGAAATTTGTGGGTGCTCCAGCAGATCTCCAGAGTGAAAGGTTGAGCCCGTACACCAATCCACCGCGAATTTCGGAGTCTATTCGGTAGACCCCCGAAAGGGTTTGATATTGTTACATGGAGGCGCGGCGAGCGGTGTATCGCCAAGGATACCTGGGATTCGCTAAGTAATTTCGACGGGTGCGAAGACGGGTGAACGTCAGAGTACCAGGGTTAACGGCGGAAACGTCGGGGTTACGCGGCGGAAAATACTTCGGGACTGCTTCAACAACCATGATTTTCGGGGCTCTTTCCTACGGTGGGAGACGAGTGAACGTCTGCTCGCCAACTGTTTCAACGGTTTACGGTGTACTTTGAAGCCATCTGGGAAAATTCTTCGGAGAGATCTACGGCGTTGATGCGGGCTAGGTTCCGTGAAATTCGGTCCCGGTAGACCCATGACTCTGGGTTCCACACGAAAGAGCACCTCCTGTTGGTGGATTGCTAGTGTGGTTAACCACGGAAAGAAAAATGGCGATGGGTGGGCACGCTAGATACACCGGCTCTTCACGGGGATAACCTGCAGGTGACCAAGACGTACGAGTATTTTTCGGCACCGACATTTACGGAGAGAACGAGTATCGGTTTTACAAGAGTTCGGCGGTGACGGTCGACAATCTCGAAAAAACGGCGGAGTTGTGGCGCGCTTGGATAAGCACGCGAAAACTGACGTGGTGAACTTCTTGGTGGCAAAATTTGTAGAGTTTCGGGGTACCAGCCGCAACACAGGTGAAAATTATCGCAACAGGTGGGGGGAGGAAGGACAGCTTTTTCGCCTCTGCCCCGAAGTTCTCGGCGAGTAACGACAACGTCGCCGGGTTAGCTGACGTCATCGACAGTCCAAGTTTGAGTTTGAAAAAATATTGCAGGCGGTCAGGGGGAAGTGCAGCAATTGTTTTCGCCCCTGCCCGGGATGTTTCGAAGAAAGGCGACAGAAGCCTCGGCGAGTCAGGACAAGACTGCCGGAGGTGCTGACAGCTGGAGTAGCTGCAACGAGGAAACTGCCACAATTTCGAAACAGCAGCAGCAATTTCGGATTGCAGGATCTGCCAGCTGTAGATACGGCAGCAGCCTGTTGATTTGATACTGCCACGCGGGGTTTTCAGGGTGGCAGTTACGGGAGATGCCGCAGCAGCAGTCGCGACTACAAGACAAGAAGAAATTTCTGCCTCAGGTTTTATTTCGCAGGGTCGCACCCTGAGTCCAATTGCACAACGACCTACCCTCTAAAAGGACTTCACGGTCACCCTGACGAGTTTTTGACAGATCAAGACAACGATATTTCGCCACCGACAGCAATTTCGACAGCACAGCGGCTGAAATTCAGGCAGGAAGTTATAACACTTGGAATTTTATTCTACCCTCAGCGTCAGGGTGGTTGTGATTTTGTGTCCGAGCAGCTGTGCACATTTTAGTGGGCAGCAGCTCTCTTCCACGGGGGGGGGGGGGGGGGGGGGGGGGGAGGGGGAGAAAGAGTGCTCACGCACTGTTCTCGGCAGGTCTCTTACATTTCGGCAGTTATTTCTGACAGCTCGTCTGACACACCCCGCACGACGGACGCACGCGATGGCTTCATCGGCATCGACGGCACCAGCTTCTTCGATCTCTGACAACGCGTCAGAATTCCCGCCGACATTGCGTTCATCGGGACCATCCGATATACATCCGCGACATCGACGGCTACCCTTCGTCGACGGATTTCCAACTCGACATTCGCTTTCAACCGCCCGATCGACATCGGCAGTATCAACGGCTGACATCCCAACTCTTTGAAATTCGCCTGGTCAACGCGCTCAGCCACGCGTCAACTCGAAAGTCAACACGTTTCTGCGCCGTCAGATCAGTTTTCGACCGAGATCTGCAGTTTTCACGCTACTGCAAGACTCGCCTACGTATAAGGGCACCTTATTTAGAAGGTGGGAGAGTGTAATGAATGTGAATTCATTACTGTAGAGGCTGCTCCTAGCGAGGACAGCCCGAACTGTTCGCGTCAGTTTGGGCTCGGTCTACACTTTCGTACCGAACCAGCGCCGAGTCGCCCCGCACCAATCGCGACACTTCCAAGCCTCGCACGTCCCGAGGCCCTCGCCTAGCACGGTTTAGACCCTATAAATGCTCGCTTCTTTATCATTCTCGTCATTCGGTACTTTCATCCTTTTTATAAAGTCTTCCACGCACTCTTCTTAGTACAACTCATAACAAAACTGCTTTTGCACGTGGGAAAACCGAGCGCGTCATCCTAGCTGGTCTCAAGATTTGTCACGGTTACCGTACGTAAAAAGGTTACAGAGGCTAATAATGACCTGAGCTGTGATGAGTTGGACCCGCCGTTACGCATGGTAGGTTTGGGTGGGTGCTGTCAGCCAGTTGACAAACGTGTTCAGGGTGCTTTCGCGAAGTAACGATGAAAGAATTGTGCAACAATAGGTGAAATATACTATTATATAATACTATAACAATGCCACACTGATAAGTTATAATGTATAATTACATACAACGACAATGCCATACAGAAAACTTACACACAGCTTTCGATACTCAACATGTATATGTAACAGTAAGTTAACCACTACGAAATATGTACTAACCCTGCAGCAGAGAGCGCTGCAGCAAGTTCCTCAGCCACTATCGGCTTCCTCACTGCTCCATCCATCCCCGCCTCTAAGCATGCTCTCTTGATCCCTACATCCAAATCTGCAGTCAATGCTATTATGCAAAGCCGCTTCTTTGATGTATCATCTACACTTGTATCGGCTACTTCACATATCTCTGTTGCATTCGTTTCCACATTCATCTGCTGTGCATTTTCCATAGCACGCACTCGACGAGCCGTTTCAAATCTGGAAGCATGCATTGATGGCAACATAAGGAATATGGGGCCAGAGACGGGAAAACAAGTACGCACAGAAATGCATGGAGAAAAACACGCACACACACACACGCGAGCGCGCTCACACACACACACACACGCACGCACGCACACACACACACACACACACACACACACAGACACACACACACACACACACATACACACACACACACACACACACACGCGCACTCGCACGCGCACGCACGCACGCACGCACGCACGCACGCACGCACGCACGCACACACACACACACACACACACACACACACACAAAGCATACAGCGAGACATGCTCAAGACAAGAGAAAATAGCAATCGGCGAACAGAAACGATACCGCATCACTACCACGATGCAGAGAGGTCGCAGCATGAAGGAGAGTTAAAGGAAAGGTAAAAAAGAGGTTAGAGAGAGGTGCAGGAGAGGGGGAGCACGGCACAGACCCGTCGATGCCGGGCGGCATGTGGAGGTCGAGGAGCAGCAGGTGGATGGGTTGGGAGGGCGTGGCAGAGGAGAGCGCTTGCAGCGCGTCCTCCCCGGAGGGCAGCAGCAGCACGTGCGCCCCGTAGCCCTGCAGCGTTCTCCTTGCCACCATGCGGTTCACCGCGTTGTCATCCACCACCGCCACCCCCCGCCCCGCCACCACCCCCCGCACCACCCGCTCCGCCTCCCTCGCACCATCCACTCCCGCCCCGGCCTCCTCCACCTCCGATTGCGGAAACGTGTGCGCATGCACTAGCGCTCGCGCCCCTGCTGCCTGTCGCTGCTGTGGTGCTGCTGGTTGCGCAGTGGCACCACTGGCTGGCCCTTCCATGCCTTCCTGCGATCCGCTCCCTCTCTCCACACGCTCTTCACTAGCCCCTTCTGACTTGCCAACATCCTCCCCACTCCGCTCCTCATCTGCCGTGCTGCCGGCGCCCTCCCATCCCCCCATGGGCAGCGCCAGCAGAATGGTGGTGCCTGTGGCGGCATCTGACAGCACTGCCATGCCCCCCCGCATCTCCGCTACCTGCCGTGCCATGCGGAGAGAAGGGAGAGGCAGGGGAGGGAATAAAGGAAGACGATACGCGTGACTAGAGTTAAGTCAGAAACGATGGAAGGCTGAACACAACACGCACGTGAGAAAGCAGAAGAAATGTATGAGTATGACAATTTGACTGGCAGAGCGGAAAGCGACTAGGGGTACACATTCTTTCAAACGTTTGCGACGGGTGCCATAGGGCAAACAGTTGGTCCTCATTGAATGCAAATCCGAATCAAATACGAACATGCCACGCTCCATGCTCAAATTCGGGATACCTTTAACGAGAGAAACAACATCAAGCAGAGAATTTCTTGTGCCGAAAAGCAAAGCTTTTCACTTTGTGGTTGAGCATTGCGGCAACCTGTTGACGGAATTCGTGACTCAAGGATTCCTCGGCTCGAAAGAAGGTGCCTTCCTCAATTCCGTTCGAGGTGAATACTCGTTGCCTCAGCCATTTTCTCCATATACCAAGTACCTTATGAATAATTGTTTACAGAACTTCGGATGTGCTAGGAAGCTCACAAGGGAGGTGGAGAGCAGGAAGCGAACAGGGTAGGGCGTCCAGCGGGGGCCGGCAGCTGCCTTGCGATCGTGCTGCAACGGATCCCATGTGCTGCGCTCCCTTTGTCCCCACGATGACGACCTCCCCAGGCCCTTCCATGACTCTGCCCTCCCAAGTGACCGTATTCTCTCCTGCCAAATCAGAACCAGGGATTTGCAAACGAATGATGACTTATGAGTTGACTCAAAACTCCCCAGGCCCTTCCATTACTCTGCCCTCCCCAGCGACCAAATTCTCTCGTGCCAATCAACAACCAAGGAAAGGAACGATTTGCAGACCGAATGCGCGCGGCAGTTTGCCCGTGAGAGCTATCATGGCCTTCTATGAGTCTGCCCTCCCCAGCAACCGTTTCTCCTGTGTCAGTTCACCGTTGCCCTCTCAGCTCGTACCGGCCTAGAATGTGGGCCCTCCCGAACCAGCCTAGAATGTGAGCCATCCCGAACCAGCCTAGAATGTGAGCCATCCCGAACCAGCCTAGAATGTGAGCCATCCCGAACCAGCCTAGAATGTGAGCCCTCCCGAACCAGCCTAGAATGTGAGCCATCCCGAACCAGCCTAGAATGTGAGCCATCCCGAACCAGCCTAGAATGTGAGCCATCCCGAACCAGCCTAGAATGTGAGCCCTCCCGAACCAGCCTAGAATGTGAGCCATCCCGAACCAGCCTAGAATGTGAGCCATCCCGAACCAGCCTAGAATGTGAGCCCTCCTGTACCAGCCTAGAATGTGAGCCATCCCGAACCAGCCTAGAATGTGGGCCCTCCCAAACTAGCCTAGAATGTGAGCCATCCCGAACCAGTTACAACTCCTCATACCGAGTCTGTACCTCGAAAGAACATCATCTGCTCAAAAGCGAGTCTGTACCTCGAAAAAGCATCATCTGCACAGTTAGCCGACAAGTCTTTGACAATGTTGTGGTTCGTACCCCACCCTTTCAGCTACCAAGCAACCAATACTTGACCGCAACATTACCCACCTTGAGAACCAAGGTTCTCACACAAGCGGCAAGCAAAAATGCCAGTCTGTGAATGTGAAACTAGAGTGGCTTCAGGTGATGCAGGCCGAGAATATCAAAGTGTTTGGTGAACCGGATTCGCGTGTCCGTGAGTGTAAGAGGGCATTCCTGGGGATGGCCTGTACACCATCCGCCCCATTGACGTGTAAAGTCGCGTTGCAGTGTTCGCATGCCCGTGAGTGTAAGATAATTGGAGCGGACCGGAGTGGACCGGTGCATGGCGGTGAACAGAGGGACAAAAGACTGCCAAATCGCATTACCTATTTATTTCACATCCCGTACTCAGTTTGCTAACAAAACAATCATTTGGCTTGCGCAACAGCGCGAGCTGAAGCGAAAAAACCACACTCACCATGACTTTATGTTGCCCGCTGCCATGCATGCCATGTGGGTCCAGCAACCCCGACAGCTCCGCGGGTGGTATACCACCGCCCGTGTCTTCACACGCCACCACCACCATCCACTCACCCTCCTCCCTCACCGCACACGCCCCCTCCACCCACTCCCTCACGTCCTCCTCCAACCTCCCATCCCCACCCTGCCCCTCCTCTGCACTGCCTACACCGTCTCTGCTGCACGCCTGCCCACACGGCTGCCCACACGCCTGCCCACACGGCTGCCCACACGCCTGCCCACACGCCTGCCCACACGCCTGCCCACCGTTGTTGCCCACGAGCCCCCCTTGGCTGTCCGGGCGGTGCTGGGGGAGGCAGAGCAGGCGGGTGGGCGGAGGGAAGCGCCGCACACAGCCGGCCAGCTGATGCCACGCTGAGGCTGCTGCTGGGGGCGGCTCAGAGAAGGCTTGTGTGGCGCCTGAGGCAGCAGCGGGTGGAGGTGGCGTGCTGGCGATGTGTGGAGGAGGGATGCACGAAAGGCGGATGGCTATGTGGCCCGTTGCCGTGTTGTTCATGGCACTTGCTGCAGGAGGGAAGGGTGAGGTGGGGGGTGGGTGGGGTGGGGAAGGGGTGTGAGAAGGGGGGAGGCACAGAAAGGGATAATCTGGAATGTGTGGAAGAAATTGCAGCTGCTATCAGCAGGCTGCTAAGGCGTGACTTCCTTCCAATCCCACTTAGGCATGAGTAACACCCAAACTCAAACCTGGTTCGCATCGAATCGATTCGATCTGAGAGGTATTCTCGAACATAACTGAATTGGTTTAGGTCGAGTCAAACCAATCTGAACGAGTCACGGTTAAAGGTTCGCCGTTCAACAATCAAACCAATTCGGTTCGTTTCATCTCCGCACTTGGTTAAAGCCACAAAGTGTTCGACCTTGCCTTGATTATGTATGTTTTGTTTTGGGAGAAGCATGTGATGTGAAGGGACGAAGTTGGGGGGGAGGGTGGTTAGGTAGGGTGAAAGTGAACCCTACAACGTGCGCGCTACAGGGAACTTAGCTAAAACCGTGATTTCAGCCCTAAAACATGCTTTACCCTAGAGAAGAGAAGAAACTTAGAGGGTTTCGCCTAAACTACCACGAGAATGCTCTAAAAAGCAGGGGAGGGGAGGGAAGTGGGCGGCATGTAAAATAAGATGGCTAATTGATTGAAGCAGCCCTTATGTTCGTGCAGCGAACAACTCACCGACAATTTCTGCCAGGACTTGCAAGAGCCGAGTTGGATCGCCATATAGAGTTTCTGGAACGCTGTCATCCACATGGACTGTCACTGCATTTAGCCAAAACAACAAACCAACCAACAAACAAACATAAATCAAACCACAACAGACACAAAGAATTAAACGGCAAGGAGAAGGGCGACTCAAATGCACATCTGTACCTGGTAAATTCTTCCCTGGCGCAAGTGTAGTTGCCTCACGAGTGATGCGGCGCAGGCAGCAGGGGAGAGTCTCGAGCTGCAGGCGGCCGGCCTGCAGCTTGGCGAGGTCCAACACTCGGTTGATGAGCTCCACCGTTTCGCCCGCACACGCCCTCGCATCCACCAGGTCGGCCCGCTGCCACTCCTCCAAGGGTGACTCCAACAGTTCCTCTATCATGCCTGTGGGGGATGAGGAGTACGCATTCCAAAAGGGGAAAATAGCAGGAAACCGACGTTTCCTTCAAAACATCTGCAAAACAAAAATTCTGAGCAACTGATGCAATGCAATGCAAACATGTATTCTCTAAACAAGGCATGAGCAAATGGAGAAGTCGAACATTTTTGCCTGAACATTTTCGAACAAGTTGATAACCCACAAACAAACAGGTATGAACAAACGGAGACTTCGAACATGTTCGGTTCGTGGAGAACATTTCTTGTTTAATATTTGATGCTCGATGTTTGACCCTCAATGTAACAGCTACTACTAGGTATGGCAAAATGGGCTTAGTTGCCGTGTGTGCTCGTCTAAGTCTTGAAAAGATGGCTTTGCCGACCTTGACCGAGATTCAAGTCTGCTTTTGAGTCGACTTAAAAGCAGGCTCGTCTAAGTCTTGGAAAAATGGCTTTGCGGACCTCGAGTGGGATTCGCGTCGAGCACGACACCAATGATAAACATGTCTAAAATGTTGGGTTCGATGCGGCTCGGTGCGTTCAGTCGAACCGGACATGAACAAAATCAAGTCGAACATTATGGGGCAAAGTTTGAATCGAATTGAACAGCTGTTCAAGGTTTTGCTAAACCCCACTCTAAACTGCCATGACATTCCCTTATCCATCACGCCATGCCCTCACTAACCATTCCAAGCTCTCACCAACCATCCCATGCCCGCACCAACCATCCCATGCCCGCACCAACCATTCTATGCCCGTACCAACCATTCGATGCCCGCACCAACCATTCGATGCCCGTACCAACCATTCTATGCCCGTACCAACCATTCTATGCCCTCAACCATCATACCAGGCTCTCTCACTCACCCATCATGCCAATGATTGGGGTGCGCAGCTCATGCGACGTGCTGGCCACCGCCTCACTCTTGGACCGCTCAGCTCGCTCCAAGATGGCCGTGCATATCTGTATCTCCTTCATATCCGCCTCTATATTTCTCCTTTTCCACGCCAGTACTGCAATCATGATGGACAGGAGCACTGCCACCAGCAGCACCAGCAGACCCAGCAGCATGGGAGCGTACACGAGGTCCAAAGTAGGTGGGGGAACCTGGAACCTGGAGCATACACATTTGAAAAGCAGAAAGGCATGGCACCCGTCAGTTGATTCCACAAAATGGCATTATCTATTGCCACAAGACATGAGGATCTTTTTGTTTGGGCAAGTTGAGCGAGGGCAGGCTAGGCAAGCGGGCAAAAACTTACAGATAATAACCAATAACTCGTTCATATGACCATCCCTTATTCGTTGCGTGGGACTCCTTTTTCACAACATCTTAGAGGATGTTGGAACTCGCACCTCACTGGAACTCGCACCTCACTGGAACTCGCACCTCACTGGAACTCGCACCTCACTGGAACTCGCACCTCACTGGAACTCGCACCTCACTGGAACTCGCACCTCACTGGAACTCGCACCTCACTGGAACTCACACCTCACTGGAACTCGCACCTCACTGGAACTCGCACCTCACTGGAACTCGCACCTCACTGGAACTCGCATCCTCTTGCAAAGTTATAATTGTGAGGTGCGAGTTCCAGTGAGGTGCGAGTTCCAGTGAGGTGCGAGTTCCAGTGAGGTGCGAGTTCCAGTGAGGTGCGAGTTCCAGTGAGACGCGAGTTCCAGTGTGGGACGCAAGATGATCACCAAGTTTTCTTGTGATGAACGACATCTAGTCCCGCATAGTCAATCTCGATTCTAAATGGAGTAAGTTCCAGTCTAACTTATCCTTTGGTTCATATTCTGGCTTCCTGGCTCTTCATGAGCTGTCCATTAGCCAACAAGCCGCTGCTCCTGTCTAAAGCGACGTGCCTTATGTTCTGAGTTGGGAATATTCCAAAGTGACTTTTGAGTCGACTCAAAAGTCACCTCTAAAGCGACATGTCCTCTGCTCTGAGTTGGGTACGTTCCGAAGTTAGATTTTCCACTCAGGCAGCCAAATTTCAAGTGTTTTGGCACTGGAATTTTGGTGCTTGACGCTCGCAATGCATCAATGCGTCTTTGCTGGTCCCTACTCGTGCTTGCAACCTGCAATGCGTACATACCCGCAGTGGGCTTCAAATGTGCGTCCCATCATGTTCTCAGGGAAAGGCTCCACATGCTCAGGTGGCGCCACCGAAGGTGTGGGCAGCACAAAGGGGAAGGCAGACCCGCTCTCCAACCGTGGCTCATCTGGGCCGTATATCTGCTTCAGCGCGCCTGGCTCTGTGTTGTCGTACATTGCGAAGGAGTGTGTGCTGGTGGCTGCGATGAGGAGAGGAGAGGAGAGGGGAGGAGAGGGGAGGAGAGGAGAGGAGAGGAGAGGGTGGAACGCGCATGTTGAGTTGAATCAACATTCAGCGCGCCTGCATCTGTATTGTCGTACATTGCAAAGGAGTGTGCGCTGGTGGCTGTGATGAGGAGAGAAAGGAACAAGCAAGTCAGTCAGAGTGAGATTCATTCAGAATAACAAACATGTTCAGTAGATAAAGTTTCCACACAAAGGAGATCACGCAATAAGAGCCATATGTAACATGTCTTGTGGAACGTGTGGTAGGATAACACACGTTCCTGATTGCGTGATTCATATGTCAGGTGCGGCCAGGCATTGGCTCCATAACCACCCCCGCAATCTCCAACACCCCCCGCAGGCGCAGCCAGCTAGCCCAGCTACCTGCCTGAGCGCATCCGATCTGACTTAAAGTTGGGCCGCCGGTCAATCCGGCCAGCCGGGTCAAAGCGAACCGACGAAAACACGCTAGTTGGATCTTGGTTCTGACTGACCCGAGCTGAAAAACTTTTCTTGAGTCTTGACACGGTCGGGTCAGGCCGTCGCACTGACACCCGATCCGACCAAAGAGTCGAGTCCAGTCGGAGCGAGCAGATCAGATCAGATCAGATCAGATCAGATCAGATCAGACCCGTCAGTCCCGAGCCGGTCAGATCCAATCCGTTGCTCATGTGTGGAGAGCTCACCATTTTCTAGCATGTGCAGTAATTCCCGGGCCCTCATTTCAAGGTGAACCACACCGGCCCATGCAATGCTTATGCTGCTTCGGACTTCTTGCTCAGATGCACTCGCAGGCAGAGGATGGCGGAAGATGGGAACGATAAACACTGCAAGGAAAGCCGGGGAAGGAGGGGGGGAGGGAGGGTGTACTGAAAAGCACATGGTTAAAGAGACCTGGTGGCATCGCTTTGAATTGAACTATTCCCTGCTTTGTAGTCCCAATACCAAGCGGAGGGTTCATTATTGTTAGACGGAAGCAAGCATAACAGCAAGAAGGACTATGTCATTAAGGGATGGATGAAGTTCAGAATACACAAGATGAATGGTGATCTCCGGTTGCAAACTGCACTCGAAACATCCAGAGCGGTATGGTAAGGCATGGGGGAACGAGGAATGCATGCACACACCGATTGCCACGTATCCGGGCCCAGCAGAGAGAGGAGCGCCTGCGATGGTCTGCCCTCGCAACAGGTTGGTGAGGAGATCCGGAGGGACGAGAGGAAGGAAGTCGGTGAAGGGCTGGATGGGAAAGGTGGGGTTGATGCTGCCGTACACGTTCACTCCGTACAGATCCTTCCTTGGGGCGGGCAGGCCCAGCACTGACCGGATTGGCTGCCCTATGATGCTCTCCAGCTGGGGCCTGCACGGAGGGTAGGGGAGGGGAGGGGAGAAGCAACGCAACGCAATGCAATGAGTCCACTGCCTGCCACTGCCCAATTCCCAACGCACGCAATGAGCCCACAACCACTCCCCACTGGATAGGAAGCTGTGAATATGACCTGTCTTGGTGGGTGACAAACATGATCACGACGATGAGGTGAGGTGAGGTGAGTCAGCAAAGCCAGACCTGACTGACCTGCCTCGGGTCAGTGACAATCATAATGATGGTGCCTGCTAGACTTTCGAGGTGCCTCAAAAGCCAGCCAGACTTGACTGACCTGTCTCGGTCGGTGACGACCATCATGATGGTGCCTGTGCTGAAGTTGCCTATTGCATCCGCCCGGAGGTTATAGTCCGCCATGGTCGCGTTGTTCACGCACCCCGCCAGCCCCCAGTAGCTCAGGTTGCTACTGCTGCGCGGCCCAAAGTGCCCCAGGACGTGTATTAGGCCGATTGACTCCTGTGGAATGAGGCGGGGGGTGGAAAGGTTGTGTATGGGGATATTGCTGCTGCTGTGCAGCCCAAGGTGCCCCAGGAAGCTTATCAGGCCGATTTACTCCTGCAGCGAGAGAAGGGAGGCGGGAGATGCGGGGAGAGGGAGGGTGGGTATAACGCCTGTGGGGCTTACACGTAAGGGTTGAGTGCATCCGCTGTGCCTCAAATATAACCCTCGTTTTGACCCAGTGGGTAGCGAGGTGTTACAGTGGGGGAGGAGAGATATGAAGGGCAAAATGGAGGGATGTAGGGACAGAGGAAAGTGGGTACGGGGGAAGAAATGGGATTGGCAGGTGTCAAGCTTTTCTGAGACTCTCGTTGTCTCTGGCGTCTGGTTGTGCTGCAGTGTAACAGCCCCGTGGGTGGCGAGGCGTTATAGGCAGGGCAGTGAAGGGAACGTCCCCGCCGTCAAGTCAAGGTGTTGTCGGAGAGAGGTGAGGAGAGGGTGCGAGCACAAGGGGCGAGAAGGGGCGATCCGACTGCTCAGGTTTGGGCTAGTGAATCGCGTGCGGGTGCTGGGATGATAGGACGAGAGCGGGCGCCGTTGCTCGGGTTTGGGCTAGTGAATCGTGTGCGCGGGTGCTGCGATGATAGGACGAGAGCGGGTGCCGTTGCGAGAGGGCGTCCCCAGGTTCAAATAGGGATATTGTCCCCTGCGCGTTATGCGGTTCGTTCAAAGGTTCCCAAGCAGCCGTGGGAGAAGCATTGGCGAGGGAGCTGGGCTAGCAACTTTCTGCAAGCCACCGGCTCACGTCCGCGGAGCGCGGGGACGATGCGGTCGCGATGGGGACATTCCGCCGCCCTTGTCGCGTCTGCGCTAAATCGCCGTACCTGCGCGCGGTCGATGGACGATCGCATGTCCTGGTGGAGGTATCGCACGCGCGTGCGACACCACGCTCGCATCGCCTCCTGCCGCGGATTGGCGGCCTGCGAGTGCGCGAACCACACCACCCACGCGCACAGCCCCACCCATCCCGCCACCCACGCCGCCCCCAGCGCTACCCTCGCTACGCCCCGCGGCACGCGGGCCGGCGAGAAACGCGCCAGCGACGACATGCGTGCGGCGACAGCAGGCGACAGGAATGCGACAGCCTAGCGTTTGTGGAGCGTCAGGAGCACGGGTCGTCGCACCTGAGGATAATCAAGCGCACGAACACAGGAAAGGGGCGGGCATCACACAGAGCAGAGCTCGCAGGCAGGCGGGCAACAGTTGGAGGTTTGGGCTGCTGTGCTGGATTGCCTGCGATCGGTTTGAGGTGAGTGGTGGGCGGCGCAGAGAAAAGAAGGGACAACATCATCTACATGCGAATTATGCTAGCGCGATTTGAGAATGTATACAGCTGACGGCCGTCAGTAAAGGCGCTGCAGAACCGTTAACTGCCCGCGGTCAGAAAAAAATAAACCCCTTCCGGATGACATATGATTGGGGAGCCTCAAACCTGAACACGGGTAACCCCGTGGTTTTTCCGCCGGGCCGACATGTTTCCTCTGATTCCGTCGATCGCATACAATCGCAAACCCGCACTGGCATACTCTACATGCTACTGGAATTGACCGGAGAAAAGAAGGGTGTGCGAACGAACATGCCCCCATGTAGGCTTGGTTTGGACACGTGTTGTAGGTTCGTTGGGGTACCGGTCAGGTGACAAACGTGTTGCTCTTGACGTTCGCGCCAAAGAAGAATAGATTGTGCGACGATTTGCGACCTCGTATTTGGATAACGGGCAGAAATGTCTGTCATTAGAAAAGTCTGATCCGGGGTTGTGTTTTCGGCGTACGCGTTGTGGGATTGTGCTTCCCTGCTTTGAGCCACAACTGTTGTTTACTGTGCCTCAGACACATTTTTGTAACGAGATTATAACAGAAGTGTACTCAAAATACAAAAACATACTCGTATATCAGTGCAGCAACTCCCACAACTTCCTCTGTTACAATCTGAAAACTCAGAATAACACCCATGATGGCACATCAGCAGCGCACATTCTCTCTTTCAGCCCAACACCAACCACTCAGAATAACACCCATGGCGGCACATCAGCAGCACATGTTCTCTCCGTCAAGGACGACCAATTTGTGTTTTGAGACGTCTCAAAACACATCAGCAGCACACATTCTCTCTGTCAAGGACTGTCAATTTGTGTTTTGGAGACGTCTCAAAACACATCAGCAGCACACATTCTCTCCGTCAAGGACTGTCAATTTGCCAAACTGGACGATGTTCCATGATGGCCTGTGAGCTGACACAAGCGTACGAGTTGCTATGAGCTGAGTGTCAAACTGAGTAATTGATGATGCACTCATGTTGGTTGGGGTACAAGTAGCTAACCCTAACTTTTGTACTCCCTAAGACAAACCTCACTATAGGCTACCACATTTGACACACCCCCATAGCCTAGGTGAGGGGTGTCTAGCAGAATCAAAAGAGTACGGTCACAAGACCAGTCCAAGAAACAAAGCTCAGGGTGGATCACAATGTCACCACACTCTCTGAGCACAAGCACCAGTGGCCACAAGGCCAGTCCAAGATATAACAAAGATATATAGAAAGCGTACAAGCAAAGTAAACAGTGCACTCAAGTCTAAGCAAGACGAGAACCAGTGTCAACAAGGCCTAACTGCACACAGCACCTCTGGTGGTCACAAGGCGCAAGCGCCTTGGTGAAGATGTCTGCAGTGTTGGCCTCAGACTCCACAAACTCGAAGCGAGCCTGTCCACGTCTCTGCAGCTCTCACAGAAGAAAGTACCTGACGTTAATGTGCTTCACTCTGCTCTCCAGTCGCAGCTCTCGACAAAGGAGAATCGACGCCTTGTTGTCAGTGAACAAGGTCGGTGCAGAGCTCGGCCGCTCACCAAGGTCGGCGAGCAAGAAGGTCAACCAACGCAGCTCCTGTGCCGCCATGGCACCAGCGTAGATCTCAGCCTCAGCTGTAGAGGTCGAGACCGAAGAGGAGCGCGTGGACCGCCAGGAAACAGCTCCAGAACCCAGGCTGAAACAGTACCCCTGAGTAGACCTGTGAGTCTCAGTGTCGTCAGCGTAAGAAGAGTCACAGTGACCAGTAAGTACGACAGACTGCTGTCCTCCAAGAACTAGCCCCACGCCTGATGTCGTCGCTAGGTACTTCGCCACCCTCACAGCTGCTGTCCAGTGAACAGGGCGGTGTCTCCCTGGCGCAACAAAGCGCGCCAGGACACTGAGAGGGAAGGCGAGGTCCGGGCGAGTACAAGTCATTAGGTACATGAGGCAACCCACAAGCTCTGCGTAGGGACCACTAGGCTCAAACGGCTCGTCAGGAAAGGGTCCAGTGAGTCTGTGGTCAACAGCAAGAGGTGTGCGCTGTACTGTGGAGTGCTGAAGCCCGAACCGCTGAAGGACCTGCTGCACCATGTGTGACTGTGAAAGTGTAATGGTGCGAGCAGCTCTGTCCCTGGTGATCTGCAGGCCAAGGTAGTGGCGCAGCTCACCAAGGTCAGTGCAGGTGTGTCTCTTCTGTAGTTCGGACTTCACGTGTGCCAAAGCAACCCTATTAGCAGTGGCGAAAACGAGGTCGTCAACGTAGACCAGAACAAAGAAAGGTGTGGAGCCACGACGAACGAACAGCGACGGGTCAGCAGAAGAAGGCTGGAACCCAAGGTCAGAGAGGGTAGAACGCAGAGTGTCGTGCCACTCACGAGGGGCCTGGCGAAGACCGTAGACAGGTCGCCTCAGCCTCCACTGGGTCCCAGGAGGGAAGGTGCCAGTGAAGGCAGAGGGACGACGCAGCCAGACCTCCTCGTGTAGGCTGCCCTGAAGGAAAGCAGTGGAGAAGTCGAGAGAGTGTAACTCGTAGTCTCTCTGTGCTGCTACGTGCAGTAACACCCGAAGAGTAGTCATCTTCGGGGTGGGCGCGAAGGTCTGAAAGAAGTCAACTCCCTCGCGCTGACTGAAACCTCTAGCCACGTAGCGCGCCTTGAAGACCGGGGGAGATCCCGGTGGCCGCTTCACCCTGTAGATCCACATGTCGTCGACTACGTTCGCCCCAGGGGGGGGAACCTCATCGACGTAGGTGCCTGTGGATCTGTAGGAGGCCATCTCTGCGTCCATGGCAGCTCTCCACTGAGAGGCCCAAGGCCCTGACACTGCCTCAGCGTAAGTGCGAGGAGTCGGAATGTCAAGGGCGTCGGGGTCACCCTCAGGGGCGAGGAGCATGGCACAGAGATGAGGGGAAGCGGCTGCCAGGAACTCTAGCTCAAACTGCCTGTCCTCTAGGGCGTCACAGCCAAGGGCAGACACACCCTCGACGGCCAGAGGACTGGTAGGAGGAGCAGCCACAAGACCGGTGGCGAAGTCAAGGCGGCGGGTAGAGGCAAAGTCAGTGACTGCGGCAGTAAGAGCGGACGCAGATGATAGAGAGGCACGAGGGTGAGTAGCAAGAGAGGCGAGAACACGAAAGAGAACAGGACGGTACGTGCGGTAGTAGTCAGTGACAGGAGTAGGAAGCGACGCAGTGAGGGCAGACTCAGGAGGAGACGGAAGCACAGACGGAGACGGTCGAGGTGGACGAGAACAAAGTAAGGCAGTACGAAGGTCAGTGAAGGGAACAGGAGACGAGGGACGAGCACGAGGGGAGCGACGAGAGGCCCAAGTCTGAGAAGGAGGAGGGGACAACGAAGACTGAGAACGAGGGAAAACAACGGGAGAGGGGTCAGGAGGAGGAAGCGGAGGACCAGAGACGGGAGGAGAGGGGGAGGAGGAAGGAGAGGGAGAGGGGAGACCAAGGGTCCGAAGACCCGAGACAGGAGGAGGAGACGGCTGCTGCTGCTGCTGCTGCTGCTGGGGCTGCTGCGGCTGATGCGGATGCTGCTGCTCCAGCTACTGTCGCTCCTGCTCCTCGAGCCGCTGCAACTCTCGCTCCTCTCTCTCCAACTCCAGCTGCTCCTCACGAGCACGGCGAACACGAGCCTGGAACCTGGTCGGGTAGGGGTGGGGGGAAGGAGTAGTGTCCGGGGCAGCGGCAGCCCCAGAGTCCACCTCCGAAGCACCAGGCACACCACCCCCAGAGGCAGCACCAACACCAGCTCCAGACCCAGGCTCACCAGAAACCGAAGGGGGGTCACCCTCACCCCCAGACGCAGCACCCCCAGACTCCGCACGACCAGCACCAGCTCCCGGAAGACAAGAGTCCTCTGCAACCCGCGGCTCAGCTCCAACTCCAGCACCCCCAGAACCAGAAACCGGTACAGGGACAGTCTCAGTACCAACCTCTCTAGAGCGAGCACCTGCAGGACGCGGCGAGGAAGACTGTGGGGAGGGAGGCTGTACCGGAGGGGCTACCGAAGGGGGAGGGGTAGCCTGGGACACACCGGACGGGGCTGGACCAGGGGGGGGAGGCTGTACCGGGTGAGTAGGTGGGGGAGCGGCGGTCAGGAAGAGAGGGGGGGGAGGGACCGGGAGACCTCGACTGGGGTACCTGACGTAGTAGGGGGTGGACTCCTCGAAACGGACGTCACGGGAGTCAAAGAACCGGTGAGAGGGAGGGTGGTAAAAGGTGAAGTCAGAGGAGTCCTCAGGGAAACCAAGGAAGACACAAGGAACGGCGCGAGGCGAGAGCTTGTCCGCGGAGGTGTCGCGGACAAGAGCCAAGCACCCCCAGACACGAAACCTCGACGCAACACCAGGGGACCCGGTCCAAAGACTGGTCGGTGAAGCCTCTGGCCGAGAGACGCGTGGCCAGAGGTTCAGCTGGTGCGCGGCGTACCTGACCGCGTAGGGCCACAGAAAATGGGGGGCACGGGCGTGAGTCAAGGAGGTGCGGGCGATCTCCATGACCAAGCCTATGCGGCGCTCAGCAACCCCATTCTACTGTGGGGACTCTGGAAGCGTCCAGGACTGACGAATGCCCTGCTCGCGACAGAATCCAGCGAGAACGCCGGAGCGAAACTCACCCCCGCGGTCGGAGTGGAGACAGCTGACACGACGACCACGAGTGTCCTGCGTGGTAAGCAACCACCTGATCAGCGTAGAAGTCACCTCAGACTTCTTCGCCAGGGGGAACACTGTGGTGTAGCGGGAGTAGTCGTCAACGACCACAAAAAAGAAACGCTCACGCTCAGGGCCAGGGCGAGGAGAGGGGCCCCAGACGTCCAAGTGAAGCGTCTCAAAAGGCTCGGTGGCCGGACGAAGGGATGACGAGTGAGGGGTGGCGCGCAGCCTACCCTCGACGCAAGGACCGCACGGTGGTGCAAGGGACGGCGGCAGCGACGGCAAGACACGCGGGAGACCTAAGACAAGACGCTGACGAGACATAGCGCGCAGACGAGGAAGAGAAGGGTGCCCCATCCGGTGGTGCCACAGAACGGTGGGGTGGGCAAGCGACCGGCAGGAGCACGACGCAGCGACTGGACCAGACGTAGGAACCTGACAAGACACAGCTACCTGGGGGGACGGAGCAACCTGGTGAGACGCGGGGACTCGAACGGGGGGCGAAACAGGGACCGGTGGCAGTAGGGGCGGCTGCCGCTGCGGCTGCTGCTGCGGCTGCTGCTGCTGCTGGGGCTGCTGCTGCTGCTGCTGCTGCTGCTGCTGCTGCTGCTGCGGCTGCTGCTGCGCACTCGGGCCAGTGTGAAGAGTGTAGAGACCTGAGCCCGACTCAACAGCAAAGGTGGCCAGAGGCTGGTAAGAGTCCCCGTCAACACACACCGCAGTCTCTCCAGAAGGCTCAAACCACACACCCACGTGCTGACTCACGAGGGGTCGCACGCCCACCAAGTTCCGGGAGAACGAGGGGACGTGAAACCCAGTGAGAGACCCAGAAGGAGCAGCAGGACACGGCAAAGTGGTAGTGTGACGCGCGGTGACTGGTCCCGAAGCAAGGCTAGCGCCACAGAAACAGGCGCAGGAAGTGGTGTAAGTGTCGTGCTGTCACGAAAGAAGCAGTGTGAGGCTCCAGAGTCCAGCGTGAACGACAGCGAACCGTCCTCCGAGGTAGCCGCTGGACTAGAGTCTACACAAGAACCTACACTAGCAACAGGCAACGGAGCAAGGCTAGCACCTAAGCTAACAACACTAGAGTAAACAGAGTCAGAAACACTAGAGTCAACAACAGCATACATAGCATGGGGAGTACCAATCAGATCAACTAACTGCTCAGCAGACATGCCCCACAGAGCGGAGCCGTAACGCTGAACAAGAGGAAGCCAGTCAGGGGCAGGAGCACCAACCCCGTAGACCAAACGAACCGTGTCAGTGAGCTGAGCAAAACACTGACCAGGGGGGTGAAAGCGGCCACAAGGGTGGCCCCGGCGAGCACCTGTCAGAACCTGATAGGTGCAGGGAGGGTAAGCAGCACCGCTCTGGGTCTGACGCAGCCCCGACCCCGGAGCCAGCTGCGGCCGCTGCTGCTGCTGAGGCTGCTGGGAGGAGAGGGGCTGCCGCTGCTGCTGAAGCTGCTGCTGACGCTGAGCCTGGTACCACGCCGCTGCTCCACCTCCCGTGGCCGGAAGTACAGGAGGCGACTGACGAACTCGGGCGTCGCCACCACCAGCAGGCGCAGTGGAGTCACCAGTCGCTGCACGAGACGCCTCTCCAGGCCCTGCACGCCCACCGCCGCCAGGCGCAACGTCACCTCCACTACCTCCGCCTCCACCACCACTACCACCACTAGAACCGCCTTTCTTGCCACCCCTACCGCGGGACCGCGACGCAGTCGTAACAGCAGCTGCAGTCGCGTCAGTAGCGGCAGTGGCAAGAGAGGCAGTAAAGGTGGGTAACTGCGGGACTGTGCACCCGTGGAAGAGTGGGGGGGGCACAGCACCAGAGGCAGCGGCTACCGAGCGAAGGTTGCTCTCGACGTCCTTGAGCGCAGACTCAAGGACCTCGACGGTGAGCTCACTAGGGTGCGTCGCGAACGGAGGCAAGGCGATCAGAGAGGCTAGTGGCGATGAAATAGATAGTAATCGCCATAGGGGGAGGAAGCAGTGCAAGCTGTGCCTCAGTGCAAGCAGCGCGGTAACTAGCGTCGAGCGAGCGGAGGTGAGCGATCAAGTCAGCAGAGCGCTCAAAAGACGCAAGGTCAGGGAACAGGAACGGGAGGAAAAGGCGGCCAAGAGAGACAGTAGCGGGAGTAGAGTAGCGGGCCTTAATCGCAGTGAGGTACTCAGCAGCGGTGCGAACCTGAGTGAAGTGAACCTCCTCAGACTCAGGGAGGAGGCTGCTGAGCGCGATGCAGGCCGCAGCGTCACGCGACGTCCAAGCCGTCTGGTCAGCTCGCTGGGTGGTAAAGTGAGCTCTAGCGGCGTCGTCAGGGGCAGGTCCTAAAGGCGCAGGGAGGGCACCAGCAGCGTGCGCCCAGAGGGTCTCGCCTGCCTGGACCTGACTCTCTAACAGACGGCGAGCGCGAAGAAGCCAGACGGAAAAGTCAAGAGGTCTACCGTCAGTGTTGAAACGAAGAACACGCTAAGTCGCCATAGCGAAAACGAACGGACGAAGCGGCGGGCAACGGGAGCGGACGCAGCGGTGGAAAACGGAAGTGGGGCACGGGCCAGGGCGACGGGCTAGGGCGCGGGCTAGGGCGACGCGCTAGGGCGCGGTCTGGGGCGCGGGCTAGGGCGACGGTCTAGGGCGCGAGCTGGGGCGTGGGCCTGGGCAACGGGCAAGGGCGCGGGCCTGGGCGACGGGCTAGGGCGCGGGCCGACGGGCAGGGGCGCGGGCCTGGGCGACGGGCTAGGGCGCGGGCCTGGGCGACGGGCTAGGGCGCGAGCCAGGGCGACGGGCTAGGGCGCGAGCCAGGGCGACGGGCTAGGGCGCGGGCTAGGGCGACGGGCAGGGGCGCGGGCCCGGGCGACGGGCTAGGGCGCGGGCCTGGGCGACGGGCTAGGGCGCGAGCCAGGGCGACGGGCTAGGGCGCGGGCCTGGGCGACGGGCAGCGGGGGGGAGGCGCGGTTCGACGGGCAGCGGGGGGAAGCACGGGTCGACGGGCAGCGGGGGGAAGCGCGGGTCGACGGGCGGCCGGGGGAAGCGCGGTGCTACGGGCAGCGGGGGGGGGGGGGGAGCGCGGTTCGACGGGCAGCGGGGGGGGGGGGGGGGGAAGCGCGGTTCGACGGGCAGCGGGGGGAAGCGCGGGTCGACGGGCAGCGGGGGGAAGCGCAGCGCGACGGGCAGCGGTACGCTAGATCGGGCTACACTGGATCGGGCTACGCTAGATCGGGAGGAAGAACGAGCGGTAACGAACGAACGGGACTAGATCGGGCCGGCACTAGGCTCGGGCAAGACGGGCGAAACGAGTGAGACAGGCTCGGAAGAAACGAACGAGGACGGGAGGAACGGGATCACACAGGATCCGAACCTAGGTGAAACCATGTCAAACTGAGTAATTGATGATGCATTCATGTTGGTTGGGGTACAAGTAGCTAACCCTAACTTTTGTACTCCCTAAGACAAACCTCACTATAGGCTACCACATTTGACACTGAGAGCATCAGTGCAAACTGGCGAGCTAAAAGCTGACAGCAGCAGCTTGCCTCCTCTCCTCCAGCTCCCTCGCTGCTGCCTCTGCTGCCACACATGCAAGCAAGCGGCTGCAGAGGTGGCAGCTGGTGCTGTCAACCACACCTACACTGACAGCAGTAACGAACAAATTGTTACGAGCTGACAGCAGCAGCGTGCCTCCTGCCCTCCATCTCCCTTGCTGCTGCCTCTGCTGCTTCTGCCTCAGCCTCTAATGCCTCTGCCTCTCTCACTGCCGCCTCTGCCTCTGCCGCTGCTGCCTCCGCCTCTGCCATCGCGTCTGCTGCCATTCGCGTCAGATGCTGCACCCACTCACTCTGACCTGCACCCACCGCTCCCCCTACCGCTCCCCCTTCCACTGCTCCGTCTTCCACGTGATCTTCCGCCCTTCCAGCTTCGTTCTGAGAAGGGAGTGACGCGCCGGAAGCTTTCCTGCTGTCACCGTATATGCATAATAATGCATATGCGGTGCCAGGGAGTGCGGTGTAGTTCTGGTGTAGCAATGTGGGGTATGCATATTCGAGGACAAGTAGGTGGGGACCAAGAAAATTGACGCGAAGTTGGTAGGAGAGCACCAAGGGGTGGAATCCACGCAACCAATGGGAACAAACCAACCCAGGCTCGAGCCGCACATTGAGAAATGCACGGTTCGAGCCTGGGCCAGGTAAGTTCACTCTCACACACACACCCGATGCTTTCTGTTTGGTATCCTTTCGTATAGTGGACAGTTGTTGCCTTAACCTTGTCGCTAGGTGACACACCACTCAGAGGGGACCCTTGAGGTGGAAGCTCTGACTCTTTCATACCAAACAGAAAGGTGCGCGTACAAGCATGGATGTGTACGAGCTGCGTTATGGCAGGAATTACGGTCGCCGGGAGGAGGATCGCTCACGGCGCGGACGCTCGCGTGAGCGCGGGCGTTCGTTGGAAAGGTCGCCGCGGCGGCCCGAGCGATCGCCGCGGAGGCCGGCCTTTCGCGCGGATCAGGTCCCTCTCGCGCCAGATCGCCAGGAGGGAGGATCCGCTCGAGAAGGGAGAGGCGGATCTGGATCTGCCCCGATGGGGAGTGACCCGTGGCGGACGGACGGGCGCCACGGAGCCGATGGCGGTCATGGGTATCGTCAGGACACGAGAGCGTACCGCTCGCCGGAGGAAGGCTATCGCCATCTCGAAGATCGAGGTCGCGGGCGAGGTCTGGAGGAGCTCTTCTCGGGTCGCCAGGGCGATCTTGATGTGGATGGAGAAGACGAGGCCGGCAAGGCGAATCGTGTGCGGGAGACGGATCACGAAGGCGAAGCCAAGGGCGATGGCGAATCCCAGGTGGAAGGCACGGGTGAGCAGCGCGAAATGCCCGCGGGAGTCGACAACGACGATCCCGCGCAGGCGGGCGTGGCGGCAGAGCCAAGCACGGCGGAGGCGGACGGAAGGAGCGGCCCGCGAAATCAGACGCGCGACGGAGAGAAAGGTGACAGCGGGAGGCGTGGCGGTGGCTCGCGCTCCCCCGATCCGCGCCAGCAAGACGCGTCCCGCGGTCGCCTGATCCGCGGCTGAATCGTGAGGGAGGACACGGCAGCGGCGCCCGCTCGCCAGATCCGCGGATGGATCGTGGCGGGGGCCGCGGCGGCGGCACGCGCTCGCCCGATCTGCGGCTGAATCGTGATGGGGAACGTGGCGGCGGCACGCGCTCGCCAGATCCGCGGCTGAATCGGGATGGGGGATGCAGCGGCGGCGTGCGCTCGCCAGATTCGCGCCCGAATCGGGAAAGGAGACGTGGCGGCGGCACGCACTCGCCAGAACCGCGGCAGAAGCGTGGCGGGGAACGTGGTGGCGGCATGCGCTCGCCAGATACACGGGTGCAGCATGACGGGAGGCGCGGGAGCGGCTACGGCTCACCAGAACGGCGGCCGCTGTATGAGGCAAGGCGCGGAGGCGGCCACCGCTCGCCAGATCTGCGGCAGCATCAGGACAGTGGGCGCGGGGGCAGCTCGCGCTCGCCGGATTCGCGGAAGTATCACGACTGGAGAAGTGGAGGGGATCTGCGCTCACCAGGTCCTCGTTACCCTCGTGATGAGAGGCGCGGAGGCGGCTCTCGCTCGCCTGACCTGCAACGATACCGAGGAGAGAGGTGGGGAAGCGAGGCGCGCTCACCTGACTGGCGCATGCAGCATGACGGAAGCCGGGGAGGGGGACACTGCTCGCAGCATCGGCAACAGGGCAGGGACGAAGGGCGCGGCGATGGGGCTCGCTCGCCTGGCCGGTACTGGCGGCAAGACGGAAGACGTGCCGGTGAGGGAGAACGGGATCAACGCAACAGCAGAGAGGGAAGCAGCGGGCTGATGCACAGCCTGGAGCGGGCAAGAGAGGCAAGGGAGGGAATACTGCGAGCGAAAGAGAGAGCAGCATCAGGTAGATCGGCAGGAGGGCCGAGCGAGGCATGGGGAGAAGGCAGAGGAAGCACAGCAACGGTCACCAGAGTGGAAGTGCCTGCACGCTTCTCAGGAGATCAGCGTATGGGGCCCACGCTGAAGAACTACCTGATGCAAGTGGGCAACGTGCGGTACAGATGCGAGAGGAGCGGCATGGACTCGGTGGACTTCTTCCTGAGTCTGCCGAACACACTGGAAGGGGAGGCAGAGACATGATGAAGATGGAGGAGCTGCTGGAAAGGGCAGGAAGGTATGGGGAAGACCCAACGGAGGCATTCCTGAGGAGGCTGAAGCGGCAGTTTCCAGGCCACACCGCAGAGAAGATAAGGGAATTTCAGGATTTCAGGAAGGGGCGAAACGAGTCATTACTCACCTACTACAACCGGCTGGTAAACCTGGCGGAGGATGTGACTTGTGCAGATATGGGCTTGCTCGTGAGCAAATTCCTGGACGGGCTGGAGGGCACTTTGGGAAGCGGGCTGCGGATGAAGGTGTATGAGATGGGGGCCGACGCGTCGCTCGAGGAAGTGTTTGAGCTGGCGGAGAAGATGGAACTGGCACAGAGGAAATACGAAGCATACAGGCCCCGACCAGCAGAACGAGGCAGGGGACCGACGTGGGCAGCGGCCATGATACCGGAGGAGAAGGAAGGGACAGCAAGTAGAGGGGAGGGCAGGACCGATACGCGGACGTGTCACAGATGCGGACAGCCAGGACACCTGCGCAGAGACTGCAAAAATTGTGACTCCTGCGGCAAGCCAGGACATCGGCGGCGGGAGTGTCCAACAGCGCCAAAGTGTGAAATCTGCGGAAAGGGAGGGCACGCAGCAAAGGAGTGTTACCAGCGAGAGGGAGTGAAGAAGAAGACGCCAGAAGATCTGGAGAAGCAGATCAGCAGACTGCAAGCCCAGCTGCAGGCAATGGGACCACGACGCGAAGCAGAGGCAGGGATGTACGCCAAGGAAGAGGAGGAGGAAGATGTGGAGCGGGAAGAGGAAGGCGCGTTCCTGGTCTGGGGAGGAAGAGAGGAGGATGAGATAGAACATGAGGAGCATCCCGCGTACATGGCATGGAGAGGGAGGGAAGAGATGGGGCTGCGCCGCGGAGGAAAAGACACACGAAAGGAGCAAGTGAGGAAGGAGCGAGAGAGAGGACAGAAACCGGAAGACCAGGAGGAGTGATGCACCGCTGCACGGCACCCTCAGGAGAGGTTGGCGTGCCAGACCTCCGTGCTGCTGATTCAGGGCAGCGCGCTGACAGTGGAGGGCGAGAAGGCGAAGACGGCAATCATAGACACCGGAGCACAGAGCGTGATACTAGGAAAGGGGATGGCTGAGAGGCTGGGACTGTGGGCACCTGACAGACATGTGGTGAAGGGGATGCTAGTGATGACGGCAGAGGGCGCAGAGTCTAAGTGGATGCCGTGCACGAGGACTCCGATCGAGCTGACGGTGCTGAAAGGGGAGAAACATGAAACGCCAGTAAGAATCAGGTGCGGGATCTCAGAGTCGGAAGATTTTGATGTGCTGGTGGGGACAGAAATGATCTTCGCGTTGGGCATGACCATTTGTTTCTGGAAAGAGACAGTGGAGTTCCGAACCAGGTGGTGGAGAAAGGGTGACCCTTTAGGGCAGCTGCCGGTGCAGTTTGTGAAGACCGAGCCAAAGAGGGCCTACAGCGCAGGACAGAAGGAGATGACAGAGAAGAAGGGGGCACTGGAGAGCGCGGAGGGCAAAGAAAAAGGCGGGGAGCCCAGGATGCGCCTCATGGATGAGCCTAGCCAACAAACCGATTGGCAGCAACCCATCCGGCTGGTGGAGCTGTTCGGGGGAATAGGGGCGGGACTGGCAGCAGTGGTGCGAAACGGAATAGCAGTGAAGCAGTGGATTTACGTGGAACAGGCACCAGAGGTGAGGAAGATAGCAGAGCATCATGCGTGGGAGCTGCATAGGGAGTTTCCAGAGCTGCTGAGTGGAGAGGTGGTCAAGGCGGCAATGACCAGAGGAGTGAATGACGTGAGGGCAATCACAGAAGCTGAAGTGGCAAGCTGGGGGCACGTGGACCTGCTGGTGGCAGGATGGGAGTGCCAAGGGGTATCATGGGCAGGGAAGGGCAAGGGTGAGCAAGACCCTAGGACCAAGATGATGAAGGAGCTGTTCAAAATCATGGAGTGGATTCAGGCTAGGCAAGGCAGAGTGGCTTACTTGTTGGAGCACTTGGACATGGAAGGAGATGTCCGGGAACCGGTAAGGCTGGTGAGGGAGAGAGTGAGGAGGCAGGTAGGTAAGGGGGTGAGCAGCGATGCGGCGCGGATGGGAGCATACTCACACCGACTCAGGATGTACTGGCAGAATGTAGTGCCAGTGGAAGATCTGCAGAAGGAGATAGAGGGAGTGCAGAGAGCAGGGGGGCGGAAGCTGAGTAACATACTAGAGCCAGGAAGAACTCCAGCACCCGTGACAAAGAGGAGCTACAGCAGACACTATCCATGCAACCAGGTGGGGCTAGAGAGGCAGGCACTGCCCACCCTGGTGTCATATGAGGGGGCAGCAGGATATCGGATGGATGGGGAGCAGCCGGGCCCAGGACTGGTATACGACCATAGGAAGGGATGGTGGGAAGAGCCCACGGCGTTGGAGAGAGAGCTGGCCATGGGGTACAAGGAAAACGCTACAGCAGCCCCTGGCGTGAGTGAGAAGGAAAGGAGGCGGGCATTGGGGAACGCAATGGATGGGTATATGATGAGATGGCTGGTACAATGGATGTGGAGAGAGACAGTACTGCACTGGGGTCTGAAGGAGGGAGAAAACACCGTGGCGACAGTCAGGCAAGGGGTGTGGGCCTGCCTGCAGAAAGAGGAGCCAGAGTGGAAGATAGGTGAACACATGAGCGAGGAGGGGAAGGCAGCAATGCGGGCACTGCTGACCAAGCACCGGAAGGGCTTCGCCTTCACCCTACAGGAGTTGGGGAAGTGCAAGATCAAGGAGATGGCACTGAAGCTGATCAGTGATGAGCCGGTATTTCACCGCAGGAGGAAGATGCCGCCAGGAGATGAAGCGATCTGCAGGGAGAAAATAAAGGAGTTACTGGAAGCCGGACTGATCAGGAGGTCAGAGTCCGAGTGCGCCACTCCAACCGTGGTAGCAGCCAGGAAGGATTTGACAGGCGAGGTGCTGAGTCGGAGGATGTGTGGGGATTACCGAGATCTCAACAAAATCACAGTGCCAGACAGATACCCGATGCCAATGGCGGAAGAGCTCTTTGACAAGCTGGCCGACGGGGTGTTCTTCACGACCCTGGACCTGCGCCAGGGATTTAACCAAATCAAGATCAGAGAAGAGGATGTGAAGAAGACGGCCTTCCATGGGCCGGATGGGCTGTATGAGTGGCTGTACATGCCCTTTGGCCTGAGGAACGCCTCGGCGGTGTTCCAGAGAGTCATGGACGCGGTGTTGCGGGGAATAGAACGGGCGGCATGCTATATCGACGATGTCGTGATCTTCAGCCTGACCGAGCAGCAGCACCTGGAGGACGTGGAAAAGACACTGACGGCCATAGAAGAAGCAGGGCTCACGTGCCATCCTAACAAATGCAGATGGGGGGAGCAGACGGTGCAGTACCTGGGGTATGAGGTCACAGGGGGGCAGATTGGGATCCAGCAGGCAAAGGTGCAGGTGCTGGACAAACTGAGGGAACCGAGAGACAAGACAGGGCTGCGCGCGGTCCTACAGACGCTTCGTGCCGAACTTCAGCAAGAGAGCGGCGGAGCTGAATGGGATGCTGCGGGAGGATAAGGCATGGGAATGGGGAGAGAAACAGAGGGAGGCATTGCAAGACCTCATGACAGCAGTAAAGACGGCAACAGTGTTGCGGCTGCCAGCAGCAGACCAGCCCTTCATCCTCTACACAGATTGGAGCAGCCAGGGAATGGGGGCAATACTGTGCCAAGAGGTGGAGGGAGTGGAGAAGGTGGTGGCCTACGCCAGCAGGAGCTGCAACCCAGCGGAGGCACAGTACAGCTCATACATCGGGGAGGGGCTGGCGGCAGTGTGGGCGGTAGGGCATTTCCGGATATACCTGCAAGGCAGAGAGTTCACCCTGGTCACGGACCATCAGCCACTCACCTGGCTGATGTCCACACCAGGGCTGACAGGGAGGAACGCGCGTTGGGCAGTGAAGCTGCAGGAATACGATTTCAAGATCAGGCACAGGCCAGGGAAGACGCTGCAGCACGTTGACGGCCTCTCCCGCAACCCTCCGCCACTGGAGACAGAGCAGGTAGCACAGGGGACAGAAGAGACAGAGCAGGAACCAGCGCAGACCTTGATCTTGCTGGCAAGACAGGTGGAGCAGACCGGTGCAAAAGGGAGCAAGGGACCAGCTGACATCTGGCAGGATGAGAAAGCAATGGAGTGGCTAAAGGGAGAAACCGAGGAAGACGAGACAGTGCCCGAAAGGGTGAGGGCACGAGGGCACCACTACAGGTGGTATCAGCAGCAGCTGCAGATCAAGACGGAGGATGGCTGGAAGCTGGTGCCAGCGCCCAAGGATCGTGAAATGGTGATCAAGGAAGTGCACACTAAGCTGGGTCATTTCGGGCACGAGAGGACCGTACATCTGCTGAAAACGGGCTGGTGGTGGGAAGGGATGCGCAGGCAAGTGAAAGAGAGGGTGGAGGGGTGCGAGGCGTGTCAGAGGAGCAAAGCAAACTTGACGCAGGCCAAAGCAGAGCTGCACTCACTGCCCATCTGCGGACTGGGATTTCGATGGTCCCTAGACCTCGCGGGAGAGTTGCCGCTGAGCAGAAGTGGGAATCAGTACATAGTGTTCATGGTGGAACATGTTAGCAAGTGGCTGGAGGTGAGAGCCATCCCTAGCAAGAGCGCAAGGCACATTGCAGCAGCCTTCAAGGCGCAAGTGGTGTGTAGATTTGGAGCCTGCGGGGAGGTGCTCACAGACCAAGGAACGGAGTTCCAAGGGGAGTTCAAGAAGTTGCTGGAGGAGTCCGGCATCACACACCGAAAGACATCCCGCTACCACCCGCAGAGTGACGGGCTAACTGAGCGAGCAGTGCAGACCTTCAAGCGAGGACTGCGGGCCTATGGGGAGCAGAGGAAGAGAGACTGGGATGAGGAGTTGGACTGGATAGCAGCAGGGTACAGGTTCGGGAAACAGGCAGCACTGAGGGATCATTCCCCGTATAGCCTACTTTACAGACGAGAGCCCATCCTGCCAGTGGGGGCACCGCGGGTACTGACAGACACAGTGACGGCGGGCACGATCAAGAACTGGGTAGCCCTGTCCGAGGTGAGAGCACGCTACATGCGCTACATGATGCCCGCAGCACTGGAAAACCTGCACACCGCGCAGCTGAGAGACGCAAGGAGATATGAACAGAGGCAGCGCAAGGGAGAGGGACGAGCGGCAAGGGGCGTCAGCGAAGGACAGGAAGTTTATCTGAAGCGAGCAAAGCAGGACACCCTTGATGTGGGGTTGGGGACGGTCCGCTGGAAGGTCAAGGAGGTGCGCCCTTCGGGGGTGCTGGTCCTAGAGAACGACACAGGGGCACAGCTGCGGGAACATCAGACGAACACTGCGGCGATCAGAGGGACCGGGCCTCAGCGTGACGGTCCTGTGACCCGCGCTCGACCTGCTCAAGCACGGGCACAGGAGGGGGCAGAGGGTGGCTGAGGCAAGACTTGTACCGAGAACAGCAACAAAGGCAGAAGGAAGAACATGTGGCTGGGGGGAGCGGGACTAAGGATAGCGGTTTCAGCAGTATTCCGACAGCTGTCACCGTATATGCATAATAATGCATATGCGGTGCCAGGGCGTGCGGTGTAGTTCTGGTGTAGCAATGTGGGGTATGCATATTCGAGGACAAGTAGGTGGGGACCAAGAAAATTGACGCGAAGTTGGTAGGAGAGCACCAAGGGGTGGAATCCACGCAACCAATGGGAACAAACCAACCCAGGCTCGAGCCGCACATTGAGAAATGCACGGTTCGAGCCTGGGCCAGGTAAGTTCACTCTCACACACACACCCGATGCTTTCTGTTTGGTATCCTTTCGTATAGTGGACAGTTGTTGCCTTAACCTTGTCGCTAGGTGACACACCACTCAGAGGGGACCCTTGAGGTGGAAGCTCTGACTCTTTCAATGAGAGTGGCTGAGGCAAGACTTGTACCGAGAACAGCAACAAAGGCAGAAGGAAGAACATGTGGCTGGGGGGAGCGGGACTAAGGATAGCGGTTTCAGCAGTATTCCGACACTGCTCGCTCCTCCTGCTTCTGCCGGCTGCTGCGAGGGAAAGCAGTGCTTCTTGAAATGCCCCACAGTAGCTGCACTGGCCGCAGCACCACCTGTGCTTGCGGCAGCAACAGCGGCGGCAGCAGTAGCAGGAGGTGCAATGTGACTGCCATGCAGAGGGGCGAGATGCGCCTGTGAGAGGTCTGCTGATATTCGATCCGCTGGAGCAGCAGTGGCAGCAGCAGCAGCAGCAGCAGCAGCAGCAGTGTGGGCAGAGGGAGTGGAGGAGTGAAGAGCAGCTGTAGAGCGCATGCCAGAGAAATGCTCCACCCCTGCTGCTCCTGCTGCTCCTGCTGCTCCTGCTGCTGTTGCGCCTGCTGTTGCTCCTGCTGTTGCTCCTGCTGCAGCCCCACCCACCCTTCCCTCTCCTGCCCGGTCTGCTGCATGGCCACTCCCCACCCGGCCGCTGCGAGCATCCCTCCTCCTCACACTCCCTCGGTTTCCCCACTCCACCCTCCCCTCCTCATGCTCCCACTTGCCACTCCCACCCCACCCGCCTCTCCCCGCGCCCTCCCCATCCGCGCCTTCCCCATGCCAGCTAGCCCGCCTGCTCTCCCCCCGTGCCCTCCGGACAGAAGCAGGGGAATGCACCTGCGCTTGCCCTTGCCCTTGCCCTTGCACTTGCCCTGGCACATGGCCTTGCGCTTGCCCTTGGTCATGGTTGTGCGTGAGCGAGAGAGAGTGGGAGTGGACGAGGGCTAGTGGTGCGTTTCGAGGCAGGTAGTAAAGCTGCTTCACCTGTCAGCGAGTGGGGAGCAGGGGATAGAATTCCGTGAGTATGCGATGCACGCAGAGAAGGTGTTTCAGCTGCCACTGTGGTGAAAAGAGGAGGGCCGTCGGTGCATTGTGAGGTGAGCAGAAAAAGCGTTTCAGCCCTGCTCGGCTCGTAACTTCACCAGGCAGCCCTGCTCTCACCTTCACCAAGCAGCCCTCTTCTGAGAGCGCATGGGCAATGGGCAATGGTAAGATGGCATGGCATGGGCACTGCCAGCTCTCACCTTCACCAGTCAGCCCTGCTCTCACCTTCACCAGGCAGCCCTCTTCTGAGAGCGCTCTGAGGCGATGCGATGACGATGGCATGACGCGATGACGATGGCATGATGCGATGACGATGACGATGATGCGACGATGGGATGATGCGACGATGGGATGATGGGATGATGATGCTACCTATTCATGCTAGGCTGAATCATGCCTGGATGAATCATGCCTGGCTGAATCATGCCTGGCTGAATCATGCCAGGCTAAATGATGCCTGGCTGAATCATGCCAGGTTGAATCATGCCTGGCTGAATCATGCCTGGCTGAATCATGCCTGGCTGAATCATGCTAGGCTGGATCAGGCTAGGCTGAATCATGCCAGGCGGAATCATGCCTAGCTGAATCATGCCAGGCTGAATTATGCAAGGCTGAATCATGCCTGGCTGAACCATGCCTGGCTGAATCATGCCTGGCTGAATCATGCCAGGCTGAATCATGCCTGGCTGAATCATGCCCGGCTTAATCGCTGAATCATGCCTGGCTGAATCATGCTGGGTTGGATCATGCAAGGCCGAATCATGCCTGGCTGAATCATGCCTGGCTGAATCATGCCTGGCTGAATCATGCCTGACTGAATCATGCCTGGCTGAATCATGCCTGGCTGAATCATGCCTGGCTGAATTGTGCCTGGCTGAAACATGCCTGGCTGAATCATGCTTGGCTTGATCATGCCTGGCTGAATCATCCCTGGCTAAACCATTCCTAGCTGAACCATGCCTGGCTGAATCATGCCTGGTTGGATCATGCCGTGCTGAATCATGCCTGGCTGGATCATGCCTTGCTGAAACATGCCTGGCTGAATTATGCCAGGCTGAATCATGCCTGGCTGAATCATGCCAGGCTGAATCATGCCTGGCTGAATCATGCCTGGCTGAATCATGCCTGGCTGAATCATGCCTGGTTGAATAATGCCTGGCTGAATCATGCCTGGCTGAATCATGCCTGGCTGAATCATGCCTGGCTGAATCATGCCTGGCCGAATAATGCTTGACTGAATCATGCCTGGATGAATCATGCCAGGCTGAATTATGCCTGGCTGAATCATGCCTGGCTGAATTGTGCCTGGCTGTATCATGCCTAGCTGAATCATGCTTGGCTTGATCATGCCTGGCTAAATCATCCCTGGCTAAACCATGCCTAGCTGAATCATGCCTGGCTGAGTAATGCCTTGCTGAATCATGCCTGGCTGTAGCATGCCTGGCTGAACCATGCCTGGCTGAATCATGCCTGGCTGAATCATGCCTGGCTGAATCATGCCAGGCTGAATCATGCCTGGCTGAATCATGCCTGGCTGAATCATGCCTGGCTGAATCATGCCTGGCTGAATCATGCCTGGCTGAATCATGCCTGGCTGAATCATGCCTGGCTGAATCATGCCTGGCTGAATCATGCCAGGCTGAATCATGCCTGGCTGAATCATGCTTGGCTTGATCATGCCTGGCTGAATCATCCCTGGCTAAACCATGCCTAGCTGAACCATGCCTGGCTGAATCATGCCTGGTTGGATCATGCCTGGCTGAATCATGCCTGGCTGAATCATGCCTTGCTGAAACATGCCTGGCTGAATCATGCCAGGCTGAATCATGCCTGGCTGAATCATTCCAGGCCTTATCATGCCTGGCTGAATCATGCCTGGCTGAATCATGCCTGGCTGAATCATGCCTGGTTGAATAATGCCTGGCTGAATCATGCCTGGCTGAATCATGCCTGGCTGAATCATGCCTGGCTGAATCATGCCTGGCCGAATAATGCTTGACTGAATCATGCCTGGATGAATCATGCCAGGCTGAATTATGCCTGGCTGAATCATGCCTGGCTGAATTGTGCCTGGCTGTATCATGCCTGGCTGAATCATGCTTGGCTTGATCATGCCTGGCTAAATCATCCCTGGCTAAACCATGCCTAGCTGAATCATGCCTGGCTGAGTAATGCCTTGCTGAATCATGCCTGGCTGTAGCATGCCTGGCTGAACCATGCCTGGCTGAATCATGCCTGGCCAAATCATGCTTGACTGAATCATGCCAGGCTGAATTATGCCTGGCTGAATCATGCCTGGCTGAATTTTGCCTGGCTGTATCATGCCTGGCTGAATCAAGCCTGGCTGAATCATGCTTGACTAAATGATGCCTGGCTGAATCATGCCTTGCTGAATCATGCCTGGCCGAATCATGCTTGACTGAATCATGCCAGGCTGAATCATGCCAGGCTGAATCATTCCTTGCTGAATGATGCCTGGCTTAATCATGCCAGGCTGAATCATGCCAGGCTGGATCATGCCTGGGTAGATTATGCCTGGCTGAATCATGCCAGGCTGAATCATGCCTGGCTGAATCATGCCTGGCTGAATCATGCCTGGCTGAATCATGCCTGGCTGAATCATGCCTGGCTGAATCATGCCTGGCTGAATCATGCCAGGCTGAGTCGTGGCAGGCTGAATCATGCCAGGCTGAATCATGCCTGGCTGAATCATGCCAGGCTGAATCATGCCAGGCTGAATCATGCCTGGCTGAATCATGCCTGGCTGATTGATGCCTAGCTGAATCATGCCTGGTTGAATCATGCCTGGCTGAATCATGCCTGGCTGAATCATGCCTGGCTGAATCATGCCTGGCTGAATCATGCCTGGCTGAATCATGCCTGGCTGAATCATGCCTGGCTGAATCATGCCAGGCTGAATCATGCCAGGCTGAATCATGCCTGGCTGAATCATGCCTGGCTGAATCATGCATGGCTGAATCATGCCTGGCTGAATCGAGCCTGGCTGAATCATGCCTGGCTGAATTATGCCAAGCTGAATCATGCCAAGCTGAATCATGCCAGGCTGAATCATGCCAGGCTGAATCATGCCAGGCTGAATCATGCCTGGCTGAATCATGCCAGGCTGAATCATGCCTGGCTGAATCATGCCTGGCTGAATCATGCCAGGCTGAATCATGCCAGGCTGAATCATGTCAGTCTGAATCGTGCCTGGTTGAATCATGAAAGGCTGAATCATTCCAGGCTGAATCATGCCTGGTTGACTCATGCCTGGTTGAATCATGCCTGGATGAATCATGCCTGGCTGAATCATGCCTGGCTGAATCATGCCTGGCTGAATCATGCCTGGCTGAATCATGCCTGGCTGAATTGTGCCTGGCTGAAACATGCCTGGCTGAATCATGCTTGGCTTGATCATGCCTGGCTGAATCATGCTTGACTGAATCATGCCTGGCTGAATCATGCCTGACTGAATCATGCCTGGCTGAATCATGCCTGGCTGAATCATGCCTGGCTGAATCATGCCTGGTTGAATCATGCCTGGCTGAATCATGCCTGGCTGAAACATGCTTGACTGGATCATGCTTGACTGAATCATGCCTGGCTGAATCATGCCTGGCTGAATCATGCCTGGCTGAATCATGCCTGGCTGAATCATGCCTGGCTGAATCATGCCTGACTGAATCATGCCTGGCTGAATCATTCCTTGCTGAATGATGCCTGGCTTAATCATGCCAGGCTGAATCATGCCTGGCTGAATCATGCCAGGCTAGATCATGCCTGGCTCAATTATGCCTGGCTGAATCATTCCAGGCAGTATCATGGGTGGGTAAATCATGCCTGGCTGAATCATGCCTGGCTGAATCATGCCTGGCTGAATCATGCCTGGCTGAATCATGCCTGGCTGAATCATGCCAGGCTGAATCATGCCTGGCTGAATCATGAAAGGCTGAATCATTCCAGGCTGAATCATGCCTGGTTGACTCATGCCTGGTTGAATCATGCCTGGCTGAATCATGCCTGGCTGAATCATGCCTGGCTGAATCATGCCTGGATGAATCATGCCTGGCCGAATCATGCTTGACTGAATCATGCCTGGCTGAATCATGCCTGGCTGAATCATGCCTGGCTGAATCATGCCTGGCTGAATCATGCCTGGATAATTCATGCTTGGTTTGATCATGCCTCACTGATTTATCCCTGGCTATACCATGCCTAGCTGATTTATGCCTGGCTAAAACATGCCTGGTTGGATCACGCCTGGCTGAATTAGTCCTGGCTGAATCATGCCTTGCTGAAACATTCCTGGCTGAATCATGCCTGGCTGAATCATGCAAGTGTTAATCATGCTTGACTGAATCATGCCTGGCTGAATCATGCCTGGCTGAATCATGCCTGGCTGAATCATTCCTTGCTGAATGATGCCTGGCTGAATGATGCCTGGCTGAATCGTGCCATGCTTAATTATCCCTGGCTGAATCATGCAAGGGTGAATCATGCTTCACTGAATCATGCCTGGCTGAATCATGCCTGACTGAATCATGCCTGGTTGAATCATGCCTGGCTGAATCATGCCTGGCCAAATCATGCTTGAGTGAATCATGCCTGGCTGAATCATGCCTGACTGAATCATGCCTGGCTGAATCATTCCTTGCTGAATTATGCCAGGCTGAATCATGCCAGGCTGAATCATGCCAGGCTGAATCATGCCAGGCTGAATCATGCCAGGCTGAATCATGCCAGGCTGTACCATGCCAGGCTGAATCATGCCTGGCTGAATCATGCCAGGCTGAATCATGCCAGGCTGAATCATGCCAGGCTGAATCATGCCAGGCTGAATCATGCCTGGCTGAATCATGCCTGGCTGAATCATGCCTGGCTTAATAATGCCAGGCTGAATCATGCCTGGCTGAATCATGCCAGGCTGAATCATGCCAGGCTGGATCATGCCTGGCTGATTCATGCCAGGCTGAATCATGCCCGGCTGAATCATGCCAAGCTGAATCATGACTGGTTGAATCATGCTAGGCTGAATCATTCCAGGCTGAATCAGACCAGGCTGAATCATGCCTGGCTGAATCATGCCTGGCTGAATCATGCCTGGCTGAATCATGCCTGGCTGAATCATGCCTGGCTGAATCATGCCAGGCTGAATCATGCCAGGCTGTATCATGCCTGGCTGAATTATGCCAGGCTGAATCATGCCAGGCTGAATCATGCCAGGCTGAATCATGCCTGGCTGAATTGCTGAATCATGTCTGGATGGATCATGCCAGGCTGAATCACGCCAGGCTGAAACATGCCTGGCTGAATCATACCTGGCTGAATCATGCCTAGATGAATCATGCCAGGCTGAATCATGCCTGGCTGAATCATGCCAGGCTGAATCATGCCTGGCTGAATCATGCCAGGCTGAATCATGCCTGGCTGAATCATGCCTGGCTGAATCATGCCTGGCTGAATCATGCTAGGCTGGATCAGGCTAGGCTGAATCATGCCAGGCGGAATCATGCCTTGCTGAATCATGCCAGGCTGAATTATGCAAGGCTGAATCATGCCTGGCTGAACCATGCCTGGCTGAATCATGCCTGGCTGAATCATGCCCGGCTGGGTCATGCCAGGCTGAATCATGCCTGGCTGAATCATGCCTGGCTGAACCATGTCTTGCTGAAGCATGCTAGGCTGAATCATGCCTGGATGAATCATGCCAGGCTGAAACATGCTTGGCTGAATCATGCCAGGCTAAATCATGCCAGGCTGAATCATGCCAGGCTGAATTATGCCTAACTAAATGACTGAATCATGCCTGGATTAATCATGCCTGGCTGAATCATGCCAGGCTGAATCATGCCTGGCTGAATCATGCCTGGATGAATCATGCCTGGCTGAATCATGCCTGGCCGAACCATGCCTGGCCAAATCATACCTGGCTGAATCATTCCTGGCCAAATCATACCTGGCTGAATCATTCCTGGCTGAATCATGCCTGGCTGAATCATGCCTGGCTGAATCATGCCAGGCTGGATCATCCTAGGCGGAATCATTCCAGGCTCAATCATGCCTGGCTGAATCATGCCAGTCTGGATCATGCCAGGCTGAATCATGCCAGGCTGAATCATGCCTGGCTGAATCATGCCAGGCTGAATCATGCCTGGCTGAATTGCTGAATCATGTCTGGATGGATCATGCCAGGCTGAATCATGCCAGGCTGAATCATGCCTGGCTGAATCATGCCAGGCTGAATCATGCCTGGCTGAATCATGCCAGGCTGAATCACGCTTGGCTGAATCATGCTAGGCTAAATCATGCCAGGCTGAATCATGCCAGGCTGAATTATGCACAACTAAATGACTGAATCATGCCTGGATGGATCATGCCAGGCTGAATCATGCCAGGCTGAATCATGCCTGGCTGAATCATGCCTGGCTGAATCATGCCTGGCTGAATCATGCCAGGCTGAATCATGCCAGGCTGAGTCATGCCTGGCTGAATCATGCCAGGATGGATCGTGCTAGGCTGAATCATGCCAGCCTGAATCATGCCAGGCTGAATCATGCCTGGCTGAATGGCTGAATCATGCCTGGATGAATCATGCCAGGTTGAATCGTGCTTTGCCGAATCATGCCGGGCTGAATCATGCCTGGCTGAATCATGCCTGGCTGAATGGCTGAATTATGCCAGACTGAATCATGCCAGGCTGAATCATGCCTGGCTGAATCACAAGTGTTGTGTTGTGGCAAAATACCTCGAGCCAAGAGAACCCAGTAAGAATGCTTTTTTATGTAAAAAAACTTTAGCCCGATATACCAAGGTTCAACCTAAATTGTAAGCCCTTAGAGTGATCATGCTTGCATGCAGGCCCACTAACAAGGGAAGGGGACTAAGTTTATGAATTGTGTTGTGAAAGGCACTTGAATAGGTCAACGCTGAGCAGTCAAATCTGGAGCATGTCACATCCCTCAATAAGAACCTGTTGGAGCATTCTAAGATCTCCTATGTCGTAAGGCAGAGCCAGAAGCTGCTTGCAGTTCTGAAGATCGAGAAACCTCAGTCTGCTGAGCTGAGCAAAGCCAGCAGGAAGCAGGAGGATGCGGGTGTTGCTCACGTTCAGATAATGCTGGCAGGAGAGCTGCGTGAGGGAAGCAGGGAGATGCGTGAGGGACCAGCAGTTGGATAAGTCCAGCCTTGAGGATGCCCCAATGGCATCTGGAAGAGAAGATAACCTCTGTGCGTGGATCTGAATGGATGTGAGGCGGTGGAGAGCGGTGATGGCAGCAGGCAGCTCCGTGAGTTCTTCACCCGTGGTGTGGATGTTCAGCTGCCGTAGCTCCTGCAATGCCGGTCCGTCACATTCCACCAGCCTGTTCAAGCTGCGGGCCTCCTTGAGCGTCAAGATGCGGAGGCGAGGAAGCCCTGACAACAGGGACAGAAAATCCTCTGCATCTTCGCCCAGCTGCACCTCCAGGTGCTCCACACGAGAGAGACCAGAGAGGCTGGCACCAATGGCGTCAAGAAATGGTGCACGCACGATGCCCAAGAACAATACCCTGAGCTCGGTAAGCGTTGAAATGTTTGGCGGAGACACCATGTGCTGACTGTTTTTGAAGTAAGATAGCGCCTGGAGACTGAATGGCAGAGCCTGAGATGCTTCTCTCAGCAGCCAACACTTCCTCAGCTCCAACTGCTTCAGCCTGGTTAGGCTGTCCAGCCTCCTGGGAACCGAGGAGAGACGGCGACACTCCTGAATCCTCAGCGCTTGGAGACTGGTGAGCGCCGTCACAAATTTCAGAAGCTCGTTGATGGCCGGGCAATTCCGAATGTGGAGCTCCAGCAGGTTTGTCATCTCCCCCATGCCCTCTGGCAGCTCCGAAATTCCGCACCGATCCAGCTCCAACCTGGTCAGCGAAGCCAGCTGCGTGAATGAGGACGGCAGCTGCTGTTCTGAGTTCTGGGTGACATGGAACGTTTGCAGATTGGTGAGACCCCCCAAGTCTTCCGGAAGGTCCAGATTCATCAGCCATGCAAGGCTGAGGGTCTGCAGCGCTGTGAGGCGGCCAAAGCCTGCAGGTAGCTCGTCCACCGCCATGCACCTAAGCAGGCAAAACGACTCCAGAGATGCGAGGCTGGTGAAGGACGCAGGGAGATGGTCAAGCGGCAGGCAGCACCAGCGTCTTCAAGGCCGGAAGATCCCCGAAGTTTTCAGGTAGAGAGGACACGGGGCAAGAGGAAATGGTCAAGGTCTCCAGGCAGGTGAGGGAAGTGAACTCATCAGTCAGGTCTCTGAAGCTTTTGCACCCGCTGATGCTGAGTTCCTGGAGGCGCGGCAGCATCTCTCCTATACTGTCTGGAAGCCGCTCTTGGCTGACGCAACTGCTAAGCAGCAGTCGCTTCAGGAAGCTGTATGGCGAATCAAGAGGGAAGAAAACGCTGAAGTCTGCATCGCGCAGTCCGATCCGAACTTGAGCGACTCTAGAGAAGGTAGCTGGGCTAGTGAGAAGGTAGGAGGATCTGGTGAAGCCAGGTGAATCTGATCAGGCAAGGAGAGGCGGGTGAGGCTGGTGAGTTGAAGGAGGCTGGAAAGCTGGTCGTAGGGAAGGGAGGAGGTTTCAATGGAGACTGCAGTGAGAGACGAAACGGAGCTGAGATTAGGAGCCTCTAAAATCCAGGCATTGGTACAGACGAGGATGCTCAGATGTTGAAGCCGAAAGAGAGAAGTCGGTGGGTTCAGGCTCTCCTGAAGACAGTACA